ATAATGTTTAAATTATAACCGGCTGTCCCGACATTTCGATTACTGCAAATGGGTTTGCAAAAGGGGATGCATTATGCTTTCGGCGCGTCGGAATTTAATTAATCGTTGAATTATTAATTCGCCATTACATAAAAGCGACAAGCACAACCGAAATTTAAACGATTTCAAAAATATTCAAAACTTTACAATTTCACAACATAAAATTGAATATAAAATCAAATAAAACAAGAAAAAAATCAGTTGTTGAACAAATCATACGAATCAGATACCTGCCCGTTGATATTAAGCTAATGAGAGTTGGAGCAATGCTGCCGCCACCGCCGCCGCCGCACGCAGTCTAGCTACGTGGTGACGGTAACGATCGTGCTTTCGCTCCACAGAGGGTCGATGATGAGCCGCAGTATAACCATACCCAAACATGCAGAGAAAGCGAGAGAGAACAGAGTGAGTCAGTAGCGACCGCCCCCTTCGGCGGCTTCGCGCCGTTCTGGTTGCCGCCATCATTGCCGCCTCTATTCATATTTAATAACGAAAGCGCGACGGACGCTTCGTTATACGTATTAATATCCGTAATGACATCAAGCGGCATCATAATCACGAATGAAATTTGCATTTCTGCCCATTTCAACGCTTTTCCCTCGCGCTGCGTCTCTTTCTTTCACATTCCACCAGCTGCGTTATTCATCTGTTCATTTGCAGACGGCGCGCGTACACAAAATGTCTGAATTAGTTTTTCTTTTGCAGGCGAATGGAATTTTCGCGCGGCAAAGAAACGAGAAAGTATAAAATTGAAAATTTCCAGCGCATCTGCAGCTAAATGAGTTTGGTTTTTATTATACGTGGCATTTGCATCTCATTGCGCGTTTGTTTGGTGAGCGAAAATTTAAATTTGCGCAAAGTGTTAGGTTATGATATGATAAATGTATGGAACATGTGCACGAAAATAGCGACCTCGATTCCAATGGAGTCCGATCTCATTTCCACGTCGTTTCAGCTTTATTCGTGCCCGTCTCTTCCGGTCATATACAGCTTCTTGGTTTATTGCTGCGCTCTTCCGGCATCCGGCGTGCCACTAAATTCTCCGCCTATTCACTTAAACCGTTTTCGTTTCGAGCCATTTTAGCTAATAGTCGGACTAACAAAAGAGTAATTTAAGTAAAGATCGCCTCTAAATGGATGTTGCTAATCGCTGAGTGCTGTTTGCATGCTTTTTGCTTCTTATCACTTCCGTCCAACTCGCTAAGTGGTCAGATAAAGAATAATAAATATCATGAGATGTTTTTATCGTTGTAGTATGTCGAGAAAATCAATATTTGACTTGCGATACAAGTAGCGAACACAACAAAATGTAATAATTACGCGCTAATCTAATAAATTAATAATTAACTGAAAATTAATGGGTAATTGCAAATTTTGAACATAATTAATTCACGGTATTAATTAAATAGCAGGCATGTTTAAATTAAATTCATGATTTTCAACAAATTTACTCCAAAATATTATCTATACTTGTATATCTATAAGTATTTATATATTAAACAATGTTGTGTAAGTTACACCATTTATAACTTAAGAACAGCTGGATAGATTTTGATGATAGGTAGGGGAGAGGGGGGCAAAGTGGGCCCCATAAGCGAAAAAAGGGGATTTGTTTACCTTTTTTCACTCGTTACCCTATTTTTTACATCCTTGTTCAGTATTCAATATTAATAAGCCGTGTCTATCAAAATAAAAAAAATTCAGAATATGGGGCAAGTGGGCCCCCGCCCATAAAAATTTTGCTATTACCTTTGTATCCATTTTTTGCTTATATATTTTTTTTTTCATTTCTTACTTCGAATTTGTTGATGTGAGTTATTTTCCCCTCTTATTTATCAAAAATTTTAGGGGGCCCACTTTGCCCCTCAATTTTTTAAGCCACCTGAATTTCAGGGGCCCACTTTGCCCCCAGGGGCCCACTTTGCCCCCCCTTCCCCTATATAATTTATTGGATTCGACTGGTTCTAGAATAGCAGATTAATTGTTAAAATATCATTAATTATAACTTGAAGGGTGTTAAATCTATAATATCAAAATAAATCGCAAAATCTGTTGGTAAGCGCATAACTCAACAACGTTTCAACTAATTTGGCCAATTCTGTTTTTTTTTTTGTTAAAGTCCAAGGATGGCTTTAATGGCGATAAAAATTCGAATATTTGCCGGGAAAACTCTAAAGGCAGCCCTTTTCAATAGGATAAAAGTTGGCATTGAGATTCAATCATAGTTATAGTTAAATAGTTGCATCCGAGATGGCGCGCTGAAGTGCATTATTAGCAATTCGTTATATAATTAATTTCTTTAAAATAAAATTGCGAATCTTATAGATCTTATTGATAGAATTGACACATACTATGTCTAAAACAAAAGAGTGAAAATAAATTACATTTTTATTAAACACTACCGCTGGCAAAATCTAGTTTTATAGAAAAAAAATTCTCTACGAAATTATAGCTGTCAGTGTGATTTGACTGATACGCGATTATTCGCATCGTTGCTCAATTTCAATTGTCACATTACCCAACCACCCCTAACCTCGACAAACAAGTCCCAAGTGGAAAACGAGCGCCGAAAATCGAAAATTTCATACGCGCATTGAAAAAAAGAAGTTAAATGACAGTAAGTGATATAACGGTCAGTTTTACGCAAGTGCGCCGCCAATAAATGTCGAAAATAAAGAAACAATACTGACATAATTGACAGCCGCGCCTGAAACACGTGAAATGCGGGCGTAAATGTTTTATTCTGGCGGCGTGCGCGCGCTTGAAATCGAGGAGAACCTGTGGTCAGATAACGTTTGCTATTTGATATCGAGATACGTTTCCGACGTGGCCGTGGAATCCGTTTTGACTGCGAAATTGGTGTGTCTCGCCAAAGGAGACAAATTGAATTTGTAAACCTTCAACATTCAGACCCATACGGCATATTTTTACACACATTGAATAAAAAAACAAGTAAATTGTTGATTGGAAATATTATAAACTAATTTTTTGTAAAATTCAAATAATTTTAACCTTTTTGGCTCTATTTATAAGAAATGCACTTTAGCGCCATCTCAGGTTCAATTACTTAGCTATAATTATCATTGAATTTTTATATCAACTTTTCTCAATTATTTAACACCCTTTATGTAAGAATTTTTAATATTTTAATAATTATTCTCCTTTTCCATGCCAAGACGAATCAAATAAATCATAGATCAACAAAATCTGTTTGGCCGTTCTTGATTTATAAATGTTGTAACTAACACGACTTTGTTTTATATAAAGAAAAGCGAATATATTGATACATTTTTAAGTTATGCAACACTCGATACCCATATAACCCTCAGGGTTTTGCTTAATATTTAACCACATGTTGTATATGTGATTTATTGACATGGGGCCTTTATATTTATAAATCATAAATAAATCACTATAAAAAGTAATAAATAATAAAACAAGCGATATTATAAGTGTGAGGTTATTTTTCCATCAAATACTTGTAATATATGCAACTTGTTCACATCCATGTTAACTGCACTCAACTTTCTCTCAACTTTCAAGAAATTCCGTTAGTTGGCGCTATACAACATTGAAAATAACCTTGAAATCTAAAGTTTTCGATTGTTCGCACTCAAATCAATTTCAACCTCACTCTTGTAAATAAAGCAAACACGTCATTGTGTCTTATTACATTACGTCGTCTAAACAATAACAATCCAATTGTTTTCGTTCGCAATTTTCTAATTATATAATAAACAGCGACGCCATGCAGGCAGCGTTTGCGCACGTGATGATATTCGCGGCATTCCTCAATGATTTCCATTTGCATTCGTAGCGTGCCCCAATTGATCCAATTTGATTTAATTCGATTCAATCTCGTCCAAGTGCCACAAGAAAAGATGCACACCAACACACGATATATTCTGAATCGATCGACGTGGAATTCCACGCATTTCAATCGCGCAATCTCGAAATATTTACTTCCTGAGGGTGCCATCCGCTTTATTCTTTTTTAATGATCCGTTTGCTTGAATCAATATGCCGAGAATACATTTCGGCACACTTTCATAAATCACATCCCATTGTGCGGCCCTCGCTAATAGTGTATACAACTCGGAAGTGGATCCGAGTGCGGCGTTTGCCTTTACATTGAGTATGTTTATCGCCCGTGAACGACGACAGCTTCGACGCTTAAAGAAGGCAATGAAGGAAGCGATACATAAAAGGGCGTGTGGTTGGGAGCGCAACAAAGCGGAGTGCTTTCCCCGCTATGGCATTCTCGATAGGGTGAAACGTCCCAGAGCTTTCGAATCACTGCCGAACGTATACACCATCAAGATTATCATGGACTAATAAAAGAAATTGCTTGTCATTAGCTTCAGATACATATTAAATCAAATCACAGCATTTTTAGAAATTATTTTGTTTCGTTACAAATTTAAAGTCTAATTAGGACAATTAAATATTAGCCAGTAGGTGTGCTGATGAGACCTCTAATGGTCGAAATAGCTATCCACATCAGGCTTGACAAATACTTGCATTGACTTGCAATGGTTTAGTAAAAATATCGTTTTGGCGATATTGTGAGGGTATAGCGTACAGTAAGTGTTTACTTAACTTTACTTAGCTTAAATTAAATATTATTATTATTTACTAGCTTTTGCCCACGACTTCGTCCCGGTAGTGTTTTTAATAAAAATGTAATTCGTTTATACTCTCTTTTTCTAGACATAGTTGTGTCAATTCTATCAATAAGATTCGCAATTTTATTTTAAAGAAATTAATTATATAAAGAATTGCTAGTAATGCAGATTGAAACTCAATGCCAACTTTTATTCTATAGAAAAGGGCTGTCTTTAGGGTTTTCCCGACAATTATTCGAATTTTTCTCGCCGTAAAAACCATCCTTGGACATTAACCAGCATTTAAAAAAAAGAATTGATTAAATTGTTCTAGGCGTTGTTGAGTTATGCGCTTAATAACAGATTTTGCAATTCATTTTTATTTTATAGATAGATTCACATATAATAATTTTACAAAATATTAGGTTATATTATTTATTTCTAAACAATTGAAAATGCTGCTGACAAAATTAACATAATTTTTGATTTTTTGACTTTTTATATTTCTTCCCAACCCGAAAGCTACTTGCTACATAAAAAATGTCTTATTCACATTGGTGTACGATATTGATTTTGAAATATATTATAGCAACATTCAATAGTCCAAATACCATCATTGAAAGCAAAATTTTTGCATGCAGATAAATTTATAGTCGAATTATAAACAGTTGAAGTGTAATTGCTGCTAAACGTTTTTCTTTTGTTCGTGCTACTCGTGCAAACATTGCCAACACTTGCAATTGTATCATTGCCCTGCATTAAATTAATCTCGTAACGATAATTTGTGGCACAATCATTGTTATCGTCAATATTAAACAATTGCGCTAAAAAATGTAGAGTCTCACTCTCATAATCAAACATCATTCGAACACAAAACACTTTTGACCTGTACAATATGAATTTTGATTCATCTGAATCATCTCCAAAAGTCCAAATCACGGTAGAAAAGTTTTTCAGCAGCGTATGCTTGTTAATGAAATGAGTGCACAATTCATGTGCTACAAAATCAACATTGCAATCAGAACAGGTAAGTTTTCGAAAAGAACATACGCTGTTATGTTCAGCACGTTCTTTTAACTTCAATATTATACAACATCCTTTATCTGCATTCAAACAAGAGAAACTCTGATCCGATAAGACATATCTCAGATCAACTTTAGTTGCAACCATTTTTTCTCTACATATTGGACATGAAGTAATTTTTGTAGCGCATGGCTCACAAACTGCATGAGCATTCGTGCATAGCCTAATAGCACCAAGAATTTGCTCTAAGCAAATTGGGCAATCATCTAATTTGATTCCAACATTTTCGAAATCAGAAAAGTGAATCGTCAATGTTGCATTTTCCGGCATTAGGTTAGTCTTGAACAATACACAGTTATCAGCATTATTCTCGCAATTAAAAAGTGTTGCCAAGGGTATCATGTCTGCTTTCTGCGAAATTTGGCCTTTGTTATATGCATGAACCACCGAGAATGTTTTCTTTAGTGCAGATGCGCGAGGCAAGTGATATCCCACACATATAGAAAGATTCTCCTCATTAAATTTGACTGATATTACAAAATAGTGGTGCAGATAATCAGCCAAAATAATTCCATCCTTCTGTTTGATTGAATGTAACTCAATTGTAGTTGAGAATGATTCAAGTGCTATTTTTTTCACGTCGTTGTGTCCCGATAAATGCTTAATAAGTTCTGACGCATTCTTATACTTTACTTTGTCAATAGGGCAAATTATTGGCCGGAACAGGCACAGCTTGGCATGCTGCTGATAATCTAACAACGCCCCCTTGAAGTTACACTCGTCAAAAATGCAAGGAAATAGGGCATCACTTAATATTTTCGTAAGTGTGGGTGCTACACACGGCCAATTGCACCCTCTCTTACAATCGGTGCAGAATATGTCTTGCAGTTTGAAGTTTGTATGATTAATATTGTTGAATTCACGAATGTACAGCTCCATATTGCGCAACTGTGATTAAATCTGATATTAGTATTTGGTAAAAGTTTATTATTTACATAAAATACCTGATTTTTGTAGTATATTACTTTCATTTCAATTTCGTAGTTTCCATGTTTCTTCTGTATCTACGAATTATTTGTAGCCACACACGAGAAAACAGAGAAACCTTAATGAATCTAACGCGTCAGCAATATTATTTTATAGAGTTCTATAAGGTTTACTTGACCTTCGAATTAACGATTAAAATGTTGCAAAGCTCAATTTATCATAACGACAATGCATAAATCAATTAAATATTACTATACCGATGAGTCGATAAGGTAATAATCCATCATCAATGCATTTAATCGCATAGATGTAACAATGCAAACCATTCTACTACTCGAAAAATTGTAAAAATACCAACTTACTGATAAAACGCGAACATGCAGTCAACCGACACGATTGTTTTAGTTTAACTGCATAGCGTGCATGCACAGACCAAGATTTATCCCAGTAAATGCATCGCAGTGCCATCTCACAGCGAAATACGTAACTGGATTAACCTTCAAATGTTTAAAAACTCTAAAATACACAATAATAAATATTCACTTCAATTTTACGTGACGAAAACCACCCGGGAATCATCACACACGTACCCAAAACCATTCCACTAATTTTTATCGCAACCTAATGAATCTTTTAAATATTAATCTATGAAATTATGTTGACTTCATTCTCAAATGAATTAATAACAAGCAAATATCACTAGTATCATTACGCAAACACATCTATATTGTATTATATATCGTTACAGAAACTCTTTTAATATTCTTTACCGAACACTCAATTAGCGTAAATAATTTGTTTACGATATAGCCATATACCTCTCTGACATTACCAACAAATTATTGCAGTCCCAATTGAAATTAACCAACATGCAACGAAATATGCATATAAGAAGTTCACTATTAAGCGCGCACATAATAATTACCTACTTTTTTTATAGCATGAATCCAATCAGAAATGCCCTACAGGACATAATTTACATCCTGAGTATTATTATATTCTGTTCTGGAAATTTAGGCTACATCGTTAAACAATACCTAAACGACGGTTCGTTCACAGACATGTCTTTTAATTTATCAATGCTGTTGTCCGGATTTTTCGGCTACTTCGCTGTGTACACTTTGAAAATTAACACAGCCACCGCAAACAGCTTGTTTGATATGGTGGATAGTCATCCATACTTGCGTTTACAAAATGAACAAGTTGTGCGCATCGCTACTTTGCATGATACCATTCAAAAAGGTCTTTGTATGTATTGTTTTGTGATCGGTTTAATCGCCTTGCTGTTTGCTGAATTGCAATCATGCGATAATGGCGATAATATACAACGCTTTGCATGTGGATATGTGATGCCTAGTGTATGCAATATTTTCAGCGAGAAGAAACTGTGATTCGTTTTAATAACTTGCCAACATTTCAGTATTTTTTTATTGATGAAGTTAGACGACCGTATCGGATGTTGTACAATATTATTACAATGTGCACCTTGTTTTACATAACCGTTGGGACACTCTCAGCGTTAGTTATGCTGCATTATGGGTTGAAATATCTGCAGGTTTGCTGCGAGGTGTTTCAGTTCACGATGCTTGAAGCTAAACAGACGAGAAACCGAGCGATTCGACAACTTTTTCTTGTTACTGCGCATAAACAGCATGTATATTTAACCAGGTAAACTGTTCTTGTGATGAATTATAATCTGATTTGTGAGTTAATGTACTTTTTTTTAGGATATGGGTTAAGTTGGTGCAGTTATACAAGTGGCCAATGTTGGTGCAATTTACAAGTGGTGGATTATTGGTTGCATTAATTCTTATTACACATCTTATTGTAAATATGATTTATATTTACATCATGTTTATAATTGTATGAATGTTGTTTATGATTTTGATATTCTGTAGAAGTTTGATTTTCTGTCGCTTGGACAATTGCTGGCTTATGTTTGTGGAACACTAATGATGGGAAGGATTGGCGAAGAAATTATTGCTCTTGTAAGTATATTACATAAAGTATAAATATATGTTTTTAAATTTTGAATACTTTAGAGTGAAAAGCTGAGAAACACTACTTTCTATTCTTGTCCATGGGATGGGGATGTAAAGAGTGCAAAATTTTTAATGTTTATGCATTTAAATTCCTTTAATGGTTTTGTACTTCCACTTGGGAATTATGGAGCATATTCAAATGCTCTTGTATTTTATGTGGGTATTACTATATCTATCTATATCTATCTAGACATTCAGATTTAATTTGTTTTATTATTAGATGTTTAAGTTTGCATATTCTGTTGTGATGTTGTACATCAACAGAGTCCATATACACCACAAACAGACTATTTGAATAGAAATTTATTCCTACAACAGGTAAGGTGATATTCTAGAAATATACATCTAAATACACTTTGAACATACAAAATATATGTGTATGTTAATTAAATAGTTCTCTAAATCGTTTAAAAATGATAATGTGTTTTTGATGTACCGCATTAGCGCACAATAGTAAATTAATCATGATCAAAATGTTGAATTATATACTATAATGAACAGAAAATGTACGTACTTTGCATGAAAGGAGATGCAGATGAAGAGATGTGCATCACAATATCAACCACTACACTACTATAACTACAGTAACAACAAAATGAATCAAAAGTAACGCTAAAAAAGTTTTATGTTTCAAAATCTAGGGAATTTTACTTTGCACCAAAATATTCCCAGATTTTCCCGCTACTTTAAAATTTGTCAGAAGCGCCATTGAACAGCTGAATAATACCAACGTACTTATTTGAACGATTAAACTTCTACTAAATTTGTTATTATGAGTTATCAAGAGGAAAGTGCGACTCTTGAGGCCACTGGCGACTGTGAAGATGCTGTGGCATTACCAATTTCACGTTTACAGGTTAGTTTATTCTACTTTATCAATTAAAAAACTGCTTTCTAATGGTTATGGAACAAAACTCACTTTTCAGGCCAATGGAATATCTGCCGGAGATATTCAACGGCTTCAAGAGAATGGATATTATACTGTAGAGTCTATTGCTTACACCCCTAAGAAGGCTCTTCTAACAATCAAAGGTTTGTCTGATGGCAAAGTGGATAAAATCATTGCAGAAGCTAGTAAACTTGTACCAATGGGATTTACCACTGCTACTTCAATATATGAGAAAAGAGCTGAGTTGTCCTACTTGACAACTGGCTCTAAGGCATTGGACCAACTTCTTGGGGGTGGCATTGAAACTGGATCCATCACTGAAATCTTTGGGGAATTCCGGACAGGAAAAACTCAGTTATGTCATACTTTGGCTGTGACTTGTCAAGTAAAATTATTTATTGTCATTATATTGATGATTTAAGTTTATTTTTGTGTTAATACTTTCAGTTGCCATTAGACAATGGAGGTGGTGAGGGAAAATGTATGTACATAGATACTGAAGGAACTTTTCGTCCTGATAGATTAATAGCAATTGCTGAGCGCTACAAGATGAATCCTCAAGGTGTATTAGACAATGTGTCTTTTGCACAGGCATATAATACTGACCATCAGACTAGTTTGCTGATTCAAGGTGCTGCATTAATGGCCGAATCGCGTTATAGTTTGATCATTGTCGACAGTGCAATGGCTTTATATCGCACTGATTTTGCCGGAAGAGGTGAACTAGCAGCAAGGCAAATGCATCTTGCAAAGTTCCTCAGGATGTTGAAGAGATTAGCTGATGAGGTATGTTGTTTATCATAAAAAAACACTTTTCTTTAAATGATTTATCATGTTTTCAAGTATGGAATTGCTGTTTTGATAACAAACCAAGTTGTTGCGCAAGTGGATGGTGGCGCAATGTTCCAAGCTGATCCAAAGAAACCGATTGGTGGTAATATAATGGCGCACTCATCTACTACCAGGTTGTATCTGCGTAAAGGACGTGGCGAGACGCGTGTTTGTAAGATTTATGATTCGCCTTGTCTGCCTGAAAGCGAGGCCATGTTTGCAATTCGTGCGGAAGGCATTGGCGATGCTCAGGATTAATTAAGTTGTAGGATTTTTCAGCAATTTTCTTGTGAATTGGCGTCGAGATATGTGCATTTGTCACGAAAATTTTTAATATTGTTTGAATTATTATCTGTTAATACTTGACTATATGTATAAGTTATAACTTATTTTCCCCATACCGAGAAGTATAATTTTGAATTTCTACTTTTATAAATAAAATATGCATATAAATCTAATATTAGTCTTATTAGACGGATTCAGGCATGCGACTGACGCAAAACATCCAGAAGGGATGAGAATGAGATGAGGGAGAGAAATCTGCTGACCACTCAAACACAACTGAGAACTTTTGTCGCCTGATTCTTTTTTATACCTGCGATCAAATCCAAACGCAATGGAAGGCTGAAGTGATGGAATTGACAAAGATGCATGTTTGCTTCGTGCACCAGATGACCCTAGTGGAAGTCTTCCCCCTCCAACTTTTGCGGGTCAACCGCAGGTATAAAATGTCAGCGCCCATTGACCCCAGTCTCCTGATGCTCTTGATTGTTCTCCTTTCTCCATTTATTGTGGACGGTTACTATTTTGGACAATGAGAACAGCATATGTCTGAATTCAAACAATTTCTGAGTTTATTACGTACAAGATTCCAAGTCAATGGAGGGATTTATTGAAATAATTGCAAATATATTTAAACATGTCATAAAAACCATGAAATTTTCGCTTTTTAATGTTCATACTTTAAATATTACCAAACCATACTCATAGATATTATTTTCTGACATTTATATTTAGATTCCTGCACGATTTCCATTGCTTTGTTGATATATAGGGACCTTTTTGCTTACCTATGCCTAAAATTATTTTGAAGTTCAATTAGACATAATGCGAGTGCTAGGTTTCTTAACTTTGGTTGCATGTTTAACGTTGGCACATTCAGCCAAGAAATATTACATCTATAAAATATACAATGTAATCTTACTTTATCTAACATCAATAACACATTTATTAATTAATATCATTTACCATTTAGCTTAACTGGTATGCAGCATTCCAAGATTGTTTGTCTCGGAACTTACAGCTGGCTACAATCACTTCGGATGAAGAACAACGTAGTCTTGATATTGTAATTAAAAGAGTAGGTAAGTGTCATAAAATAATCAAATTAAACAACTTTAATACATTTTATTTTTATAATTATTATTATGTGATCCAACAGATGCTATAAACGATATGTTGTGGACATCCGGCACTGATCAAGGCGAAAAGGGAAACTTTTTCTGGATGAGCACAGGCAGACATTTTAATTACACCAAATGGTCCAAATCACAACCAGATAATTTCGGAGGAATCGAAAATTGTGTGCACACATGGAACATTGATGGTGTGACTCAATGGAACGACGGGGGATGTGATATTACATTTGTGAAGATAAACCCAAAACCAAATGTGTTTTCAATCTGAAAGATTTATTTACTGCCTAGGTGTTTAACGGTTTATGAATATAATATGTGACACAAGATAATTAATATTAATTTAACCATTGATTAATTCAATGAATGTGGGGATTTCACATTGTTTTGAGCTTCCAATGATCCGACTTGACCTTCGAATTTGTTTCGCGGAGAATCCGCATTGACTAATAACGTAATAAATTCTACTTCTGGTTTATACATATAAATAAACATGTTGTGAAGTCCCAAACTAGTTTGGAAGTTGACTCAGACAAGATGCGTGCGTTAAGTCTCTTCACTTTTGTTTTCTGCTTCATGCTGGTAAACTCCATTAAAAATTACTACATTTTTAAAATAAACAAGGTAATATTATCTATAGATAATGTTCATATTAATTTATTCACTTTATAATCATTACAATTAACAATATTTTAGCTCAACTGGCATGCAGCATTTCAAGATTGTTTAACACGCAATCTACAACTGGCTACGATCACATGTAGTGAAGAACAAACTGCCATTGACGACGTAATTAATAAAACTGGTATGTACAATCCAAAATTAATGACTACGAAGTATGTATTACGATATTATGTACCTATATTATTTGTATTTTGTTTGTGGAAGTTGTTTACAAAATGTTTGTAATTTGTAGGCGTTACAAATGAATGGTTGTGGACTTCGGGCACGGATCAAGGTGAAGAAGGAAACTTTTTTTGGATGAGTACAGGTAAACCGATTACCTTTTCAAAATGGAGCCATCCACAACCAGACAATGCGGGAGGAAGAGAAAACTGTATAAACCTATGGAATACTGATGGTGTGTTTACATGGAACGACTGGGGATGCGATAATAAACTGTATTACATCTGTGAAGATACACCAGAAACAAATTGTGGTTTCAATCTCGATGTTAGAATGGCGGATGTATGAATTAAATTTAAGTAACTGAACTAATAGAACTACCAAGAAAATAATTAAATGTTTAAAAGTTATTCATGAATTCCATTATTTACACATTTTGGAAACGTCGTAAATGCAAAGTCGAAATTTGACTACTTCTTCGCCATTTTCTTCATTTTTAGCTCCATCTTCAGCGTAACGCATATGCAATGCATTTTTACAAAAGTTCCAATTAATGCTTGTGCTCGTGTCTGTATTTTCCATCTGCTGACACAGATTTCCAACAGAATGTAAAAGTTTTCCACCTTCTTCTAAAAGATCAACCTCGTAGCGATAGTTCTGATGGACGTTTAAATCATCATAGAGTAACTGAACATAAAAAAACACACTTTGCTTCTTTTCTAAAGCTCTACTTTTCGTCGTAGCATTGACATTCGTTGATACGACAAAATACAATAGTTTTTGTTGGTATCTTATGTATGAGCAGAAGGGTGTTACTATTCCATCAACGACTTTCGCATGAAACACGTGAAAGTTCCGATACAGGACAAACTTCTCTTCAATATGTTTCGCAATATTGTACCTTGCAACGTCTGTTTTGCAACAGATGCATTTTATTTTAGCATGAAGACATCTTGCTAGATGTGGGTCCAAATCAGCAAGGCGGACCAATGCGATGCATCCACCATCAGCATCAGAAGTACTGTTTGGACACGGAAATGGCACCTGTGACAAATGCCTTTTAAGATCGATCATCGTTCTGTTGACCGGCGTACCACAATTAGCGCATTTGTAAATCTTTGAAATACACGATTTGCAAACGCCATGATAGTTCTGGCAGAAGTACACTTCGTTTGTGAATTTATTCATGCAAATGTCACATTCGCGCATCACAATTCGATATTCTTCGTAGTCATTGAAAAATACATTCAATTTCAACGTAGAATCATTCTCTAGCAACGGTTGTGGCATACATAATAAATGCATATTATCACTGAATAATTCTTGTAGACGTACAGTATATCCTCTAATCCGTGACTCAAACTCTTCAAATTGATACTGAATCATGAACTTATCACAAGTACTCTTAAAGTCGGCATCTACTGATTGCTTGCCAATTGCAAACGCAAAATTTCTTGCAAGAACAACAAACGTATTGCCTTTGTAAGAAATTACGTTTACTTGCTCGCCGAGAAGCGGCGGTGTAAAATTTAGTTCAGCTAATGGTTCTTCAATTGTTATTTTTGAGACCACAGATTCGTGATACTCTAGTAAATGCTCAACAATTGTCAACTCAGCCAAATTATCCGTTGAGCAAAATGGACATTTAATTGTTTTGTGCACAGGTGCAGCATTCATATGTTTATGAATGCCAGTTAAATTCTTCACATAATCACAATCTTCATACATGCATGGGTACTTCCACTTCGTCAACATTGTTTCCAGAAACTTATCACGTGTTGAAGTCTTCTTTTCTTTTGGCAAACAGTGACTGCAACAATACGAACCATCCTGGCGAATGTAGACTGTTGGTGTCAACCACATTTTGCAATCCGCACATGTGATATACTTTGCTTCGAAATGATCCACCTTGTTAATCACTTGAAATTGAGAAATTTTGTTCTCCATTCTGAAACGAGAGACGTACTTAAGTGTTTTTAGTCGTTGTTCGAGATTTAGGCGTTGGCTACAGTTATAATACATTATTGTGAAATGAAAAGATAGCTGTGTGAGGCTAAAATTTACCTTCGTTGTAGTACTAGATCTTTGTGTAAAGTATCGAGTGTTAAATTGATTTAGGAAAATTTAGCCGTGATTTCGATAACTGTCTTGCAAAACAACACTGCTTAAATACACATGTCACACCTTGAATGAACCGCAGTGCTCACTGCCTTTAGAAATACAGTTAGATACTTAATAACTTATCTAATCTTTTCTAATAACTAATCCCGAAAAAATGATTCAAAATTGAAACAAATAAGTGAAACATGTTAGATTATTTATGAAAATGACGGACACTTATGAGTTGAACAGGATATAGTAGAGTGTAAGGCATCGAATTACTTTAGCAGCAACAACAAAATAAACACTTTTATTTCTCTTCTTCTAATCATAACTGGGAATTTCATAAATACAGAGCCGAAATTGAATAATTTGATACCCAGCACGCTTAAACATTACCTTTTTACAAAAATTACAATTTATTTGTGCGCTAGGGCTTGTGTCACCTTCCTGTTGGCATACGTTGCCGAATGAATGGAATAAACTTCCATTTGGTTTCAAAATGTGAAATTCATATCTGTATCGCTGGTAGTTATTGCGCTCAAATAATAACTGCACATTAAAGTAATAAGTTCGCTTCTCTTCTGAAATCACCTGCGAGTTTTCCTTCTCATCTCTTACACCCGATGAAATGATGACAAAAAATAAAACTTGCTGTTTAAATCTCATGAATCCCTTTTTGCATATCCACTTTTCAACTATTAGATCAAATTCGTAAAAGTTGCGATGCACAACGATATGTTTCTGAAGATGTGGGACAATGTTGCATTTCGCAACGTCGTGGCGACAATAAATGCATTTTACTTTTAGATATGGACATCGTGCCAGATGCTGATCCATGTCGGTCGATCGTAGAAGTGCTATACAACTGCCTTCAGCGTCGTCCTTTGAATTTATACAAGGAAATGGCACCTGTTTCAAATGTTGCCTAAGGTTAACTTTGGTTTTGTTAATTGGTGTTCGGCAAGACGCACATACGGCGAGTTTCCGAACACAGGACCCACACACGCCATGATTATACTCGCAGAAGAACACTTCTTCTGTGAAATCCTCGAAACAAACGTAGCACTCCCGTGTCACAGCCTGTAATTCCTCATATTTGTTAAAGTACACTTTCAACGGCAGCGCAGAGTCAACTGCAAATGGCGGCACACACATTGGTGCAAGTTGCATATTATCCTCGAAAAGTTTTTGAAGACGTACCGTGGATCCTCTAATTTTTGTTTCAAGTTTATTGTATCGGAACTCAATCATGAATTTATCACCATTTTCATCGAAATCGACGTCCACTGATTGCTTACCGATTGCAAAAGCAAGATTTTCAGTGAGGATTATAAACGTGTGGCCTTTGAAACTGATTATAATTATCCGTTTCTTCGCAATCGGTGGTTCAAGGCATAGTTTTACTAAAGGTTCGTCGATTGACATTTGTGAAACAAGTTGTTTGTGTTTTTCATCTAAATGCTTAACAATTGTCAATTCGGCCAGACTTTCCATTGAGCAAAACGGACATTTTATGCTTTGATACACACAATTACTCATGTGGCAATGAATATTTACCAGATCTTCTATGTAATCACAATCATTGAACATGCACGGAAATTTCCACACCTGCAGGACAGTTTCCAACACAAAATGGCGGTGGATAGCTTCAGATTGCTTGGAAGCACAAACACTACAACAGTATACACCATCATTGGGTTGAGCATAGATTTTTGGAGTCAGCCAGTTTTTACAGATGTTGCAAATCAATAACATCGGATTGAAATGTTTTAAATTATTTATCACTTCAAATTGGGCGATTTTTGCTTCCATATTTACAACAGAACATCAAGAGCACTACTTCAGTAATGGTATTACAGTTACTAGCTGCTTTAAGTGCTGCTCACGCATAAACTTCAACACTTATCATTATTTGTATAAACAAATCATGTCTGTGTGTTAGTGCATGCGTCATTCTTGCAGTGTAGCATTACAATATATTAAATGCAAATATACTGTTGGCAGATAACAATGCAAAATTTGAGCCGCTGGTTTCAGCTTACAGAAGAGAAAAACCAAACATCAAATAATAATAATATCATAAATTAATAGATAAGAGGCACATACCAGAATTTCTTTAAATACTTATTTATATTCCACGTGATTTATACGAGTAAGTATAACAAACCAAAATCCGAATTGATACTCTCGCAGAATTTCGTTGTAATTTCCCTTGCTCGACGACTGTGCGATACCACATCTTCGAACATACCTCTTTTGCTATCCACCCAAGCTAGGTCATTAAGAATAGCAGCCACAAACAAATCATCTTCGTTCCCCATCTTTTCTCTGATGTCTAAAGCTTTCTTCAGAGCGTTGGATGCGTCCTCCAGTCTATTGAGCTCGTCGTAAAGTAAAATCAAATCAAGAATACTGATGATTCACAATAAGGATATTATCAATGTGTATTTAATACTTAATACAAGCATTCACTAATCGAGTTTAAAATCGTTTTGTAATCCAAGACAGCGATAATAAATAATATATCTCCAAATATTTATTTCTAACTAGCTTTAACCCGTGACTTCGTCTCAGTAGTGTTTAATAAACATGTAATTCGTTTTTACTCTCTTGTTCTAGACATAGTATGTGTCAATTCTATCAATAAGATTCGCAATTTTATTTTAAAGAAATTAATTATATAAAGAATTGCTAATAATGCATTTCAGCGCGCCATCTCAGATTCAACTATTTAACAATAACTACGATTGAATCTCAATGCCAACTTTTATCCTATAGAAAAAGGCTGTCTTTATAGCTTTCTCGGCAATTATTCAAATTTTTCTCGCCGTAAAAACCATCCCTGGACATTTACGAACATTTTAAAACAAGAATTGGCCAAACTGGTCTAGGCGTTGTTGAGTTATGCGCTTACCAACAGATTTTCCGATTCTTCTTTATATTATAGGAGATATTTACTTAAATCAACATTACATTTCCCGTATTTTCCGGTATTTTCGATATAATAAACTTTGAGGACATGATATGATGCATAATGGGTTAATTACTTGACTTTTTATTCATTTACATGTCCAGAACATTAGTGTAGGGTTTGTTTTATGGAATAGTTTAACATAAATAATAAATAATAACACGCAAACATAAATAATAACACGATAAATTTGAAGAAAGTGGCTTTGTAGTTTGATGTAAATCATACTATGGGTGTGTATAACAGGGCCAAATCCGAATTCACACTCACCCGGAATTTATTTGCAATATCCATTGCTCGACTCATGTACGATACCATATCTTCAAACATACCTTGCTTGTTATGCACCCAAGCTAGTTCATTAAGAATAGCAGCAACAAGCAAATCGTTTTCTCTCTGATATCTAAAGCACTCTTCAGAGCGTTGGATGCGTCTTCCAGTCTATTGAGCTCGAGGTAAAGTAATGCAAGGATGTTGAGCAAAAAGGCGACATCCGGATGATCTTCAATCTTCTGGTCATTCAGTAACATTTCACAGAGCAGCACGGCTGAAGTAAAACGGCCCCGGTCGATGTTTTGATGCATTTGGTTATACAATGCCTGTAATCGGGGTCGAAACCTATACCGATTGTTTACTCTTTGTGTAAATTCAGTTATGGCAGTTCGGCGAGGCGGCATGTTTTATATACTGGACCAAAAAATGTCTAAACAATACGTTTTATACTTGAAATTGTTTAGTTTGTGAATCATATTGCAAAATTTGAGAATATTATAGATATAAACAATCTAGAGATAAATAATTCCAATCAATTAAATATATTGCTGTTTTACATTAAAGATATTATCAACGTGTATTTATTATTTACTACATACATACACTAATCGACTCTTAAAGCTTTTTGTAGTGCAAATAGCGATAATAAATATTATGTTTGTAAATTTTAATCTCATACAACCGCTTAAATCAACATTTCAGCATCGCCATTTTCTCATATTAAGAATATAATGAACTTTGCGGACATAATATGAAACATAGCAGATGAATTACTTGATTTCTTATGCTTTTACATGTCCAGGACAAAAAAACAGTGCTTATTTTGTAGAATAATGAAAGAAATAAGATACAGAAAAGATACAGAAGTAAATAATTGTCTGCATCAATTCTTATACGAAATTCATGTAGGTTTCAAGCAAAGAACATTTGACGCAAACAATAACAAATGATACTTAATAATAACACGATAAATATAGAGAATGTGGATGTGCAGTTCGACGCAAATTCTTTGGTTGAAGATAACAACTCAATATACAAGTTGTCACTACCGGAAACTCTCTGTGTGATCTCCATTGCTCGACTTCTGTACGACACCACATCTTCAAACATACCTCGCTTGCTATGCACCAAAGCAAGTTCATTAAGAACGGCAGCAACAAACAGATCATCCTCGTTCCCCGTCTTCTCTCTGATATCTAATGCTTTCTTCAGAGCGTTGGTTGCATCCTCAAGCATACTGAGCTCGTTGTACAGTAATGCAAGGATGTTCAGCAAAAAGGCGACATCCGGATGATCCTCGATCTTCTGGTCCTTCAGTAATATTTCACAGAGAGGTACTGCGATCTTGAAATGACCTTTGTTTATAATACCATGCATCTCGTCGTACACAGTTTGTAATCGCGGCCGAAACACATAACGATTGTTTACCCTTTGGGCAAATTGAGTAATAGCTGTACGTTGCGACTGCATCTCTGTTACAATGCCTCTAGAACATCTAAATATTGTAACTTATACTGATTGTTTACCTTATGACTGAAAGAATATTCATATCGCAATACCTGATATTACTGTTACAATAAACGACAGAGATAAATCAATCCAGTTAAATCAAACAAGTCACGCGTAATGATGTTTTACATAAGGGATATTATCAATGTTTATTTATTATTTACAGCAAACATTCACTAATTAACTAAAAAAGCATGTTTGGGAATACGAAATGACGATTATTGTTAAGTTTGCAATTTTGTATCATTAAATTTAAGGCGTTTATTTGATCATTGAACTGAGTAATATTTCCGGGCAAACATTTCTCAGTAATTTTCTATGTGAATACATTTAAAAAGTGTCAAAAACAACATACAGCTAAAAGTTGAATTACTTTCGATGAAAAGTACCAGGAAAAGTTGTTTTCCGTCCGAATTTATTGTAATATTTAAATATGTATTAAAATGTTAAAATTATAAATCACTTAAATCAACCGAATCGATCTTACTCTGCAACGCCTCCACTTTCTCAGACTTACAACTGTTTTCTGAAGTTTGAGTCTTGCGCAACACTTCTAAACGTGTCCAATGTCCAGCCGATGCCTTTTTAAGTTTTATCTCAACTTTAGTACCATACATTGTCACGTTACTCTTTTCTACATCAACAATCTATAAATATAAATTGAAGTAAAATGATATACAAATTGATATTGCATCTAGTGGATACTTACACCATGCAATTCATGATCCAAAGTAAAAACAGCATCATTTTCTTGTGAGAAAACAAGCTTTGCATGCAATCGAATGGGATTCAACTGAACTTCACTCTTGTTGGGATTATATTGTTTTGCATAAACTGACACAATAACATGTGTAGCGGTTTGATGAAAATCCCAACGACACTCGACGGATTTTGCATCTTCATCCTGCAATATTCAAACATTCTGTAATAAAATTCCCATTTCTCATAGCATTTCCACAAAAATTACACTTTTCCTCCAGACATGTTTACCAGTAGAGCATCCAACTTGATTAAGAAATACGTTGAAGTCTGATGTACGTTTTTGACAGCAAGACCAGTACTTCATGCCCTCATGAAACACTGGACTACCAGGATGATGCACACATGGTGATGTATCACTATCAGGTCCTAGATATTCAGCAGAGCATCCACCATTTTTGCATCTAGTACCTACAGGAATCTCATCAACACCAAGTTTTACTTGTGCTTCTGCTGCCACTGAAGCACTAGCTAAACTTTGTTGTAAAGATGCAGCAATTTCAGGCTTCAACTTTGTCTGAATTTAAAAAAATCAAGTTTAGAATGTTCTTAGTGATGACCAACACAAGTAAATACATTTAATTACCATTACTGTATTATAAGGCGGACGTTCAACGATAGTTTTAGTAATTGGCTGTACTACAATTACATCAGAATCTGGAATATTATCTGTTTTGGGCTTTTCAGGCTCTGGTTGCTGGACATTTGAATGCATTGAAAAGGTGCATCCCTTAATATTAAGAAATTCCGTAAAGTCTATGCACTTTTTGTTACAACAAGACCAGCCTTTATAGGCATCATGAAAGAATGGTACACCTGGATGGTGCTGGCATGATTCTGAATATAAAGTTTAATTCAGTATTAAATTTTGTCGTCATAATTGAATTGAACTTCATTTTACCTGGAGTATTTTCCTCTGCTATATATTTCTTACCGCAGCCTCGATTGTAGCATTGCAATTCAGTCATTTTCAGGGTAAAAATTATTAATTAAAGAAGAGAAATGTGCAGATAATGTCTCACACGAGCTAACGTTATCCAAATTTAGAGGTTGACTTTAACGTAACTAGGCAACCAAACATCAGCTGCTATAAATGAAAGAAACTTAAAACTTTCTAGAAAACTCCAAAATATACTGAAAATAGGGGAGATCAATTTATTTACAATGACTTGTATTTACACCTGTATTGTTTAATAAACGCTTTTATGAAATGTATTTCTTACATTTTTGTATTGATAAATCAATTCTCCTTTCATTTTGAAATCAGTAATTTTATGGTAGCAAATTATTTAATTTTATGGAATACAAATAATGTTACTGTTATTACACATTGTTTCCTTAAAGGAATTTATTTCTTGTTTCTTTTTAAATATGAATAAAATAAATTCTTGATTTATATACCTTTAAACAATTTAAACTTTTTAAAATATCTATGCACTTCCTCTTTGGGATAAGGCTTTACTACTAAACAAGTTGGAATGTTTTCTGGCTGCTCAATCCATAATTTGTGTTTAATATCAGCCTCATTCAATTTTTCCTGGAGAGATAATAAGGACTGCTCATTCAGGCCATCTAAGACAACTTTGTGCATATTGTCCAAATCCTCCAAGTACTTTTTAGTGTATTCGTCATCATGAAATAAATGTGTTGTAGCTGTAACAGCATGGCAAGCTTGTGCAATAACTGCCCCTAAAGGCCATTGCAATTCTTTAATCAAATCACTTCTGACCAAGATATATTGTACAATGTTCAGTGAAGACATTATTAAGGTTATCTGACAAGAAAACGAACATAGCAAGGGATTAGACACACACTACAACAATATAAATAGTAAACTTACTTGACTATAATCAAGTTAATATATTAATTGATTTGCTTTCAGATTCCTAAAGAACTTCTCTTCTTATTGGTTTTAAACACCTTTCATCATTGTGAGGTTAAAAAATGTGAATTTACTTTCAATTATAAATTTTTTTCAACAAAATCCAAAGAAGCATTTTAACAATAAAAGATGATTATTAACAGAGCATCCAAATTGTTTCAACCCATTGTAGCTCTCCAAAAGAATCAAATTTTGATAAATAATGAATCAATTTCCAAGAGCACACAGGTATTTATTTTTTAAATAAGTAAATTAAAGGTTTTAAATAATTTCTAATCTTAAATATGTAGTTAATGTTGAACAATGGAATAATCAAACAATCAAGTCCTGGTATATTTCACTTTTTACCAGTGGGTCTTAGAGTGTTAGACAAATTGATTAAACTAATTGACACTGAATTGAGATATGTTGATGCTCAAAAAGTAATGTTTCCAACTTTAACACATGCCAAACTCTGGAAAGCATCAGGTAATATTTAAATGCAACTGCAAATGCTTTTTATCTTTGCTAATAATTTAAATATTGTTTTAGGAAGATATCAAGATGTTGCAAGTGAATTATTCAAGTTGAAAGACCGCCACGATACCGAATACCTACTGAGTCCTGTAAGTACCTAGTAAATTTGATTTTCGGTTCAATAACAAATAAAATTGATGTTTGTTATGCAGACTCATGAAGAAACAAGTGCTGACTTAATCGCATCCCTTGGCCTTGTTTCATTTCGAAAGTATCCATTGAAACTTTATCAAATAACATCAAAATTTCGAGATGAAATGAAACCTAGATTTGGCTTAATGCGTGCACGACAGTTTATAATGAAGGATTTATATTCGTTTGATATTGATGTGGAGAGATCCAAGAAGACTTATGCACAAATGTGTGATTGTTATGATAAGATTTTTGCCAAGTTGGCAATTGATTGGGTAAAAGTATTAGGTTCTTCAGGTACAATGGGTGGAGATCTATCACATGAATACCATTTGCCTTCTGCAATCGGTGAAGACAAACTCGTTCAATGTGGCGATTGTAATTACTCCGCTAATTTAGAGTATATTCACAATATAATCAAAACTGAGGCAAATATTACGAGCTGCCCAAACTGTTCAAGTTCAAATATCAAAATTACAAATGGTATTGAAGTGGGTCATACATTCTTACTGGGTGAGAAGTATTCGAAGGCTTTGAATAGCAAGTATCTGGCTGAAGACGGTAAACCTAAGTTGCTACACATGGGCAGTTATGGTTTGGGAGTTTCTCGGATTATTGCCGCTGCGGTTGAAATTCTTTCGGAGGAAACTGCGATCAAATGGCCCACGTTGCTGGCTCCTTATAGGACTGTTATTATTGGACCAAAGGTATACGTAATAGAATCCGATTGCAGTAAATACAGTGTTTGTTTTAGATTGGTAGTAAAGAAGAGGCAAAATTGGCCGTAACACCTGAAAATGTTTATCAGCATTTAAACGTTGTAAATACTTTGATGGATGATGTGCTGTATGATGACCGATCGGATATGACTATTGGTAAAAGACTTCTCGAAGCGAAGCGTACAGGTTATCCATTTGCAATTGTTCTTGGCAGCAAGGCAACTCAGAATCCACCACAATTTGAAGTTATTAATTTGTACAATCAGGATCAACACTTTTTGAGTCTTGATCAATTAGTAGATTTCTTCTCTAGTAGTAGTAATTTTGATGTTTGTAAATTATCAAGTTCTGCTAAGGTATAAAAAGCAGATGAAAATTAAAATGAATTAGCCAGGTTTATAATACTATGGATATATTGTTACTTGTTAATCATTTTATCTTACAAACAGTTCCTGGTCTTGTTGAGTGAGATCATATAAATGAATGTTTTTGATTATGTGGCAACGAAAGCGTTCCCTGAGAGCCTGCCAAGAGCGGCCGTTACCAAACCATTGTGCCATGCGAATCCAGAGCTGGCGTCCATGAATTCTTCCTACCTCCCCGTTCTCAATGATGTAGTTGAGAATTGTTTGGTCTTCAAGATGGGTGAAACGTGCACGGGGTTCAACAGTAGGAAGGCCGCTTTGGGAGTGATTCTCGGTAGTTGAATCACTTTCCTTCGATTCGTCCTCTGAACTCGACATAACCCAAACTCAAATTCACAAGTGAAAGCCCCTCCAAAAACTATGTAGTTACTAATTTTAATGATTGACATTGAAAGTTGTTTTCTAGCCTACATACAACTTCTTACATGTTTTGTGTAAACTTATCTCAGTCTAAACTGACGTTTATTCGATGTCGCTGGTTATAAACTTGAATGATTTATGAATTTTCTTGTTTATTGAATCACAATTATGTTATAAATTGATTTTGATGTACTCATTGAATAATTAGATAATTATTTACAATCTGATGCAGTGGCAGTTCCAAATTTTGAACAGATAAAGGGTTTATTCAGCAAATATTTATCAAATTATGTTTTTACTCTTTGTATAAGCACTAATAACAATATTTAGTCAGATTTTGACTTGCAATACCTTAATATTCACATTAACTTAGATTAGTTAGTGTTATTTAGTTTATTTTGGTCAACAATCAAACAAATTGTTCATTCACTTAACACTGATATCAATTTTCAGGCTCAATTGTATAACCCATGTAAATAAAAAAGTAGTGCTTGTTGTCTTCGACGTGAACCCTATCAACAGCCACTGTTCCTCTGTACTTCTCATCCGGAATCTCTTGCTGTGGAAATTCAGGCAGAATATAATACTGCCAAGCCATAAGAGCAGCAGGATCATTCGCCAATCCCCCAATGCTCGTAATAAATTGTCCGTAGATGGGATGTTCAGTTGAAGTAAAGTTCCATATTTTGGGATGTAACCACGCTTGAACTCTCATAATATCGTAAAATGTCGCATCTGTACTTGTAGTGAAGTTAACTGAGTGAAATTCATCAGTTTTTGGCATAATCGAGTAACTAATGTGAACTGAAAATTTAAAAAATTAATTAATCACTATACTCAATCATACTATTTAAAATATTACCATTTTGTGACGCTGCAAGGCCCACAAAACAAGCAAGAAGTAAACCAGCGTAGATATTCATTTTGTTGCCAAATATGTATTAACAATGTGTTTTCAAATTTTGTACAGTATTTATATAGGTGTGTATACTGATAACACATAAATATTCAGCGATAAAAACTAACATGCTACAGTTTATCAGGAGTGCACTCTACAAATTGAATTAGGTACTTGCATATAAACAACATAATATAAAAATATGTGAAATCTTTACCGAGATTATTGTATGATATAAACAGTTATTACTCATTGAGTGTTTTCCTGGTTTTATTGATTTTACGATTAAACCAATGTCGTTCGATGAAAAATGTGATTGTGGCCATAGTTAAGCCAATAAACAAAAAAATAAACGCTCCGGCTAAGTGAGCTAATCTGAATTGAATGAGAGTTTGCTGAGCTGGTTTGCGATCTAAATATTCCAAGATGTCAAACATTGAACTGGACGCCATGTAGGCCTCCTCTTCCCATTTAATTAATAGGCCATGATCCAGGCATTTGAATATTAAATCATTCAGTTGACGGACAAATAAAAGTGTTTTTGTATTGGTCGCAGTGAGGATGTGATATTTAGCCATCAGAACAAAATTCATAGGCTTAATATATTTCTTATTTTTGGTATAACGACTGTTTAACTGTGCAGATACTGAAATATGCATATTAGTAACAAAAATAAATCATAAATCAATTGAATGTTGACTTCTTACGTTTTGAATCACTAACCAAATGCATGAAAATTGCCTTTCTTGGATCTAAAGAAGTATCATTTGTCCAACGAGAAAATATGTCTTCTTCAAGAGCCTGGAAAGATGTAAACAAATCTATAATATAAATATGAATTGCAAAATCTGTTGGTAATCGCATAACTCAACAACGCCTGGACCAAATTGGCCAATTCTTTTTTTTAAATGTTTGTTAAAGTCTAAGGATGGTTTTTACTGTGAGAAAAATTCGAATAATTGCCGGGAAAACCCTAAAGACAGCCCTTTTCTATAGGATAAAAGTTGGCATTGAGATTCAATCATAGTTATAATTAAATAGTTGAATCCGAGATGGCGTGTTGAAGTGCATTGTTAGCAATTCTTTATACCAGGGCTGGCCAATCCCAGGCCCGCGGGCCACGAGGTGGCCCGCCAGGACATTTGAATTTGCCCGCCGCACAAACCAAAGTTGGAACTTTTGTATATGTTTAATATTTTATGTATGAATGGCCATAGTCTGTGGCCCGGTGCTGCCGCATTCTAAAAAAAATTGGCCCTCCAGGAAAATCCATTGGCCAGCCTTGCTTTATACAATTAATTTTTTTTTTTTAAATAAAATTGCGATTGTTATTGATAGAATTGACACATACACATGTTTAGAACAAGAGAGTAAAAACGAACTAACATTTTTATTAAACACGCGGGCAAAAGCTAGTGTTTAATAAAACGTTGCTTTAAAGCATACTTACGTTCATTTTTTGATACATTGAAGTTTGATCATGCCAGATAAGAGGTTCTTTTAAGTCGGACAAGTCTCGAATTGTGCGTATCTCATTATCATAGCTACAATTTCATTAAAATAATAAATAATATAGATTATCATTAATTTTTCAAACCTAGGCGACATCAGTTTTCCTAATATTCCCGAACTGAACAAAGCATTATACAAAACACCAACAATTAACAACAAAACCAACACGAATCGACCGAAGAAATTTCTTGGTACCTCCGAAGTGTTAAACGCCTGAAGAAAGAAAAATCCAAGAATTTTGATTAATTTTGGACTGTTGTCTTCACTGAAACATGAAGATCTTATAATAAAAACATTTAATTTTATCATAATAATTACTCACTTGTATTGTTCTTTATAAAAATGAAAATAAATAGCAACAAACACATAACTGCCAGCTATAATCAACCATAACTCAATTGAAAATACTTTTAGCATGCTATCTACTTCATATACGATTCTGTAAAAGATATATCAATATTTAAATATTTAATTGAATATATTGTGAGTTAAAATGTTTATATTTACGTAGGTTTGCGGACATAGAAGGAAACTTCAAGTTTTCCAAGTGTATATGTACCTAATCTTGTACCTCCAGCTATCATTCCTAAAAATGTTTAAATTTTGTTTAAATTTTGTTTAAATATTTTTTATTATAAATGTTTTATTCTTACCAAATCCAAACATATATGTATTTTCATTTCCTAGATAATTCACAGTTTCAAAATTAATATTTATTGACTTTGCGAATAAATCTAACATACGAACATTTGTTCCTACATGATAAGCTGAAATATTTTAGTTATATATCATTTTTTAAATCTTAATTTATCATAAATTATTCTTACGATAAACAAAAGCAGGTGGAATTGTATCAGTAGGAACAAATCCAAAAATTGTAGCATTTGAATATCTTTTCCTTCGAAAAAAACTTTCAATATCAACAGACACATCCAAAAATCTATTTTCAATCAAACTCCATCGATTCACAATTTCCACAGTTGTCAGATTCCAATCACTAAACTCTTGTATTACCAAATAATCATTTTCCAGCCTAACAAAAATACTTTCCATTGAAAAAAACGTATAAGCTTTATCATAAATGTCATCATTCTCCAAAAACACAATCGCTTTGAATCTGTGTTCAGTATTTTGTGGAATACAATTGCGCAGAAACTCCGAACGATTTGTTGATATTGGATCAAAGACAATGTAATGAAAACAACTCGCGTAACATTTCGGTGAGTTTATCATCTGCGGCACGGTGAAATTTATACTTGCAGGTAAATAATAATTGTTTACAGAATGAGATAACTGCATGATACAAGGAGCATCTGGAAAATGCCATGTCACTATTAAATTTATAAACAAGTTGATAGAATTCCGAACGGAATGCTTTGCGTATAGTTCTGATAACATTTTGCAACTGAATGATATTTAGTTAAAATCATAGAAGAACGATTATTTCAACATTTATTTAAAAAATCATAAATTACTTTCCGCTGGTAATTATTTAGTATTTAGGCGCCTAGAATCTACACATTTACATCAATTATCTTCTTTGTACTTGGAGCTGACGGCAGAAGGAATATAGTCACAATTAGAACTAGAAACAAATAATTATTACTACGTAATTATCCAAAATATCATGAGGAATGTTTACCTAAATGATCCAATCCATAAAAGTAAAACATATAGTCACATAGATTGTATATTAATGGACCTGTAATATTGCTACCAGCAACGGCACCTATCCTTCCAGCCATTAGGGAAATGGATAATGCCATTGCACGTAACTGTGTCGGAAAAAGATCCACAACAATGGCATTAATAACACCTACGCATGTTGCTGACGCCAAAAATACTCCGATTAGACTTTCAATAGGAATCATCCCAGAGACATTTTGTGCTGCCAGTCCACAAGATGTCGTGATTACGATGAAAATGATTACCAAATTCTTCGCACCGATTACGTTTATTACTATTCCATTGAAAATGTATATGACCGCAAATGCAGCACCAATGAATAGAGAAATGAGAAAAACGTTGCCTTCGACTGTGTCAACACAAACAGCTTCGACCATACGCCCCTAAAACAATTTTAAATTATTATTTTTTAAATACAAGAAGTAAATACTTACATTTCGCAAGATGGTTTTATTATTGTGATAATTTATAGCATCACATAACATAATTGTTTCATCAGAGCTTGTTTTTGAATAAATTGACATTCTATTCAGAATTTCTGGGTACCACATTAATAATCCTGAAGATCTGTAATTTGGGTTGCATACGTTTAAATTTTAAAAAATATTTGTAAAAATTAACTTACGATCCAAAAGCTCCAAATTGTAGCAAGCAAACCATAAAAGTTTTCAAAACGTACGCCTTTTTAAACAAAGGTATAGTTTGTATCCACATCTTTTTGAAAAGACTTCGCTTTTTGTTCTCTTTCACATCCGTAGGTTCATCCCAGATGATTTCGGTGATCGGATAATCCTCCTTGGACTTTCCAGTATTTATCGCATACATTAGTCGTAAAATATCTAAAGATTCTTCTGCACGTCCTTGCGACATTAAATACTTAGGACTTTCAGGTAATCGCAACAACCACAATGCAAATAATAAACTAGGAATACCATAACATATCACTAACAATCTCCAAGGACGAAAATCAATGCCCAGTGCAGGAATATCATATGAAAAGTCCAATGGGAGAATCAACCATGCAAAACCAGGGATAACCATGTTACCAATAGCGACGAAGGTTGCTATCCATGAAACAACCTTGGGACGATAGACGCGATCATGAAATTCACCTACGTAAGCGTAAACCACTGCTGAGGCTCCACCCACGCTGTAAAATTTCAATTATGTAATGTTAAAATATTTATCATTATGTGTACACTTACAAGAAGCCATTTATATATCTGATCAATATGAATAACCAAGCCCATGGGATAATACTCGATGCTATGCTTGTGATAAAACTGCAGAGCATACTTGTGATCAAAACGTTTCGTCTTCCTCGGGTATCAGCAATGAAACCCCACATATGTGAACCGGACACAACTCCCAAGAAACTAATTGCGTTTAGGATGCCTTTCGTTGATAAATCCAAGTCTAAGTCACATTGGGAAGCGGGTACAATCATCATCATACACATGGTTTCAATGATGACCACCATGAGGCATCCGCCAGATGCGAAAAGGACTTGGATGTTGAATTTGCCATAACCTGTTTAAAAAAAAAGTTTATTTAAAAAAAAAAGTGTTTAAATTGATTTTTGAATTTTGTTGTTTACCTGTTTGATGAATTGCATCTTCAAATTGTGCTTTTTTTGGTGTATCGACCGCCATTTTGTGTAGTTTCTCGCCGCGGTTGAAAATGATGTCAATTTACGTTTTTAGAACATTTCGGGTGAATGCTGTAATATCACTTTTAATTTATTCATACAACACCACGAACTGAGTGGCTTTTCCCAAACGCATTCAAATAATAGCTGTGTCAATGTTTGCGCCGAGAAAACTTTTTGTTGCTTCATTAAAATATTCTTATCATTTCATAACAGTTTTATGATTATTACGATGGTTCATGAGAAAATTTACAATGCTGTTATTTTCGCTTGGGTTAAAAGCAATCGCCAAATGAAAGATTTACGATTTTTTTCTTTTGATTTTCGGTTGATTTCCGTTTATATATTGATGGATGACTACTTGAAATGAACAACGCGCGGTTAAATAGTGACGCGTGCGAGCACTCAAGTGATTCTATCGAAAGCGGAATTGGTTTGCGTCCGCATCCCTGAAATTTGAGATATTTTGATATTTGCATGTCTATCAATCATCCGATCTTTATTGATTGGCATGCATCTATTATGAGGAGATTGCTAATATTGACTAGCGATTATCAAGGATTTGAAAATCTCATTGTGGCTCAGGCAAATGCGTTAGCAAGGTGCAATGAGTCATAATAAAAAGTCAAGGATGTGACGATTAGGATTACCCCAGATAATAAACTTTTAACAAACAATTGTATAAACATTGTTGGAAAATGCATATCACCAGTTTAAACAGGAAAATTTCAGAAAACAGTCAAAATAAAATACTCACGTTTTACAAATAAAAACAATCAAAAATTATTCAAAGTTAGCAGTTTAAACAATTTCAATCACAATCTGAAACTGAATTCATACTGCTTTATTATTATTATTTTTTAAAAATTGATATTTTATAAAATTACATTTAACAAGCTTTTGCCCGTGACTTCGTCCCGATAGTGTTTAATATAAATGTAATTCGTTTTTACTCCCTTGTTCTAGACATAGTATGTGTCAATTTTATCAATAAGATTCGCAATTTTATTTTAAAGAAATTAATTATATGAAGAAGGGCTAATAATGCACTGAAGTGCTGAAGCACGCCATCTCGAATTCTACTATTTAACTATAACTATGATTGAATCTCCATGCCAACTTTTATCCTATAGAAAAGGGCTGTCATTAGGGTTTTCCAGGCAATTATTCGAATTTTACTGGCCGTAAAAACCATCTTTGGACTTTAACAAACATTTTAAAAAAAGAATTGGCCAAATTGGTCAAAGCGTTGTTGAGTTATGCGCTTACCAACAAATTTTGCGATTCATTTTTATATTATAGATAAATTGTGACGTTTTGTTCAAATTACATTTTGAATTGTATTATTAACAAAGATTACATAAATATTGTCTGAAACAATATCATAAACCACTCTATCATTATTATGACGGTCCTTTGCTTGGAAGTAGGAACGTTATCAGCGAAGAGCCTAAAAATATAATATTATGTTTGTTATGCATAATTTTACTATGAAGTAGTATAACACACTACATTTAACAACGCGTGATAAAATTATTTAACTTTTACTTACCGATGAGACTTGCCGCAAATAACATGAATGATACCTCGCAGTTCCAGACGAGTAAATAACCCAAAAGTGAGCTTGTAACAATCGAACCCACACGTCCACTCAACATCGTAAGACAAACAGCCATTCCTCTTAAATTAGTCGGGTAGATTTCAACCACTGCTGTGTTGACAACCACAACGCATAATCCTGATAAAACTAACAAAAGTATAAACAAGATGTCGATTGCGATCGGATGTGTAATAAAATGTAATGTGAATGTTGCCAGGCCGGATAATCCAAGAAAAATGACTAAAAATATGAAAATTTGATTAAAATTATTTTAAAAATTTTAAATAAAAATTTAAATACTTAGGATTGCTTTGATTCCGATTTTATTCACCAATGCACTGATAACTATATAACCAATGGTGAATCCAAGTCCCAGTAACATATTTTGTGAAAACACCGAACTGTCAATATTAATTATGCATTCAGTATCAGTGCTGGTATTGTTTAATGTACTCTTCGGAGCAAATGGCAAATTTAAAGCCTGACAGACTGTAATCTCTTCTTTTGAGCGCGATATTTGCTGTAGAATATGTGGATACCACAAAAATAATCCGCCAGATGTCGCGAATACTCCGCTTTGTATCGTGCATACCAGCAATGTCTTCCACACGTATTGCCGGTTGAATAAATCCCACATATGGCCGTCGTTATCTGTTTCTTCACATGATAACTTCTCAATCGGATATGGAGTTTTCACATTGTTTAGTTTATGCATTTTACGCATAATGCTCAAAGCTTCCTCACAGCGTTGTGATTGAGCTAAAAATTTCGGACTTTCTGGTGATAGATACAACGCTATGCAAGCAAGTATTGCTGGTGAGCCACAGACTAACACAAAAACTCTCCATGATGCCACGTTAAGTCCAAAAAACAATCCGGAGAAATCTAGTGGAATGATGATCCACGCCATGAAAGGAATCAGTATTAATGCTATTCCGATGAATATGGACATTACCAAAATGGCAAGTGACCTATATCTCGCCGAGAAAAATTCTCCAATGTAGGGGAATGATAATCCAGTTGCAGCGGCCACACTAAAATTTTATTTTTATTGTTTATGTAAAAAAAAATTAATTTTTTGTTTTTGAAACTTACAAAGTACCATTTAGAAATCGGAATAATGCTACCATCCAATAAGTGGGAGCTAAAACTGATAAAATGGTACATAAAGAGCCAGCTGCTAAAGTATAGAGCATAATATTTCGACGGCCTAATCTATCTGATAGATATCCCCAAATAAATTGCGTTGTCAGTATGCCCACTGCGCCCACAGTGACCAAAACAGATTTTTCTTGTAGAGACAATTCCAAATCGCATTCTGCGGATGGAATTACATAGCCGATGGACCAGCTTTCAGTGTTTACAACACATAATATGAAACCACCGGTAAGGGTGATCCATATGTGAAATTTTCCAAAACCTGGTTTAAAAAATATTAACAAAAAATTTAAAAAATTGCAAAAAACGCAAAAAAAAAATTTTTGGGAAAAAAAAATTACCAGTTGCGTCTAAAGCTTCTTCCATATTTCCCTCCCGAGTGCTCTTCTCATCTTTGCTTAATTTTTTCTCCATGTACTCCATTTTGTTACAACTTGCGTTATCCTCGATGTCTAAAACATGTCGGATATAGCACGCTCCACTTCAACCGTACGTAACAATTCCGATTGTAAAACGCCTTACTTATTGACCCGGGCATTTTCGTATTTTACCTCTTTCTTTACATTAATTAATTAATTACAAACTAATTTTGATTTTTATTGAAGAGTTTTGCGCTCGGTAGACTTTGTGACTTTGAAATGAAAATATTATGAAGCAGCAAAGTTTATTAACATAATGCCGACTTTAAAATGGAATTAATCTTTATTTGCTCTTGTATTGTTAAATTAATTACGCAACGCAATTACGTTTTGCCAAATTTATAGTCCTGGAAGACAGTAGCGTCTCGAAAATGGCGGCCGGTAACAACGACAAAGTCATGATCACGCATTGGAATAGTGAATTGGCTTAGCAACTTGCCACGTGAAACTTTTAGAGCAAATAATCAAAATGACGTCGTCGAAAAAATCACATTCAAATAGAATTATGTTGGGTGATAAATTAATTTTTGTTTTATTTGAAAAAAAATTAACAATATCATTGATAGCTAAAGAAAACAGCAGTTTAAATAGAGTTTAGTATACTCTTAAATCATTATTAATAAAAAAAATTATTATTGGCATCTATAATTATTCAAAATATTAAAAAAAAATTTTTTCGAAAAAATTTGTTTTTTAATTTTTCAAAAAAAAAAGAAAATGTTGCAATTTTTGCGAATGTCGTCACATTCTTTAAACATAACATTGTGAAAACCCTGATAACGATAATGAATTCATTACTGGATATATCCAGATTGTTCTGCTACAAATTTAAACGTAATACCTGCAGATTAATCTTGCGCTGTCTTTGTATTTGCCTGTATACAATCGATGTGTGTCACTGATAAGCAGTCAATGTAAAATATTGTACTTTTATTAACATTTCCATTGTTCTTTTGATTGCCTAAATGATCAAAATACAATTGTATTAACCACATAATAGCACCGGCTGCAAAAAAAAAACATTTCTGCATTCAAATCCGCCTGTTTTCAATAAATTCATGTTGTTTCAACAAGCGTAATCATACGCCATGAATAACTCTACCATGCAAGTGTAATATTTTCTATAAAAAAAAATCTAAAAACACGTTTTTTCAATGGATAAACATCCATCGAATACGACAGATGTAGATACGGCATTAAAAAATGCCGGTTTTGGAAAATTTCATATTTTGATCGTGATCACTGGTGGCTTGATGATGTATACAGCCAATTCCGAAAGTTGGTCGATTGGATATGCGATTTCATCGGCCGAATGTGAAATGGGTCTGGATCTGCACGAAAAAACACTTTTATTATCAATCGGATCTTTGGGAATGATATCCACACAGTTTTTCTGGGGTTATCTCTCGGATAAAATCGGAAGACGCATCGTTTTGATCCAAACTTTACTCTTGGGATGCATCTGCAACATTTTCTCGATTCTAGTGACACCATTTTGGTTAATAGCTACTTTTCGGTTTATGAACGGCGCATTGTAAGTTGATATTATTCTATTTTGTTAAGAAATATAAATAATTTTAATATTATAGTATTGCCGGAGCAAGTGGTCTTAGTATTGCATACGTAAGTGAATTTTTTTCATCACGACATCGTTCCATCGCCATTTTGATCATGTCCATCTTCATCGGGCTCGCGTTAATCATGATTCCGCTCTGGGCGTGGTTAATCATCCCCGAAAAGGTCTCCTGGACGTTTTTGGGGAAACATTTAGACGCATGGCGGATTTATATGTTGGTTTCCGGTTTGCCAGCGTTGTTAGCTTGTTTCACTTTGTATTTTTGTCCGGAAAGTCCGAAATATTTAGTGCAAGCACAATGCTACCAAGAAGCTCTGGAAGTATTGAAGCAAATACATAAAATCAACAACAATCAGACTGAGTTTACCACCGAGAAACTATCGAATGATGAAGTGGGTAATAAAGATGTACAAATATGGAAGTTGTTTAGCTTCAAATACGTTTGGAAGACGTTTGTGTTGTGTATTTTACAAGGTGGTGTGTTTGCTACGTCGTGTGGATTGTTTTTATGGTATCCTGATATAATTAAACATATATCAGTTTCGAAGGAAGATGTGACTGTTTGCCAAGCTTTGGATTTTGGTAAAACAGATACAGAGACTGATTGTGATTCAGTTGATGATTCGGTGTACGTGCAGAATATTTTAGTTGGTGTGGCGTATACGGTGGGATATGTTGTGATAAGTGCCTTGGTAAACAAAATAGGCATTAGGAATATTCTAGGTATTATAATTTGGTCAAAAAATCAAAAATATAATTTTTAATTTTTTAGTTTCTTTTCTCGGCGTTGCGGGTTTGGCAACTTTTGCATTACACGTAGTCGTAAATCAGGATATTATCAATATTTTATTTATTTTACTCCTGACACTTTCTGGAGTGTGCGCTGTGGTTGTAAATGCTGCTGTCGTGGATCTGTATCCGACTAAAATGAGAGGAATGGCAATTTGTATGGTGATGCTGAGTGGACGCATTGGTAGCATACTGGCGAGTTTTTTAGTTGGTTATTTACTCATCTGGAATTGCCAAGTTACGTTTATCTTGTTTGGAGTCAGTCTCATTGGTATGTTTTACTTTTTATCATTATATCTCAATGAAACTGATAATGTACTTACGTTTATTTACGACCTAGATTACATTAGATCATCTTTTGAACAAAAAATAATTAAATCAACTTTACGTAAAATACGTAAATTGTTATATAATTATTTATTTATTTTTCAGGATGTTCTATACTGAGTGTAGCATTAACTCTATATCTTCCTAATAAAAATTGTTGGGAATGAAGTGGGTGATGAACTGATGAAGAATTCTATAGATGGCGATGGTTAACCTTCTATGTAAATTTTGTTAAGCGACGGACACAAAATGGGGATTTTTGGAATAACTCACCAGCTATCGGAGGGGTTTTGACTAAACCACTTATATAGTAAAATGATGATTTTGGGAAATGATCACTGATTATATCCCGCTTGTCGTACCATCTATCGCAGTGGTTCTCGGCAAATATCTGATCTACTATATTGATAGCTCCAAACTTTTAAAAATATTTAAAAACAAAAATTTCTGGTTTTGTGGTAGAATTTTCAAGTTGTAGTTGTGACAATATCCAGTACGCCCTCTAGTGTCAAAAAGCATAACAATATTTAAATATAACTTTGTATAGTTAAATTTACATACTGAACAAACTACATTTAATAATTACTTATATACTAAACTCATAATTATAAGTTACCTTTACTTTATTTTACAAAGTAATAATAGTATAAAGTATAACAAGTTGCCTATCTTAATTCTCTGCTCATTCCTGAGCAGAGTTTGAAAGTATTGATCCATTTCCCGAGCTATCTTCCACTGAAAGTTTACTATGTACTTGTTCTGCGTGCCTGTTCCAAAGGCTTTCTTCGAAGATACCAGAGTGACCTTCCGGGACCATTTTCGAGTGGTTCCCGGACACCCCAAGCAACCAATGTGTTTGCCCTCACAAACCAAACCCCTAAATATTTACCTGAAAATAAAACACGAATTATAATGTGTTTTCCATGGCAATAATTGTATTGTATATATACAATTCACTATACAAACATAATATTTACTACTAACAAGTAGTTATTCCTTTATTTAATCATTTTCTGTTTCCTAAAGTAAATTTCCCGAAAGTGGTCGCAATCCCCGCTTGCACTTCTGTTTCCCTGATGATGAATTTCTCCCGGTAGATATCAGCATGACCTTTTGAACTCTAGCAATGCCCGCTGGTTGCCAGGATGGATATACGAGTACTTGCGACTGTTACTAACCAATGTTGGTAGGCGCAGTCAAAATGTTGAACAGAAAATTTATTACACCACCTCAAGGGCGAAGCATGCGTAAACCCTGACCTTCTTGGCTATCGATCGCTAATTGCTTCTTCACAATGCCATTGAACTTGCGTTCGAATGCGAATGCAACTGTATACACAGAGATCAATTATTGTCAATAACTCTTGCAGCTTGTTTGCAGTCCAAGGAAAAGTTTCCTTGAAGAACCAATCAAGAACAAACACAGAGTGACAGGGTAGAAAGTGGAAGCCATCAGAGTGGTATAAATAGCTATAAATTACCAATTCAGTGATTATTTTATGAATTTTCAGAAAGTGTAAGCGCAGGTGATTGCGAAAAGGATTCAATCGATATATACTACTTTCTTTCTTCACAATCTATTACACTTGACACTTAAATCATTTATTTATTGTTTCTGAAGCATTGGTTAATGGGTTTTTCAAGAAAACAGCCAAATTACGGATTATTAGATCAATTGTTCAATTGGTAGTAAATCAGTTACAAGAAAATTGTTGTTTGTGATTTATAACTTGATTGAATTTCGTTTCAAGCTCCAAACATTAATCTTGAAAGTAAAGAACTATTTTTTTGATAGGGTTGATAACCGCCAGACAATGGGTTATGATTTATTATGTTGAAAAATATAAAAATAAATTGCAAAATCTGTTGGTATGCGCATAACTCAACAACGCCTAGACCAATTTGGCCAATTCTTTTTTTAACATGTTTGTTAAAGTCAAAGAATGGTTTTTACGGCGAAAAAAAAACGAATAATTGCCAGAAAAACCCTAAAAACAGCCCTTTTCTATAGGATAAAAGTTGGCATTGAGATTCAATCATAGTTATAGTTAATTAGTTGAATCCGAGATGGCACCCTGAAGTGCATTATTGGCAATTCTTTATATAATTAATTTCTTTAAAATAAAATTGCGAATCTTATTGATAGAATTGAAACATACTACGTCTAGAACAAGCGAGTAAAAGCGAATTACATTTTTATTAAACACTACCGTGGGCCTTAGCTAGTTTTTATTATTTTTTAAAGCCTTTCATTAAAACCTCTACAAAACATGAAAATTTTAGTTTCTGGTCACTGTACTTCTATTATTTATGCTTAGAGTTCAAATTGAATCATTGTTTTAACAATATTTACCGTTTAATAATTAAACATTACAATTGATTCACGTATCCGCCTATGTTTACAGCATTAATTGATCGTATTTACAAAATATACAAATTTATTGACATAATTAATGAATCAAATGAAAACAATGGAAAGTTTTCAGCGCTTATTAAAATAATTTTTCAATTAAAATCAAAAGCAAATCTTTTATTAATAATAAATCTAAGACTAAATAAAAATAATGAATATTCTTGGAAACGGAAAGTTCTATTGTCCAAATTGTTTAAAATCCGCATTCATAAATATGCTAATAACCTGCATAGTTTATTAAATTTGCGCTGATTCAATGATTCAACATTGAATGGAATGTTGGACACGCACCTCGACGCAGCCCATACAAAAATCGTGACGGCGGCGTCGAGAATCCGAATGATTTTTGTTTTTTTCCGCTCGAAATTGATGTTTTCACGCACACCTTGTCAACCCGTGGGTGCTCCTGCTTAACCAAGGCTTTACCCGTCTATAACAATCGCCCGCCGCCGTCGGTCTATTCTATTCCTGCGTTTTCGATCGGTCAGTTCACGTCGATCTAATCTACTATCAATTTCAAACCACCAAGCACGCACAACGCATCTAATTTCATTCGTATTAAAACACCCACCGTGCTAATAGTTAATAATAATTTCTATCTTGTAATTTGCGCCTTGCAATAAACAATTGTTGCGATTACAATAACATTACAAATGCATCTTGTTGCCAATTGATCCATACGCATTGCAAACATTGACTGTTGCCACAACAATTAAATAACAAACGTTTGATAAAAACGCGATGTGTAATTGCCGGACGTTCTATTCATTAGATAATATTTTATTAATTAACACGTCCGGCGTGGTGGGCATCGATTTTAATCAAAATTGCGGCTGATTTCGATCGGAAATTAAAATTCAAACAAAGTGAAAGAAAGTTTTAAAGTTTTTGTGATAAAATGAGTCCTAATCAGCACTTTGACTTCGTTTCCGGACCACCATCTGCAAAAACAGAGAAATCTGATAGTGCAGAGAGCAATAAATGCAATAGTGGAAAATCTACGGCTACATTGAGTGAACAAAGTGATAAAAGTAAAAATTGTAATAATTTAGAGTGTCGTGATATTCACGATTCGCTTGACTTTGACAACGCTGTACAATTAACAGGTAATGAAATATTTTCTTTTTTTTTTTTGTATTTTAAATTAATTTTCATGTAACTTAAGAACAAAATTGCTTATCACGTGACAATGGTCAGGGCTATAATATGTTTCTAAAAGTTAACAACTTTGAACTAGTTTATTGAGTTTATTTGTGTTTATTTACTTAAATGCAATGTTATAATTTTTAAAACCAAACAATGCAATGCTTTAACACTAGATGAGCAAACAATTATCTATAAATATTTGTTGTTCGGAACGAGTCATTGTCAATCGAAGAAAAAACTGTGCTAATGGAACAAGTTCACATTTAATTGAATTTGTCAGCATTTTTTGTTGATTATGTGTGTAAGATGTAAATAAATTTTAATTGTTTAAACAAAAAGGACCAAAAAGGACGAAAAAGTCCTCCCCGGCGGGGAATCGAACCCCGGTCTCCCGCGTGACAGGCGGGGATACTGACCACTATACTACCGAGGACTCGTGTTAGTCCTGATAAATTATTAGTAGATTACTAAAACAAATTTAAAATAACTACTTTGTAATAGAATGAAAATTATCCTTAAAATATAATAACCTATATTGTGGACTATTTAGTATTTAGTGGAATGTTACGTATCAAAAATTCTTCATTCAGCAATAAAATAAAACAATCTAATTGTAGCCCAATAACCATGACCTTAATTTTATCGATTATTTATTGTCAATTATCACTATTTTCCCTTTCTACGATTCTTCATTCATAAATTTAGATTTACGAAAATATTAGTTTATTTACGACCCAATACAAGGTTAAACCTAACCTAAAACCTAACTTTAATCTTTAATCTCTAAATTTTAATTTCAGGTTATGGTCTATTTCACTACCGACTAGTAGCTGTCTGCGCCCTCTGTCTATTAAACAACGGTCTACAAAACGGTCTAGCCGCCTATGTATTCCCCGCAGCGCAATGTGACCTTCACCTCACCTCTGCCGAAATCGGCTATTTAAACGTAGCATTCCTCGTCGGCGGCGTCTGCAGTTCATTCCTCTGGGGTGCCATCGCCGACCTGATTGGCCGACGCCGTGTCCTACTCTACACCCTTCTCATCTCATCGGCTTGCACCCTCGCCGGTGCCCTACAACAACACTACATCGGTCTATGCGTATGCCGCTTCTTCAATGGATTCCTCACCGGCGCAGCCGGAAGCATAACATTCAACTACGTCTCCGAATTCCACGCTCCGCAACACCGCTCGAAGAGCGTATGCTATTCGGGCGTGTTCTACACAAGCGCCTGGCTCCTGCTGCCGGTGCTTTCCTTCCTCATCCTGCCAATACCGGCGGCACGCCTTGGCGGCGTGAGCGCTTGGCGCCTGTTCCTCGCCGTCGTCGCCGTTCCTGAGTGCCTGGCAGGTGTGTGCCTGATTTTCCTACCTGAAAGCCCCAAGTACGCGGCGGAGAAGGATCGCGATAAGGCGCTGCGCATCCTCAGCGATATGTATGCGGAAAATCGCAGGTGCGATGCGGGTGAATTTCCCGTCAAGCATCTACGTGCTGAATCCACCGATATTTATGACATCGAAGAGGCGATGGATGTTGTATGCGTTGGGAAAGTCAAGCGACTGCTTGGAGAAATGCTCACACAGATTAGGAAGATATTTCAACGTCCGTTGGTCTACATGACTGCTTTGATTTCGTTCATTATGTTCTGTAATATGTTTGGGTAAGTGTGCACGGCGGTAATATGCTGATAAGAACTGTTATCGCGTTTACGTTTCGTGTCGTCACGCGCAGGTGTGTTGTGTTTCACCTGTTTTGCATTTTCTTTCGTTGTGGCACTGTTATACTTGCTCGCGTTGCTGTTCTCCTGATAGCTAGTTTTTTCATTCGCGGAAAACTCAGCTGGGAAAGTTCTAAAACATTTATAATAATATTTTAAAAATATTTACAAATATAAATTAATCTTTAAACGCCATCTACCGGTACAAATCATAATTTTTTTTTGTTTTTGATATTTTTAGATATTTTGGACTTGGTTTATGGCTTCCAGAACTCTTCATGCGTTTCGAACAATTCGAGGAACGATTCCCCAATAAATCCGCAAGCGTTCAGTACTTGGCATCAATGAATTTCGTCAAAAACGCAACTTGTGTGCCCGAATTCAACGCGAAACTCTTTCGCACCACTTTATCCATCGGTGTCTCATCTTTACTTGGTAATATAGTGTCTGGATGGCTTTCTGGAAGACTCTCACTCAAAGTAATACCATTTGTGACGATGTTTGTCGGCGGTGTGTCTTCTGGAATTATCTACTGGTTGAATTCGGCGTGGCAGAACTTGGCAGTCGCGTGTATTTTCCAGACAGTTATGGCTACAGCTAATATCACGCTAGGGGGCGTTGTTGTCGAACTGTTTCCGACGAAAGTGGCCGGTATCGCACTGTGTTTGACACTCTTCGTTGGCCGCGTTAGCGGAATGTTAAGCAATTTAATGTTTGGATTGCTTATGGACAAACAAGCGGCGATACCAATTTTTACTGTGTCAGCGATGCTGCTTATTGGCACGGTGTTTTGTTTGTTCATTCCGAATAGTAACGCGGCGAATAAAAATGCTTCCAGCGCGCGCAATAAACTCACAGAGGTGATTCGCAAACAGTCGATTTCTGTTGCTGTCATTGTTGCTGGCAATGATAAACAAATTGTTTAATTATGAGTTATTACATTACATTTTATTTTATTGACATATTTAAGTATATTTATGCATTTTTAAATACAAAAAGCGTAAAGTTAAGGTTATGTAATGGACCTTATATGGACCTATTATAAAAAAAAACAAGTTTTTATAATAAAACTAGCTGATTTCACGAATTATTTCTTTGTTTTTATTTTAAATTTATTTATAGAAATTGTGTCGTGGTAAAATTGCAAATTTTTCTTCGCAGATATAATAAAGTTTTTTACTGCAAATCCAGTCGTTCCATGTATGAAAACCATTGCCTTCGGATTTCCATACGTGAACACAATTTTCGTTCCCCCGGCATTATCTGGTTGGATTCCTCTCCAATGTGTATAGGTGAAACCTTTACCTGTACTCATCCAAACAAAAATTCCTTCTTGACCTTGATCAGTTCCCGATGTCCACATCCATTCAGTATCTACATCTAACAAATTCAAATATTAAACAATGTTTTGTTTAAACAATTATTTTGTAATTTTACTTACCTGTTTTTGCAATTGCTTTTTCTAGCGAATTTTGTTCTTCATGAGAAGTGATTGTAGCCAGTTGCAAACCTCGAGATAAACAATCTTGGAAAGCCTCATACCAATTTAACTGAAATTATAATTTTAATTATAAAAATAGAAAATACTTATATTGTGCTTTAAATATTACTTTCACAGATGTAATAATGTAGTAATTTTTAGCAGAGATGGCAGAAATTAAGGAAAAGCCCAAAATGAATATGCTTAATGCTCGCATTGTGAAAGACTGAGCAGAAGCGAATTATTGAGCTTGCTTATAACTAAACGAGAATAATTATTAGGTCATTGTCTTGATATAAGTCGCAATAATGAAAACAACAATAATCTTAGGTCATTAATCATTAATGTGGCACAAAGTACGAAGTGTATTTTCCAAAAAGTTAAAAAAACAAGAAGTCAGAGTATCATCATCTCTAAACAAGTGAATAGAGAAGCGGAACACTTTTTAAGGACAATTTTAAGACAAATTTCTAAATAATACTTTGATCTCCTTTGGTTATGGTTTGATAATAGCTTACATTTACCGACATTATTGGTGATGCTTGATTAAATGAATAAAATTGTGTTCCAACATATAGAGTTCTTTAAAACAATAACTGTATCTGAACTTTTTCAAAAATTACTTGAGTCAAGAAAGGAATTTGAATTTTCTTAGATTAGGACAACACTACACCGGTAGTGATCCAACATTGTCATAGGCAATATCATTCTAATTAAAATTTAAAACTTATCAACTAAAAAGTATTTTTTTACCCATTAAACCGACAATTTCTATAAAAATATTTTATTTATTGTAAACAGAAATATCTTCCAGAACGTTATGAGTAAAATTTGTCGACGTTCAAATCAACCTTGACAACATTATTGGTTTCGAATTTGTCCTCACAAGCATATGGCACCATTTTAACCCAAAAACCAGTAAAAAGTAAGAAATTTAAAGAAAACCTTTAAACAATTTTCTACATTTAATTACAATAAATATTTTGTGCGTCTGGTTTATCTTCACAAATGTAATACAATTTGTTTTCACAATGCCAATCGTTCCATTTGTATACACCATTTATCATCCATATATGCACACAGTTTTCTCTTCCGTTTCCATTGTCTGGTTGAGTAAAGCTCCATTTCGAATAAAGTATAGGTTTACCAGTGCTCATCCAGATAAAGTTCCCTTCTTCACCTTGATCAGTGCCCGAAGTCCACAACCAGTTATTACCCACATCTGAAATAAACAATCATATAATTATCTTTTTCTACTTCCACCTATAAAGCGCCAGGTTTCCACGATTTTTAAACACAAAAAGTGGTACTTTGTTTACGGACGGCCAAGCCGTACATAATATTCATTATGTTCTTGCATTAATGCACGGGACGGAGCAAGCGCCTGCGCATTTGTCTACTGACCAGCATAAGGCGGTATGTAATGCCATGCACTTACAACCTTACAGTTTGTAGAAGTGTGCAAGCAAATTTCGATGATTTAAAATACAAAAACCGCAACGTGGAACTAGGGTGCTCGCTCTCCATCAATCACGTCTGTAATGCCCTCGTTTAGCCATTTGTTATTTAATATATTAATATTGTTACCTGATATTTAATTTGACTTACTTGATCTTTTAAGCACGTCTTCAAGATCAGTTTGTTCTTCGTAGGAAGTGATTGTAGCCAGTTGTAAGCCGCGAGATAAACAGTCTAGGGCGGCTGAATGCCAATTTAGCTAAATTGGTCAAAATAAATAAATTCATATCATTATGAGAAGTTTGATTAAATTTATATTAAATATTACTTTATTTATCTTAAACACATAGTATTTTTTAGTAGAACTAACAAAAACCACACAGATGCAAATAATAAATACTCTTAACGCTTGCATTTTGACAGAATGAACAGAAAGCCATTTCGGTCGTTGAATATAAACAACACAGACTGTAAAAACGTCATTCTGGCAAAACCAGCAAAAAATATAATAGGCCATTATCTTGGGTCACATTGGTCATTGATTGAGCCAACTTGAGGAGAGGCCTTGCTTTATCATGCAGGAAAAAAAATTTAGATTCAAAAATTCCGAACACCTGTAGGACACAAATTTGTCGTTCTATTCTATTCCTGCGTTTTTGATCGGTCAGTTCACGTCGATCTAATCTACTATCAATTTCAAACCACCAAGCACGCACAACGCTTCTAATTTCATTCGTATTAAAACATCCGCTGTGCTAATAGTTCATAATAATTTCTATCTTGTAATTTGCGCCTAGCAATTAACAATTGTTGCGATTACAATAACATTACAAATGCATCTGTTGATTGATAATAGTAACGTATAGTTTCAATATTGGTTTTGCATGTTTAAATGAACGACGTTATATTCAAACATGTATAAATATTTGAAGCTCAAAAATGGTTGTTTGTAAAGTAGGTTTACGATCGAGATGTTTACGTGATAACGTCTTATTGGTGATATAAGTTTTGTTTGTTGCAATTGTTGTAACACTTCACTTGCACTTCACATTTTGTTTTACTGTTAAACATTCAACGAAAACTAAGGCTCCCGCACACTACAAACTTTTATCGGCCGATAAATAAGTTTGATAGGCTACCCAACTGCGTTCAAACTAAACTATCGGCCAACCAGGCCAACTATCGGCCGACTTCGATATCAGTATGGAGCTCGTCGCAAGCGCGCACACCTACCGATTGTTTAGTCGGCCGACTTGATCAATTTAGTTCGCTCAGAGTATTGGTGCAGTCGGCCGACTGTTGTCTAGTGTGCGCACTCACCACAAACCCAACTGTTTAGTTGGCGTAGTGTGCGCGCTCACAGCCCAACCCGATCAAAATATCGGCCGATAAAAGTTTGTACTGTGCGGGGAGCCTAAGGTTATAACGAGAGGGGTATACCTGCGATCGGCCTCGTGAGGCCTCGCGACACAGTTTCTGAACCGGTCACCCGTAAAACGATTTTAAAGACGTTATCACGTCAAAACTCCAAAATTTCTTGAGTCAAGGAAGAAGACGTATTTACTTTTTAGGTAGGTTTGAGGTTAACGAGTTTTTGTAAAAATTGAAAACTGCTCAAATATGTGGACATACGATCAAAGCAACATTGACGTTTCATGCCCGAGCGAGTGTAATTTGATGAGAGGAGAGATTGAATGTTGTTGTTTTCATAGAGTTGAAACCATGAGTGTCATAAGCAATACCAAGTTTAAATTCAAGTTCAAAAGTTACCAACCAAGATATTTTCAAACAAGTAAACCAGAAATTTCTACAAAAATATTTTATTGGTTGTAAATAAATCGTTATAAGTAAAATTAGTCGACGTTCAAATCTATCTTGACAACATTATTGGTTTCGGCTTTGTCCTCACAAACATACGGCAATTTATACCTGCAACGCCCATCGTTCCAATACGCTGGAGTATTCTTGTCCACCCAATCTACAACCATGCAATGTTCATCTCCTCGTAAATTGTTTGGTTCCGATTCGCGCCACTTCGTATAAGTATACGGTTGTCCCGTACTCATCCAAATAAAGACTCCTTCCTCAGATTGATCAGTGCCCGAAGTCCACACCCATGAATTTACCATATCTATAAAATCATCATGATAGTTAGTTATATTTCATAACATAACGTAATTCTTACGTGAATTTTCTAGAACTGCATCAAATTCACGTTGATCGACTGCAGAGTTGATCGTAGCCAATTGCAAACCACGCGTTAAACAATCTTGAAACGCTGCATGCCAGTTGAGCTACAACGAATTAAAATAACGTTTATAAAATTGAATTTTTATGTAAATTTAATTCTTTTACCTTATTGACTCTAAAAAGTTTATAATTTTTAGCTGATTCCGCAAAAACTAAACAAATAACAAATATAAACACAGTAATGAAACGCATTGTGTTTGATTGAATATTAATTTTATAAGCGATTGCTCTGTTTACAGCCAGTATTTATATAAACTGTCAAATGACCTTGGAAGCCCCACCAGTTTTATTAATATTTTAATTAAAGTCATCTTAGGTCATCCGGCTCACAGGATTTCATTCAGAATACTTATTAAAACATTATTATTGACTACGAAGTTTTTTAGAGTGATAAATATGTAATAAATAAATCTAAAGGTTTTTCCCGATGTGTAATCAATTATTTAAACATATACTAGTGTCAATAACTTCAAATAAAATTTGAGTGACTTTTTTTTTTAACTTATTTGATTACGTAGAATCTTTTTAGTAGATAATTGTGTTTTCCACTGTTCGAGTAAAGAAATTTATCAAAATATGTCAAAACTTTTGTTTAAAATAATTAAACTTTGTTATTATCTACCCATTTGTTGTGTCGACCCCAAACTAGTTTGTATATACATATTCAGAAATGATAATAATACATATATAAACCTAAAAATAGAACTCTCATATTTATGCAACCGCAGTTGCACATGTGGTCTGTTTATCTTCGCAAGCGTAAAACAATTGTCGATTGCAGTCTAAATCATTCCATTTTGGTTCACCTAATGAATTCCGATAGTGCAAACATCTCTCATTTCCGCCATTATTGTTCGGTTCTTGTGGATACCACAACCAGAAAGGCACAGGTCTTCCATTGGTAATCCAACTAAAATTTCGAAATATAGGCAAATCAGTACCAGCTACCCACGTCCAGTCTTCAACAGTATCTGTAATGCAACATCGGTAGAATGTTAAATATTTTACAGTTAGTTGTTTTATCTTTTTTTTATTTAGTTACTGGTTTTTATAACAGCCATTTTTAAATCATAATGTTCATTACGATCGTTTACAGTCGCCATTTGTAATCCTCGCGCTTCACAATCTTGAAATGCTAAGTGCCAATTCAACTAAAAAATATAAACTATTTGCTGGTGCGGTTTATAATTAGGTTATTGATTTTATTACTTTATGTTTAAAAATATAATATCTTTTTGTATCGCGGTTCTGTTCTTCGCCTAAAACTAGCACGGTTGCAATTATAAAGAGAGTGAACTTCATTTTATTTTACTACTAGTGTTTTATTTGTTGTCTCCATACTTATATCGTGTGTATTTGACTGTTCAGAGTGTTAATAATTCATGTAAGTGGAGATAAACGCATGAAATTATTCAAAACATTCAAAACGCAACATTTCAAAATTTTACTTTAAATGTTTACTTGAATTTAGGCAACCTTAATTGCTTCGACACCATTTTAACCCAAAAACCAGTAAATACTAAGAAATTTTAAGAAAACCAGTACTTTTCTACATTTAATTACAATAAATATTGCTTCCACAATCAAAATAACACACTTACATAACACAGTTGTCTGACAAGATAAGAACATGGTAACAAAAATAACGTAACCTATGAATTCTCAGCGATAATCTCAATATTAATAACATTTTGTGCGTCTGGTTTATCTTCACAAATGTAATACAATTTCTTCTCGCAAAGCCAATCGTTCCATGTGTATACACCATTTGACATCCATATATGCACACAGTTTTCTCTGCCTCCCGCATTGTCTGGTTGAGGCCTGCTCCATTTTGAATAAATTATAGGTTTACCTGTGCTCATCCAAAAAAAGTTCCCTTCTTCACCTTGATCAGTGCCCGAAGTCCACAACCAATTATTACCCACATCTAAAATGAACAATCATATCTACTATAATATAAAAATGAATCGCAAAATCTGTTGGTAAGCGCATAACTCAACAACGCCTAGACCAATTTGGCCAATTCTTTTTTTTAAATGTTTGTTAAAGTTCACGGATGGTTTTTACGGCAAGAAAAATTCCAATAATAGCCTGGAAAACCCTAAAGACAGCTCTTTTCTATAAGATACGAGTTGGCTTTGAAATTCAATCATAGTTATAGTTAAGTAGTTGAATTCGAGATGGCGCGCTGAAGTGCGTTATTAGCATTTCTTTGTATAGTTAATTTCTTTAAAATAAAATTGCGAATCTTATTGATAGAATGGACACATACTATGTCTAGAACCAGAGGGTAAAAAACGAATTACATTTTTAATAAACACTGCCAAGACAAAGTCACGGGCAAAAGCTAGTAATTATCTATATTGTTAGGTGATATTTAATTTTACTTACTTGATCCTTTAAGCACGTCTTCAAGATCAGTTTGTTCTGCGCTGGAGGTGATTGTAGCCAGTTGTAAGCCGCGGGATAAACAATCTTGGGCAGCTGCATGCCAATTTAGCTAAATTTGTCAAAATAAATAAATTTATGTTATTATAAGTAGATTTATTAAATTTATATTAAATATTACTTTATTTATTTTAAACACATAGTATTTTTTAGTAGAACTAACAAAAACCACACAGACGCAAATAATAAATATTCTTAACGCTTGCATTTTGACGGAATGAACAGAAAGTCATTTCGGTCGTTGAATATAAACAAACCAGATTATAAAATCGTCATTCTGGCAAAACCCGCTTAAAATATAATTAGCCATTATCTTGGGTCACATTGGTCACTGATTGAGCAAACTGGAGAGTCCATGCTTTATCATACAGGGAAAAAAAATTTAGAATCAAAAATTCCAAACATCTACAAATCACAAATTTGCTAAATTTTTGCATTTGCGTCAAACTTTGAACAAATAACCATAATAATATCATTTATATGTGAAATATTTTACTGCATGTGTAATGTAGGCTAAATTATCAATTTTTATGCCTTGTGATTTACATTTATGTGCTAACTGTAGCATCACATGTGCTGGGTTTATCTTCGCAAGCATAATACAGTTTTTTATCGCAATCCAAGTCGTTCCATTTGGCTTCAGTTCTATGTAACATAGCATTGATGCATCTTTCGTTTCCGCCATAATTGTTGGGCTCGTTTGGGAACCAGAGCCAATAGATGCTGGACAATGGTCGTCCATTGGTCATCCAAGTAAAATTCCCGACGGAAGCTAAATCTGTACCGGATATCCAGATCCACTCATTCAAAGTACCTGAAAATTTAATTTTTTTTATTTGTTTGTATGATTATGATGCTTTAACACCAAAACCCCTCAATGAATTTTTATAAATTTTTGGTGATGGTTTAACGCAAGGAATGGTAAATAGGCTACTTTTTGGTGCTGCAATTTAACTCTAAGGGTGTAAAATATGGGAAGAAAGTTGAAATGGTGACTTATAGTTTTATAAATCGTACCGTGATGGCGCTACAAAGCTTTATTAGTATTCATCTTTTTGTTTACCTGATTGTTCCATAGCAAGTCGAAAATAATGATTTTCGTTCCATTCATTTATCGTAGCCATTTGTAATCCGCGAGCTTCACAATCCCGAAACGCCAAGTGCCAATTCAGCTAGATATAAAAAATCAATTAAATCAAATGGCAACATGTATAACAAGTACCTAATATGGATTCTGTTACTTACATGTGTTTTAAACACATAAAACTTTTTAGCTGCCACGGCTGAAACCAGCACGATTGTAACAAAAATAGTCGGGAGCTTCATTTCATTGAGATTTTGCAATGAACTTCACTATTGCCTACGTCCATTACCTACTTATATTCTTTAAATGTTGTTAATAATTCATGTATGCGCCGATAAGCTTTAATAATCATTTGTAAAGTCGCGTCACGAGACAAAAACAGTGCGAAACTGTACATAAACTATTTGAATATTAGATTATATTTAAATAATTAAGCAGATTTAATGAAACAACAAAACAGTAGGCGGAATAATTCCATTATAATATTTGCAAAAACAGTTATTATCAATGGGAACGTCACTGGGAATAATTTATTGATTCAAATCTTTTGGAATCTGTTTTGAAATATGTTTTTTTTTTAAATTTACGAGTATGTGTGTATTATACTTTTGGCTGCATGTTATTTATTGATTTTTGCGCTCCTGCGTGGCTTGCAGTGGCAGTAGCAGACGCCTACGCCGCCCACGTAGTGTGATAACTGCGGGTATCACGCTAAGGGCGCCTAACACCTCCTCAATTTGCTGCCAACCTAATCGAAAACTTTCCTGGCGCCGTGACGTTTCATTTTCCACGAGTTTCACACATGCCGCCTCCAGGAGAGAAAGTTTTCCTGAGATATGTTTAGCAACCGGCTTTTTAATTTAAAAAAATATTGAAATTCAATAAATCTTAATTATAAATTTGATTAAAACAATGAATAATTATTAATTGTCGAAATAAACAATATATTTGTTTATATTAATACAAAATGTGTTGAAATGCCAAGTGTTTCCTCTCACTATTCCAGTAAACCTCTTTGAGTTTCTAACCACCTAGTCCTTTGCATCATGGGCGTCGTGACGTCTTACAATCTGTCAGACTCGTACTATAACCATGTATATAATCAAGGATAACAAAAACTATAGAATTATTCTTGATGGTTTAAAATTTATAGTAAAAATGTATATTTTTATATAATTTGCATGTATACTCGTATTAAGTGGTTATTATCAAATGTGCCGCCCACAGTGTGTAAGCATGTAACTTTATTTCTGTTATCACTCGGCGGCGATCAATAACAAAGCGGCAAGGGTGCCGACGCAGTATCAGAGGCGTGGGCGTATGAAACTTCACAACCCGCCAACTACCGCATTCCATACATACTGTTTCAACTCTCTGCGAGCCTGATACAAAAATTTTCCGACCTCGTGTTCAACGCTTGGGGAAAACCCCCTTGGGAAATAGTCGACACATTTTCATATCCTGTGACAGTTTGCATTTGTATTTTCAAAACTTCTTAAGTAAATATTTTACACACTTGTTTACAATTTTATCACCTTTATTGTATTAATATGGCTAAAATCTTATTTTCTTTGTTATTTATAGTAAAATGAATTGTTTATGTGTGTTTTGTATTTATGAATGGTATATTTGAAGTATTTGCTGAACATTGACACCAATCAATCACACATTTAAAAGTTTCCAGAACAATTATTTATTAGTGTAAGGACAAATAATAGCTGCATATCCTTGATCCTCCTGGAAAATTTTAGAAAGTTTATTACACAAATGTTACATTTTTGTGGCAAATAAAGATAAGATCAAAAGGATGTCATGGTTATTACAATCACTTATTGTATTTTTACCTCAAAAGTGATAAAAAAAAGAAATGTTAATAAACTCGAAAAATTAACATTTTTGCTCTATTGTGTAACTTGAAGTAAGAATTTGGTGAAGAATTTACTAATCAACAGTGTGTCCAAGTAAAAATGTCTAAGTTTAATGGCACCTAAAAATTTATTCATTTTTAAGCCTACTTGAGCACTCTATTGTTGAGTAGTATAACATGTTATTTCAAATATTGTAAGTGCGTCCTTCACTTGCGAGTTTCAAACCGCACTTACTACACCTGAGCTGACTGGCGAACTGATAAAATTATTTATTTTTGAATTCACATTTGCTTTCCAGTATGTGACCACACTCGTTAATGATTAGAGCACCAGCTAACTAGTACTAACCACCACGCTAATATGGAATTAACGGGACCGTCCAACTTTTTAATACTTGGAGGTATTACTTATCCTTTTAAAACATAATCATAACCTTGATGAGTGAATAATTCGCATCGTGTATAATAATAAACCAAAACTTTACTTGTTTTGCAGGTTGTGGTTTTATTGGCAGGAATCTGGTGTCATACTTAGTAGAAAACCAACTAGTCAAATATCTCAGAGTGGTTGACAAAGTTTCTCCTCAAATTGCCTGGCTGGGAAAACCACATGCAGACTATTTTCAGTCACCAAATGTTGAATTCAAAAGTAGTAACTTAATCAATCCAGGTATTAATGATTGCCATCATCATTAAATATAAATATATATTGTTTCTGTTGTTTTCCCAACTAGAATCATGTAAAAATGCATTTGTTCCACCCAGTGACATATCCTGGGATTATGTGATCAACTGTGCTGGGGAAACAAAGCAATCACAAGTTGATCCTGTGTATAAGGAGGGCATTCTCAAGTTAAGCATAAATTGTGCCAAGGAAGCTGCTCAATATCAAGTGAAGAGATATGTGGAGTTATCAGCAGGTCAGCTGTTCTCCAGCAGTAAAACACCTCACAAAGAAAGTGATGATGTTTCACCATGGACTAACATTGCCAAATGGAAATGGCAGGTAACTACAAATCACTTCAACTATAATATCTAAAATAGAAAGTGTATCATCAGCATTATATTTAGTTCAAGTGCATAGGTAGCAAACAATTGCCTTGATAATACTTGATTAGTCATCAATTGTATAGAAAAAATTGCACTGCTGATTCATACTAATGCATGTGTAATCTATTTAGGTGGAGAAGGAATTAAAGGAAATCCCAGCGTTGAAATACACGATCCTACGCCCCGCGTTGGTGTACGGCCCGGGTGATAAGAATGGCTTAATGACGCGTGTAATCATCGCGCATCTGTACAAGCAGCTCAACGAAACGATGAATCTGCTGTGGAACGCCGCCCTGAAAATGAACACAGTACACGTGCGCGATGTTTGTCGCGCAATTTGCTTCGCATGCAGCCGGCCCGAAACAATCGGAGAAACGTACAACTTAGTAGATGAGGCGAAATCATCACAGGGCACACTCTCACAGCTTATATCACAACTACTCGATATCAAAGTCGACTACTGGGGCCTTCTTGTATCGTCCATGGCGGATCTCGAATCGGCCGCTGAGGAAGGCAACGAAAAACACATGGTCGCATGGGCGAGAGCGTGCTCGGCGAACGCCATAGAAAATACACCACTTTCCCCGCACATGAACTCCGAGATGTTGTTGTATAAACATCTACACCTCGACGGTAGCAAATTGAAGGGTTTAGGCTTCGAGTATGTTGTGACGGGTCCAAGCGCCGACAATATTAAAGCCACCGTCGAGTATTACTTGGACATGAAAGTCTTCCCCGCAACGTTGGCTGTTTACAAAGCATCAAATGGTGTGGTTTGAAGACCGCACTGCGTTGGATGTTGTGATATTATATGTAATGTTCTTTGCACAAATGCACTCGCTCTTCCAATTGCACGTGAGTATTCAGATATATAAATTGTGAGACTATAAACAAGGTATGTGTGCAAACCTAATTCCTATAAGTGATTCTATGTAACATTATATTTTTGAACAGTGTTATTTACAAGATTTAAATTTAACATACGTCCTGGTATAGATGTTACTATGTTCGATTTTCGGCGTCGAAATTGACAATAAACAAATATGACTATAAATACTTTCATATTCTTGGAATAACTTAAGTAAAAAGTGTGAAAACAAGAAAAGTACATTAGCTTATCTTAAAATGTAAAATATGTGCCGAAACGACTCTTCGCGTCTATAATATTTAAAGCCCTGAGTTATGGAAATCTACCAATCGAAATTATTTTCCACTATTGTTCGTTAATGTTATCAAGTGTCAATTAATGTATATGGATTACTAGTAGTGTCACTTACCAGATGTCCATTACCACCATAGTCTGGACACCTAGGCGTTATAACAATGTTAATTTTGAGCTGATCGCAATTGGGACCAATGAGATATCGACTAGTTTTTGCATTTTGCGTTGAGCTCTCGCTATCCTCTGAGATACCAGTGGTACCAGCAGGAAAAGGCCAAGCCACACTATCCGCGGCCGAGGCGTTAAATTCCTCAAACGGTATGAAATTGTCAATGTTCAACAGTCGGTCTTGTTCGGTAAAATGATGATTCCTTTCGATGACATTGTAGATAGATTCGATACCGCCTTGTTTGGCGTAAATTAAAATACCCACGCGTACTTTCATGCTGGCGCCTTCATCAATTTGCCCGCGGAACGACAAGGACAACCGGACCGTTTTCAGAATCTCCTCGGGTACCTCCAGGATACCCTGCCACACGATGAGGTAACACCGCTTGAACCACACGCCGCGCGGATACAAGTCGACGACCCATTCGTACAATTTATCCGACTCGCAATCGGCCGCCGACATATTCGAATAGAACACGAATGTGTTTGTGTGGTAATTTGGCAAACTGAGTACGTTTTCGATTAGCATAATTGCGCTGAAGTTATCGCACGTGTACAATCGTGGTGTGAGCAAGCGTTGGCCTTCTTCGGTGGCGCATAAACTCTTCAACCGATCGGTTTGTCCAGCGTGGAATATCATTCCTATCGCCATGCGATCCACAAAGAATTCTTTGTGTTCCTTTATAAGTGGCGACAATAACAAATCAGCCAATTCTCGCGGAGTCATCATCGGAAAACGAATGTGACTCATAATAGCTTCGACTAAATGTTTCATGTGTTTTTGAATTTCGTCGCGCGGTAAACCCGAATTTAACATGGCGATTTTTTGTAGATCTAACCAGCGCAAAACGAAATTAAACAGTACCATTTCGTTGTAGACAACTAAATCATTCTGTTGCAGAACGGTTGAGAAGAGTTCCGCGTCAAAATCGCCAAATTCAGGCGTGTTTGCCACTGATTCAAGGTTCCATTTGACATAATTCATGCATTTTAGGGCAGCTTCTTCATGATTGCAGGAAATTGTGTACTGCAGCCATGAGAAGAGCACATTGTGTGATGCGGCATGTGAAATATGTTGACACATGTATTCCGTGCATAGGCGAGTTAAACTCTATAAAATATAGAAGAAAATATTGTAGAAATTCATTATTAAGTGATTGCTTTCACTTGCCTTGACTATATACTTATCTGCAAGACACAAAATGCCCATAACATTTGTATGTGTGATGAGAATCTTGCCAGTATAAAAATATTCTAAGAAATGATGGAAAACTGGTTCACATTGTGGTAATTCTTGTAGAACAACATGACTCTCACTCCATTCTGCCCACTCACGTCTCATGAGCATAGCCTGCAAATAAAATATTTAAGTTTATTATACTAATTTTTAAAAATAATAAGGAAATATTAGTAAGTTACAAACCTGAAATACATCACTAAAGGCACATAATATTAATTTGTGAGCTGCATGTACTTTGTTGCCAACTTTGAGGAATACATCAGACATTATATTATCTGTATATAAATTATGCATAACACGCAGAACGTTGTTGGAGTTATCAAACTAAAACAAAACACATTTGTTTAGTAAGTTTGTGCAGTATAAAACTTTAAAAAAACTTACTAATGCCTGGCAGGGTTCATCTTTATTGAAAGACATTCTTGACAGAAATAGCACAGAATGAAATTAGTTAATGAATGCAATGCAGAACGCTCATATTGTAATCGTACTTTGATACTCTAATTCCGTTCTGTAGTTATCGCTGCAAACAACAACTGTTTACAAAACTTGAATACAAATCAAGCGACGAAAGCGCACAAAATCATGGTAGGTTATGTTTAGGTACAATGAAAATGAAAACATGAAAATAGAATAACACTGGTATACAAAAGAAAATGAGAAGTAAGTGATGGAAATAATTTTTTACTTAATTTACCGTCTAGGTACACGGGGTTATTTAAATTATTGTATGCAATTAGTAATTAACAAATTATTTCATGGAACACCCATAGATTTATAAATATACCCTATTCTCTATTTCATAAATCATTGAATATACGAAAATAATGACAAATGCATTATTAATAATGATTTATTGCGATAACTGCATTAATAAATTAGTGGTAGTAATTACATTTGTATGCAAATAAACTAAATTATTTTATTTTTTGCAACGTATTTCAACAATTGAGCAAACATACTGTTCAACTTTATAATTGCTATCAATTATTGATAACTTTGATGCATAACGAAGTAAAGAAACATAAACAAAAACAATGCGTGTGTTTGTTTATACTCGTTCGCTGGTTTTTCATTATTTCTGGGCTATGTAACTCATCGAAATTGATGAAATTTGGTATAAAAATAGATTAGACATAGGGAAAGTATTTATGCAACATTTTATGGTGAAATTTTATATAATTTTTATATAAAAGAGGTGAAATAAGAGATGAAACTTGGTATTACGTACAGATGGAGATATCTTAGTTATACAATACAAATCGGGATGGCGCTGCAATGCACTTCCTTGCAATAAATCATATTTATTTGGATCAGTGAAGTGCATATCGAGTTAAGTCTAGATTTTTGTATCGGTGTGAGCTCACGGTCAGCCAGTTTCTTATCCACATACAACTTTTTAAATTATACCTAGATGTCGCAACAATGCAGTTACTTGCATTAAATCACAGTTTGTTGGTGTCAGTGTTTACGTCGCGTGCTGCAGTTTGTTGATTTATCGTTGAGTTGTTTTTACTATCAGCGCGTCTGCATTCCATGACGCTGATAACGCGGCGTGCACTATTTTTAAATACATATAACTTTTACATGATCCGGGTCCGATCGCGAGTATAATATAAATCAATATTCGTAAAATATTGCACTATTAGATTAAATTTAAAAACAACAAGTAAATTCATTGAATATTAAATTTAATAAGTAAGTTTTATACGTTTCAAGCAATTTATCTGAACATAATATTGTGTGTGATGGCGATGTGTCGGCGTTAAAATTGCATAATTCCACTCTCTACTCCTAGCAAAACTTTAATTACATTTTAACAACGCACTGTAATATTCTGTATCTGCAAAAGCAGGCATGCTTTTATGTTGCTTCCTTGCCTGCAAATTCTGTAAATTTCTATATTCTAATAATATTAACAATTAAGAAGGGAATTAATTTTGATGAAATATTATCTTAACAAGATAATAATAAGCAAAAATTAGAAAACAAATTAGAGTTTATGACAATTAATAAATTACCGCAAACAATTCGAATCTAATATTGCAACTAATTAATACATTTATTAAAATGTTGTCTTCGCCGAATATAATGAAGGAATCTGCTAATAATGCTGTCGTGTTGATAAAAACACCATGTTCCCGTAAAATAAATAATGAATGAAGAAAAAAAAATCGCTGCATCTGCCCACGTATTATATTTGCCTTCGTTAATTAAGTCACGCCCGGACAAAAAACAGGCGTTTCATATAAACAAGAAATGAAGACAGCGATACAGGGAAATGCTAATCAGAAAAAAAAAAACAATTGTAAAAGTAATCTAAATATAATTATAAAAACATGCTGTCACTGCAGTCTAGCTCACCGGCACTCTCATCATCGAGAGCAAGGTGATGTTTTTGCGTTTGTTTTTGTTTTCTTTATTCGTTTATCCTTGCTAGCAGGATACACGAAATACTTTAACTTTCATTTAACAGTTGTGTTTTAAGTTTCAACGAGTACCTACAACGTCATAGTAAGCAAAATTTTCAAATATTAAGTTAAAACGCTGTTTTCTTCACGTCTTACGCAAGAAAATTTCATATTTTATTGATATACCTACTAATAAAACTTTATGTAATTTAAGTTTATAGTTTAATAATCCAACTGAAAATAATTTGTTTCTATTTTTATATGTTTGTTGTGGGTTTTTAAGTAATTTTCCGTTTTCAATATTCTTTAATACAATATTTTGATGAGGCAAAACAATTTACCGCGTAAATGTTAGGCACATACGTGTTCAATAACAAATGTTATTTCTTGAGTCAATTTAACCACGTCAATTTTCGTTTATCAGCAACGTGTCGTAAAGAAGAATTGAACTGTCAACTTTTGAGTACGAGTAGGAGTACTACTAGATAAATATGAAACAAAGTAAAAAGTAAATGACACAGTGTTATGTAAATAGTTTTATTGTTAACTAACTTTAGACAATTTACGAGTATATTCATTAGATAGGTAAATTCTTAAGAAATTTATGAATTAGGTTATGTTGTGTAATTGACAAGAACTTGCTGTTGAAAAGGAAAAAGTCCTTTCATACAAGTTTTGAGGTTAGATTTTCAACGGGTTCATTTAAAATTTAAAATTCATTCTAAAATTGAAACTAAACTAGTGAAACTAAAGTCAAACGGTGATAAATAAATAAAACTAATAAATTGTAGTATAAAATATGTTGTTAATAATACAGGGAAAGTTTTGACAGAACGTGTTACGCGAAGTCTCGTACTAAAATTGAAAACTTAATAATTTTTCTATTTTGTACTAAATATTAATTCTATTTATCGCATATAACAAAAAATCAAATCTTATTTTCAACATTTATTTTGTAAATGAGATGTATTTATTGTTAATCACGCCCGTAGCAAAGAGTAACTAAGAGGTACGTAAAAGCCTCGTGAAATGTTATCATTAAAAGCTGACGTTTAGCAACCGCTGGTATCGCAATTGCGACGCCGCCAATTAAATAATTATTTTATTTAATGTGGGTGTTAAAGCAATCCATTTGGATTTCTATTAGTAGAGATTATTGATAATGGTGTATTCTAAGGTAAATGGCTATAATATATCAGAAAATCACAAAATACTACTATTATCATTACTGTGGTTTGTATTCTTAATTGTTGCACACATAAATTTCAGAAATTGCAAAAATAACATCAAATATTTACATTTTTTTGCATTTTACTTTAATCAAATTATAAAATAAATTAAAATAAAAAATATTTATAGAATGTATTAAACAAACAATGTTTTTTTTTACAATTTTTACAAATGTTTGTGCTGCCCGGCGCCTCCACTTATTTATTTATATGTAAAACATTTAAATTTAATATATTTTTTTTGATGATTTTACTTTTAAATTCACTTTTACAATAATTTTATTGAAATGCAAAATTAAGTTATATATAAGTATATGATGGTAACACATCTAAAATATAAAATTTAAAAAAATAATGTTTTTTTAATAAAATACCACAAAAAAAAATTTCAAACAAATTCTTAAGAATATAACTTAGGATATATAGCAACCCTTCTCTTAAACTAAGAAGATAATCTTCGCCTCTCGCTCGCCCCCTTCGCGTATTGCTTAATCCATTTTATTTCGATTGCGCTAGATTTGCGCGGTGAATAGGTACCTGCCTTCCAGAGTACGCATTATTCGTAAATTTCGACGTTGTGAGCGCGGGCGGCTTTCGCGCTCGAGAGGCGGCAAGTGCGAGCGTGAGCCGATCGTGTGGGACGGCGCGCGGCGACGCTTGGCGCCGGCGTGCCCCTCTATGTGCGCGGCTTTCGGCGTGCGGTAATTGTAGTATATAAACGGGGCACTGTTTAACGGCAACAGTCCGTCGCGACGCTACTCGTTGAAGTTCAACAGGTGAGTGTATCTGCTACTAGTATCTCACACTTTTACACAACTTTTATTTGCGTTCGAAATCAGAAATTATTTAAAATATTTTGAAAATAAATAATTTTATTTACTATACTTTTATTTTTATTAGTTTACGTTTTATAGTTTGTGAGGTAAGATGTTATTAAAATAAGAAATAATTGTTTAAATTTTTTTAAATCTTAAATTCTGATTCAAAAAGTTTTTCAAAAGAAATTTTAAATTTTTTGCATTTTAAAGAGTAATTTTAAGTAATCGTAATTTTTAATTAATTGATTAAAAATAATTAATTTTTCTATATTTTCACCGATAAAATAATTATTATTTTAATTAAACCTTTCCAAAATTGATTTAATTTAGTACGAAACGCTATAATTAATTCAGATATATAAATAGCAACTGATTGGGTACATTTATCAATTTGTGAAATTAACGTAATCAGATAATAGTGCAAAACAAAAAATGTTAAAAATACTAAACACGTAAAAGATTTATTTAATTAAAATAACACAATAAAATTAATATAAAAAATGTCATAAAATTAGGTAGTACATTTCCAAGAATTTCCATCATAAGAATTTTTCACAACACATTAAACACAGATTAAAATTCAACACACGTATTTGGAAATGTTTTCATGTCGACTTATTTTGAAGAAACACACTCTTGCTCACTGTTCGACATTCGACTCTTTCGAGTCTAATTTTCTTTTATTTCGCCTGCCAGCAATGCGATTTTCCGGAAATAAGTTGAATTATTGTTCCGTTTTACCGCATCTTTCGCAATTTTATACTATTACACATTATTTTACATCAATTTCACACGATAAACGTAAAAATCACACAAAAAATAATAAAAACTATAAACTAGTAGTTATTGTAAAATACAATGTAAAATATCATTGAAGGCTAGACACAGAATTCAATTAAAAGTTTAATTGTCAAATTAAAATCTACAAAACGGCTGCCACATAATTATAGACAAAATCTTGGCGCTTATCGCGGCTGCAATCTTCAAACATGCCTTAATTGTTTGATAATTGTATGATCCCTTAGAAAGGGCTCTGCAGGCATGGACTTTCCACAGGCGTGTGTCCTTTAAACGCTCACGAGCTAAATGCAATTGTAACCTCGCTTAAATTTTAATCCGGCCACTTGACAAATTTTCCGAAGCGACTTCAATTCAATTTCAACTTTAGAATCAATTGACGCACAGTTAGAAATTCAAGATTAACCGATAGTGACAAAACTTTATTATATAACTTGTCTTTATTGATTTGTTAATATATTATTTATCACAGTCGTAACAATAAGCATTTGAGTAAGCATTTAATTGCGTTAAGAGTTATAAATATTTTATTATGATAAAGTACATTATTATGATATAGAACTCAACTCGGCGCGCACATAAACACAACAGAGTTATTAACGCATCGAATATCGTTTATGTTTATTCGGTATTAGGTATTTTATATTGCGCATAATGCTAAACGAATTTTATATCAATTAATCGCTGTATTGCATTGTGATACATTCAAGTACTTTGTATCAAATGAACGATCATGCCGAGGCGGATATTGAATATTTGAGTATAGAGTTGTAATTAATTAACAACTTTGTTAAACGAGAGTTTTATTCGTTGCTTGGAAATGGTGAATTCATTTCGATGGCATGCGATGCAATGTAGTTTGATTTTTTTATATTGGTTTAAAAACGGTGTGATCTATTGTTTGTAACGATTTGGAGAGCTTTGGAGGGCTTTGAATGTTTAGTTCAATGAAAATAAAAGCGCGTTTATGCGTGAGTTTTATTGCGAGCCATTGGGCGGTGAGTTCGGGTCGTTCGGATCGTTCGTTATTGGATTGTTACGATTATTGCCAACTGAGACGAAAATAGCATAAAGATCGCTGGTAATTCATACATCATACTTGTTTGCTGTCATTATTTTCCACACTTATTATTTGTGTTATTGTTTTATTACTAGATTAGGAAAAATATTAAAATGTGAAGGGAATTATTTATTTTTTGGGTGGAATAAAATTAGTAGAAATAGGTTATAAATAATTATTTATTGATTTGATATTTGATTAAAAGACAAGTGGTAAATACATTGTTTCTATGGTAATTTTGTTTTAATTATCTATTTTAGTTTATAGTTTTCGTTGGGTGCGTAATTTATTTTAATTATTTTCAAAAATATTGTTTAAAATGCATTTTAACAGAAAAAGTTGTCAAATTTAATTAAAATTTAATACAAAACACTAAAATTGTAAAATACCTTGTTAAAAATTTAAAAAAGCATGAAATTTCGCCTATTTTTATTGTTTTGAACAGTTTTAATGTTATTTTTAGTAAATTACTTTGTGAGGGTCTGCAGAAACGTTTGCGAAAATTAAACTAGGTTTATTTACGAGTGAATTAATCAAGCTGGAATAAAAAGAAAGACGATCCAAATTGTTTTCTAGTTGTCTAAAATATCATCACTTATTACTTGAGCACTACATCCGTGAAATACTGTAAATTCTTCCCGAAAACTTTTATTTTTTTTATTGGAAACACGATCAAAACTTCTAAAGATTGTTCAGCAAAGAAGCGTGCACTGAAATGTTTGGGGACCGGTTTCAATATTCTTAATTCCAATGGGAATTCTAAAATACCATCGTTGAAGCTATCAAAATCACATTAACGATACTTTTTTGAAATTTTATGAAAAATTTAATAAATACCAATTCTAATTGTATGTTTTTGTTTCAGAGTATTTCGAAAAACAATAAGTATTCCCATAACAAAAATATTGCTCTTTTATCACATAATTGAACGATAAACACGTCATTTTTCGATCATCACCGGCAGGCAATTTACCTGGCTCCCAAGCTCTTCCCACCACAACCAGTCAAACACTCGAGAGACAAAAAACAAGCGAGGAGAAAATAAAATTCAGTAATTTCAGCGTAGAAAAATTGATATAAAAACCCCACACACACTCATCGTCTAAATAAACCAATCGTGCTGCCCACCTTTAAACACCCAACTTCCGGTCGTTGTGTTTTCCGCATTCGCATCACAAACGATCCGAAGCGTCGAACATGAAGTGGTCCGGCTTCTGCCTGCTGGCAACGCTCGCAGTGCTCTGCTTGCTGGATGGTCATAAAACGAGCGCGGCGCCGAGTCCACGCACCGACGACCTGCTGAAGACGCTGCAGGATCTGGAGCAAATTTATTCCTCCATGGCCAGACCGAGGTAACGTGTTTTTCCAGTGTAGTGTAGTTTATGTTTTTCTTGTTTTTGTCATCAGTCATATTATAACAGACATGATATAGACCAAGATCTAATGTCTATGCAATCATTTTTTATGTCTTGAGATGGAAAATCGATTTACATGCAAATTGCTCTTCTTCTTAATGGCTTTTTAGGGTAGTTTATTTTATAAATTGCTTTTACGCACTATTATCTCACGCATTAGCGTCGGGTTTGATTGTTTTCCTCAAGTTTATTGCGCTTTTTTCTACCAGAATTACAAAGATTTTAATTTATCCTCGGTATAATATCATGAAACATCAAATTGAAATTTGCAAGATTAAGTTTGTTGCTTTTTAATTTGAGTGAGTGTTTGCATAATATTGCATGTTTGTTGCATAAATTAATTTAATCACATAAAAGTAGATTGTTGATGGAGGACTATAAAAATATGTCATCATATTACTAACTAAAACAAACGATTAATAAAATTGCTAAAAATACACAGCGAAATGTTTTAAACACAAAAGATTAATTTTTTTGCGAATAAATGTTTATAAAAGCGTGTTAAACCGCAGCAAAAACAAAAACATGTGAACATCGAAAGCTGAAACAACATGGAATTACGACTTTTTGGGCCGGACAATACACAAATACATTTGAATTTTGAGAAAAAAAATCGGATAAATACGTGAATGTTGAGCGTTGGCGATGCAACCGGTTGAATTGATACCAAAACCGATACCAGATAAATGCTAATCCACTTTATATCCGCAAATCCACCGATTTGCATACTGAATGACGAGTGACGACCACACAACCAGTATAAATGATCTCATGTCTCATCTAACTAACATATTGTTTAGTTTTACGCAAATAAACAACTTGGTTAAGCATAAAATATCATTTTTAACATTTTTAAATTAAAATTAATTAATTATTCGTAAATATAGGTTATTTTTTATTAAAACATAAAATTTTAGGTTATGTATAATATTTTTGCATGTATGCAACACACAACACATAAATTTCGCAGTTAAATCAAAGCGTGAGATTTTTTTGAATTATATTTCACTGAATAAATCAAATTAAATATTTCAACGTGTAAAGAATACATTTAGACTCCAATAGAATATCAAATCACCAAAATAAATGCGTTTTTTCATGTATTATAATTAAATATTATACTTTCATGAACACACGCGCTGCGCGCTCACACAAAACATGAATAAAATAAATCAATTAATCAAAAATGTAATATTTACTGTTTTTTGTTGTTTCGCTTTATAAATGTGTAAAAAGTAGTCTAGCTTAATATGTGTATACCTGTCACTAACATAACCTCACAATCAGATGACTACCAAAGCAGAAAAAAACTTGACACGTTTGCTTTGAATAGTTAATTCGTTCGTAGTTCGTAGGACTGATATTGATAGATGTGCAGTAGTTTCGTTTCGTCCTTCTAGCGTTGACCCTCTGATTAACCGAAAACACGTTAGATAGCTAGTCGATTATTCACGTAGCGTAATGTTGATGAAAACTATTAGAACTAGTGAGATTGTGGCCAATCGATACAATCATCTCTGGCACACGTACTTACTTTCCAATTGCGATCACGATTAACCTACCCACACTGTTGGTCACTTATATTGCATTTCACATACTCTTCATTATTACATTGTAAAAATAATTTGATAAAAATTAATTTCATAAATAAAATGACGATGAAAATTAAATGTGTGTGGAATTAATTTGTTTTTTGCTGGTTTTGCTTATATTTTATTTTATATTGGCACAAATTTCACGAATTTAAATTAAATTATTTAATTATACATTTTTTGATGCAATAGATGGCGTTGCTTGAAGTGCAAACGTAAATATTTATAGTTTTCTACTAATTAAATATGTTTTTAGGTTAATTTAGTTGAGATAAATTACAATTTTATTTTGTGCCATTTTTTTTTATTAAGAAAAAAGTAAAATATTTCTGTTTTACTTTGAAATTTTGTAAATTTTTTGCTATTTTTCATGCAATTCCATACACATGCAATTTTTTAAACCAAATGAATAAATTTTTGTATCATAATTTGGAATGCAATATTGTCCAAAAACTAACGCGGTAATGGTGGCAGGTAGTGTGAGAAGCGGGTCCGTAATTGAGCCCGAAATGAGCAAGAAGGTGCAGCGAGCCATGAAGATGATCGAAATGCAACGCCTGGAGCGGTTGTACGCGCATCGGGCGCGCCCCAGGTGAGGATCCTATTTGTGCAAGTTCTTACTGCCTTATCCAACAATGACTTTATCAATTTCTAAGTACATAATCTATAATTATCTTATTTGCAATCAATCACAGCTGACACTACACCAATTAAAATTATTCCTATGTTCGGTATTAATACCGCAACTCATAACATAAGATATAAACAAAATAAATAACATAATTTTACAGAGTAACATCTAAAAATAAAACTAATCTAAAATTAGAAATAAAAAATAAAAGTCCTTTGCAGTTTACAGTTTGTAGTCATAATATTGCATAATGTAATATAGTTTATGCAAATGTGCATTATGGTGACATTAGGATCATCCATGTTGTTGTGCAGCGCTGCAAAATGCAAGTTTACAGTCAGTGGCTCATCCGTGCTCGTGTTTTGATGAATCGAGCCGCACGCCGTCCTGAACTTATTTTACGCTTCACGTCGTTTGCGCAACGTATATTTGCCTCGATGTTTTCGAATATTTTACACGTTGTTGCCAATGAACGAATGCCACGGAAAGATGGCAAATGCTTTCAAAATTGGTATTGACATTCTGAATATTCACAGTGGAGGTGAAATACGCGAGTGCATAACTAGGAAAAGGAAATTCACGTTTATATTTAGTCACATGGAATAGAAATAAGAAAATTTAAGAGGAAGTCTATTAGGAAATATTTCACAACGATATACATTTATAGTTTACTCATGACTTATGAATATAAATATAAGTTTTTTATTAACACTGACGTCACTATCTAGTAGTCAAGTGTATTTATGTATCTAAAATATAAAAACGAATCGCAAAATTTGTTGGTCAGCGCATAACTCATCAACGCCTAGACCAATTTGGCCAATTCTTTTTTTTTAATGTTTGTTAAAGTCCAAGGTATGTTTTTACGGCGAGAAAAATTCGAATAATTGCCGGGAAAGCCCTAAAGACAGCCCTTTTCTATAGAACAAAAGTTGGCATTGAGATTCAATCATAGTTATACTTAAATAGTTGAATCCCAGATGGCGCGCTGAAGTGCATTATTAGCAATTCTTTATTTAATTAATTTCTTTAAAATTAAATTGCGAATCTTATTGATAGAATTGACGGATACTATGTCTGGAACAAGAGAGTAAAAACGAATTCCATTTTTATTATACACTAACCGGGCGTAGTCGCTGCCAACAGCGACTTTTTAATATTTTTTAAATAAAAATTGGTTTTCACAAAATGCGTCCAATGAACATCAATTTTTTGTTTTTTAAGTCATCATTGACGTCACAAGCAACTATTACCTATAAAAATGCATTTTTATTGCCAAGAAATCAACAAATTCTATTAAAATTGAACATTATCGTAAAATAAACATAAATATTCATAATGAACGTAATATTTTTATTATCGATGAACGACAATGTGAACAATCTCATTAATTAGAAATAACGCATAAACATTTCAGTTTATTGCCGTAGGCGCACAGACAACATTCATCACGCGTCGAGGTTTATTAAAAATGCGCCGCAAATTTACATAAATTAGTGTTTTATTTATGCACGTACAAAAGTCATTCGAACCGTGCAAATTGCATCTAATAAATTGCACAATTATAACAAAAATAACATTATTTATCGCCTACGGAGCATCATTGTTTTTTGAACTTTTGAACGTCTGCAAACGTATTTTTATAATATAAAAATGAATCGAAAAATCTGTTGGTAAGCGCATAACTCAACAACGCCTAGACCAATGTGGCTAATTCTTTTTTTAAATGTTCATTAAAGTCCAAGGATTGTTTTTACTGCGAGAAAAATTCGAATAATTGCCAGAAAAACCTTAAAAACAGCCCTTTTTTATATGATAAAAGTTGGCATTGAGATTCAATCATAGTTATAGTGAAATAGTTGAATCCGAGATGGCGCGCTGAAGTGTATTATTAGCAATTATTTATATAATTAATTTCTTTAAAATAAATTTGCGAAACTTATTGATTGAATTGACTCATGCTATGTTTAGAACCAGAAAGTAAAAACGAATTACATTTTTACTAAACACTACCGGAACGAACTCGCAAGGCAAAAGCTAGTGAGGATACTAAAAGTTAGGTTAGATATAATGCGTCACAAAGGCCATATTCATTTGAAACATAAATTTTATTCATTGCTTTTTAACGAAATGATTTAGTTGCGTTGCAGAACAGGAGAATAAACCTCGACATATGATCGGTGTTCATCTGTGCATACATAGTTGTTAGCACCCAGCGCACACTATAAAGTTAATTGTTAATGACGCTAATTAATCATTTGTAATTAACGCGCCGACTGCAAGCACACGTAACGAACTATACCTGGATAATTAGCAGTCAACGCTAAGTTTATCAATCTTTTTATAACATTTGCAATGTAACAGTTGCCCTTTGATGTTTGATGTTGGTTCTCGTCTTACACAGAAACGAACCACAATGTTTGGAAATTCAAATAGAATTGAAGCTTTGAAGGTAGCTATAAACTCATATATAGAATTTTAGTTACTCACAAACGTTTATTTTGACTTGGAAAGCAAAAAAAGTTTTTTTTTGACCTATTTTTAGTTTTATAATATGAAACTAGCGCCATCTTCCAGATTAAATAAGCAACATTAATTATTAATCTTTATATTTTTAACTGACTTCTGTGCAGCTATTGCAGGAAATAAAGAAGTCAAAGTTATTAAAATGTTAATGCGTAGGAAATGAGAACAGTCTTTCATTTTGGTAGCAAACCGCTGAAATCTAATTTCGCGCCCACATCTAAATTATTCATTTCATGTTTTTGCAATGTTTTGATAACTATAATGTCACGCAAGAGCAAAGCAATTAGCCTTACACACAACTTTTTGAATAAACCATTTCATATCCACGCACCGGCTAAAAATTGCATAATACACATGAAGAATAACAAAATTTCATATTTTCACTACATAATAACCTAATATGTGGTATTTAAATACTGTCTTTATTTTTGTATTTTTTTTTTCCGCGTAGAGTGCAGACAGAAATAAACGAAATAAACGTTTGATACCTCGTCTGCTGTCAGTTAATTACATCAGGCGTATTTGCCCAGCGTTGAGCTTTGCAGCTGATTACTTGTTGATTCCCGCGGTTCGTGTTATCAGTTAAATTGGATTTTATCCCATTTCATTTGTTCACCGCGACTCTGCACGTTTGACGTAGGACGGGCTGCATAACAAAAAAAAAGTCACACACATATTCACATTATCAAAGTAATATTTAAATTTCAATCCGTGCGATAAACTGAAACCCGATAATATTTAATATTAAATATATAATGTTAATGAGAGTTCAAATCAGAATATGGTACGGTTAATTATCTGCTATATAAATATTTATATTAAAATTGATTTAAATAAACGTGTATAACTGGTTGCATCTTTCAATATCAGCACTCAATCATTTTATAACCAATAAAATATAAAATTAAATTTATTCTGCACTTGAAATATTTAAAAAAATAATTTGATTTGAAATTGTTTCACATGCTGTCGTTTGTTTACAGATTCGGAAAGCGTGACCGATTGATTAATAACAATGGCATATATCGCAGTGCGGAGTCAGATTATGCGGACGATCAGGTGAGTAATATGAAATTTCATTAGTTTTGTTATCATCACAATGTAAACACCCAACGAATTAATTTGATTTCGACGTAAAAACGCAGAAAAAGTGTAAAAACATTAAATTATAAGAAAGTTACGTTGTATCGTGAGTTCTACAGTGATAACAACGTTGATAAACGCGTTTCGAGAATCCATCCATCAATTATTTTCGTTGAACTTGTTAATTATTCAGTACATTCAGCATTGACAAGATTTAGTGAGTAATTCATTGATTTAAAATGACATTTACAGGTTTAGAGGTTAAACATTACAATTGATACTTATACAACCAGTCATACATATTATATATAGTTTCACCTATGTTCAGTATTTATACGTCAACTCAATCAATTAAAATAAACGTTTTTTTAAATGATTTTTTATTGCTGGCTTTCATCTTGATTGCAATAATTTGTTTTTCATTGTATCAATGCGCATGCATCGCGTAATTAAATTAAATTCATATTAAACGTGGATGCGGAGTAATGAAATTAATAAGAAAGCGCATTAGCAATGGAAAACGAGACGGCGCGAGGCGGTCGGTCGTGAAAGTGCTCCTATTTGTTTTTTGCGCTCTTATTCGATTCGGCGTTTTTATTATCAGCGCTGCGCGCCGCATTCCGATGCGCGCGCGCGCAGCTCATTTGCATCATTTGCATTCCCGTTACAATGATGAATGCAGGTTGCTTAACTTGCTCGCGTTTGGCAGGCGTGATGAATCCTCGCTGCACGTCGCTCTCGCTGGATAGCAACATTTATTTGCAGTTAATGCTATTAAGAAATGTGCATTGATTTCCTTTCGTTTCGTTTTGCAGCTCGATTTTCTCTTTGCCCCAAATGATTTTTTATCAAATCAGATTGATTTTCGTAAATAGAAATTAAGGTTAAAATTTATCAGCAAATTAGTTTTTGTCCGCGAATTCATCCTGGTAGTGTTTAATAAAAATGTAATTCGTTTTTACTCTCTTATTCTAGTCATAGTATGTGTCAATGCTATCAATAAGATTCGTAATTTTATTTTAAAGATATTAATTATATAATGAATTCCTAATAATGCACTTCAGCGCGCCATCTCGTGTTCAACTATTTAACTATAACTATGATTGAATCTCAATACCAACTTTTATCCTATAGAAATGGGCTGTCTTTAGGGTTTTCCCGGCAATTATTCAAATTTTTCTCGCCGTAAAAACCATCCTTGGACTTTAACGAACAGTTTAAAAAAAGAAATAGCAAAATTGGTTTATGCGTTGTTGAGTTATGCGCTTACCAACAGATTTTGCGATTCATTTTTATATTACTTTTAGTTTTTCAAAAATATCAATGATTGAGTTACGGTATAAATACCGAACAGATGTGAATTACCTATATAAACAAAAAATTAACAAATGACGTCAATTGACGTTATGTTTATTGATGAACATGCGCAGTCTTAACTTGTTATGCAGTAGGTACCTATAAACAAGCCAATAAATAAAGATAAAATGTAGTGGAATATATTAATTAACCACTTTTTTAAATTTAATTTAGTGCTTTTTAAATTGATACTCTTTCAACTATGATTTATGGAAATGACGCAAATAAAATATGTTTTAATTTCAAAAAATTCTCAGAAATCAAAAAACTCGTGCACTAAACTTAAAGTTTAAACATTTTAGAATTTTGCTGCCGTTTTTAGCAAAAATTTCGTTAAATATAATGACAAGTCAAACAGTTAAAATAATTTAAAAATAAAACAATTAATAGAAAACTGAATTCTACTCTATTATTAACCGGAATTGAAAAAGAAATTAATTCCAATCATAATAATGACAGTCGCGTGTGTGGTATATTGCAATTAACACTGAAATTACATAAAAATTCAAAGTTATCACTAACCAGACTCAATTTGTAAGTATTTACGCCTTAAATTACGAAAATGTTTCTTTCCGCTACATTTACTAGCGGAAAACGTTAATGTCTACGCACTAAACTTCCGAAATCAGTTTTCCACAGATTAATCTAACCTACTTTGAGATCTCTCGAATTATACTCGAAGGAAATTCTATTTAAACCTACCATCTACCAAATACGAATGTAAAATCAAAATTACCGTAAATTCCATCTGCGGAAACTTACTGGTTGTAGGTTATTTGTGTTTTAAGCGCAGGATATTGATAAATCCTGCCACTCCACGGGATTTACGTAAGGGATTTAAAACGAGGAGAACTCGAATAACCACACTCAACGCACAAAAGTTTGACTTGACGCACACGGAGTAAAAATACAACATGCGTTTAACGTTCAAGGTTTAAGGTTTAAGGTTATGTTATGTTCGTATTGCAAAGGAGAAATAGGACCGCAGTCGAATGTCGAATGTCCGCAAACTTTATAATTGTTTTAGGTTTCGAATGTGTGTACATTGCGAATGTGTGTACTTAGGATATCGCTTACTTAAGCGTAGTGTGCGTTCAATTGTTTAACTACACTGAATTATGAATTAAAAACTGATTGTGGGAGTTGAGTTCAATTTGCACTGGATTGTTTTTTGAAAAATTCTTTGAAATAATATCTTATAATATATAAATGAATCGTAAAATCTGTTGGAAAGCGGATAACTCAACAATGCTTACACCAATTTGGCCAATTTTTCTTTTAAAATGTTCGTTTAAGTCCAAGGATGGTTTTTACTGCGAGAAAATTTTGAATAATTGCCGAGAAAACCCTAAAGACAGGGCTTTTCTGTAGGATAAAAGTTGGCATTGAGATTCAATCATAGTTATAGTTAAATAGTTGAATCCGAGATGGCGCGCTGAAGTGCATTATTAGCAATTATTTATATATGTAATTCCTTTAAAATAAAATTGCGAATCTTATTGATAGAATTGACACATACTATGTCTAGAACAAGAGAGTATAAACGAATTACATTTTTATTAAACACTACCGGGACGAAATCGTGGGCAAAACCTAGTATTTTATAAAATTTATTTGTTTAGATGGCAAAAAATATAATTTTTTAAATTTTTTTAGCGTTTTTGACGTTTTTTAAACTTCGAAACAAAATTTAATCAAAAATTTTACTTTAGTTGATCGTGGCGGTCATCCAATGACTTTATGTGACGTCTTTGTTGAGTTGTTTGCTCTGATTGGTGTTTTACATATCTTTGCGATAAAATACGTATCAAATGTGTTGCTATGACATTACGCGTTGTTAATTTACAGTTTTAAATGGCTTTTGTTTTATGAATACTAAAATACTAAGAAAAAAGTGCGTAAGCATGCAAAATAGACATGTTTTTACAGCTTAATTGATTTCTCTACATTCAGACGCGCAAATGGGTTTTCCGACAAGTGACAAATGTACCAAACAACATTTCATGTCCCACTAATGGACATAAAATCCAAACCTGCGCAAATTGGCAATTATGTATATTAGTATATCATTTGCTGAACATTTCTATATAGAAAACAATTATGTACGTCAATGTATAATTAGTTAACAAAGTTTTTTTCGTATTTCGCTGTTCTGTGTATGCAATTTGCATCATTTCCGCCTTGTGCGTCATTCCATTGTTCAGTTATTTTAGGTTAAGTACTAAATATTTAAATGAGTTGTGTATTAACCGTGTGGGTTTTTTATTTGTTGCATATTTGTAGTCAAACGATGATGGGCATGTTCCAGTTGCCGATGGGATGGGTAGCGACGCGGAGATGAGATCTGTCAGCGAACGAATCCGAGAGAGGGATGATGCATCCCCGTCGACAATGCGACACAGGCAACTGCAAAAGTTACCGCTCCTATACCATTACCAATTAAATTAAATTAAATTGAATTCATTACGTATTGAATCAGCAAAAAGTACCAGCAAATATTTAAACATCATTTTCCTCCCATTTATCGATATAAATCAAATTTATTTTCTTTAAAAAAATCAATGATAACAAATATATAGATTAAAAATATATATAAAAATAGATGGCTTAGTCGGCAACATATTTTCAAGCTTTTACTTTAGATAATTCTAAGATTTACTAATTCTCGTGCATAAGTAGACAATCACACCAATTACCAACTGTTTTTATTGTTAATTTTTATATTCTTATCCTAGTCAACTTGTTGGTCACATTTTTTGCTTTTTTTTGTTTATATTGAGTTGCAGTTTTTGAAAAAATAGAAAAATGTAAAAGTAATTATCCACAATGACATTGTAGTTACTTGGTGTGATAAATGTTTCGAAAACATCCTTTATCTCTGTATCTGTAACCTAGAACAACTTCATAGTTAAAATAAAATGCTTACATTGATCTATCAGCATATATTTATTCACATTTAATCATTTTTTTGATGTTTTCAAATCCTTAACATAAATTCTGTCAAAAAGTGTTGCTGGGAAAGAGATACTAGCGCATCTAGTGATGAATAATAACACTACGTATTCCTATATACAAATTACAGGTTCCTATTCGTACGCAACATAACCTTTCACTTTAAAGCACGTTTTGATAATTATTTAATTTAACCTAATAAAAAAGTACTTTTAGGCTTAAATTACTGTTTAAATAGCAATGGAATTTTTCATCGTGCGAAAGTCTTGTGCGCGTTATCGATTTTCGAGTTTAGAAGCAGTTAGCGGTTTTCTTTTCTGTCTTTGTACTAATTTAAACGTAATGAAAAACGTGACGGTAATTAATCTCCAGCTAATTTGTATTTAACTTCTCGCGGCGAGGGGCAAGGACAAAACGCACTTTATTATCGTTTGCATCTTCTGCCTCGACGCCCTCGTCAACTGTTTTCTTCGCGTATTAAAATTCATTTCAACAAACTGTTTTTTTTTTCATTATACTCGCACAATTGGTAAACAATCATTTGTAATATAAAACTACGCAAAGATATACTTTTTTCTTTATTAAATTAATGATGCTTTCAATCGGTTACGAAGGAGATTATCAAGCAAAAAGTAAGTAAATTTACATTTTGAAACTTATTAAAGTATAATAAAGTAAAAAGTGGGTGAATTAAAATGTTTTTAAGGGTTTTTATTTAGAAATTTTCAAAAAGTTCATGAAAAAGTAATATTAAATTAATTTGTAATTCTAAGATGAATATTGCTGAATTAATTAACATGGTGTAATTAATTATCACCTAAAGTGTTTTCATTTTGTTTATAAAAGTTTTTATTCACCCACAATGATTAAATACACACTTTTTGAATAAAATCAGAGTGTTTAAAGAACTACTTTTACGAACTAATGCGTAAAAGTATTCTTTTAGACACGCTGCGCGTTAAAAATCATATTTTTCCTATTTAATCCATTTCTTTGCTATTTTTTTATTTATTATACAATAAAACATTTATAATTAATTATTCATTCAACACAAAAGTGAAATTTACTCAATGAGATAATGTTTGATTCTAACTTTGTGAATATGCAATCAAATCGGTTTAATTTAATTCAATTTGTTTAATGTGCCCAAAATAAACGCAAATAATTTAAACCGCCAAACAAAATGTCATCATAAAGCTTGGTAACGTATTAAATCCTAAACAACCCTACGCATATAAATTATAATTACCTCTTTCGTTTACCAAAAAACAATCACAATCAAAACTTGTATCAAACGAGATAAAACGCGTTTATTTCAAATATGTTCCGGTTTTAAATGTGTTTAATGAGAAAATCCTTGTGATACATCGTTTGATCTTGGCCAGGAATAATTTCCGCAACTTAATTCGGTTCCGAACAGATGACGTTTTTCGTAAAGTGCTAAAATCAATGAATGAGTTTATGAAATAAGCTTGCAATGTAAAAGCGTAGAGAGTTTTACGGTGGGAGTTGAGACTTCCTTATTTTCTCATCTTTCTAATTACAAACTTTAATAATATCAACATGACCAAAGACACCCGCAAACCAATTTTCAACAATCTAAGTCGGGCGTTTGAGGTCTGCGAGCTAAACTTACACCATCATCACGCAAAGGGATGCAGAAAGTTATAGGTCAAATTTTCGGATAAAGTAAATACAGATTTTATACCATGTCAATCAGAAATTGATTAAAATTTATATTTTTATTGTATTTAATAATTTTAAAAATAAGTTACGTCTATATTATGCTGCATCTTAATGCAAACTAAAATGAACTTAACTATTGTAACGTAGGGGTTAAAAACTTTGCGTCACCGCACTTGTTGATTCCGTTGCTTAGCAACCAGTTCGTAACCTAGCAACACCCTACGTTCCCCTAGTATCACTCAGTAAAACTTCACTATTCTAATTTCATTTCACTCCAAAACCACAAACGAATAACACGTGAAAAATTCTATTAAAAACTTTAATGTGTTTTTAAGTAACACTTTTTTATTGAAACGATTAATTTCGTTTTCGTTTGAGTTTCGTTTTCGTTTTTGACGGACCACACGCCAATTAACCTATAATAATTTACAATCGTGTTCGTTAGAGTGAATGAACGTATTCGGCGATGCGGCACCAAACCACACGCGCAGTGAGTAATACTTTCACTAAAAATAAAAACATAAACATATCGAAAATAAAACGAAATACCTGACGCCCGCCGGACATATCTCTACCTGAACTCAACAAACGCGTTGCTGATTATTTTATCTGTCGAATGCCGTTGGCTTTTCATCGAATAATTTGTAATTGCTGCGCTGGCGTTATTGTTGGGTTGAAACTTGGGCATTAGTATAATATATAGTGTATACGCCGACGATAGTCCGGTTAATGATAACGCTCATTACTTATTTTTGTAGACAGCTTAAAGTACGTGCGAGATAATCGTAAAATATATATCGGACGTTGTAAATGGATGTTAATCGGCGTTCCCATTACGTTTCGAGTGTAGCGACATCAGCTTTCATATGCGCAAGTACTGTTAATTCGTGTTATCAGTAAACATCCTCTTTGGGCGCTTCCTAATCTAGTCTATCATTTCAGAATGCATGTTGAAACGGCACTAGTGACATTAGAAAATAATTTTTATCATTTTGTAAATGTGAGTTTATTTTGTTATTTGTATGTTTGTTACTCTTTCGCGCAAAAGTGACTTAAGCAATTTTGATGAAACTTTGTAATTATATAGTTTATTTATCAAGTTAAAATGTAAGCTAGTTTTTTTCGCAAAAAATTAACTGGAAATGTGAAAAATAAGGAATTAAATTTGTTATGGACATTTTATCATAGTTTAGTTGTATAATTCAAACCGAAATGGCACTAAAGAGTTTCATTTTTTCTTTTAATTTTATTTGTATCTCTTGACAACATAAGCTTTAAAATGTTTCAAATGCAAATTTCATTGTATATTGACCTTAAAACGTAATTTTTCTCGCGTTATCTGAAGATTTACACAGTTGTAACGCTGTAAATTCAATTGATGTATTCGCCACATGTGTATTTACATTTGTATCGCTTCTTTTGTAAGTTTATTGCTCGCAATAAACGCAGATACTTATACTTATGAACTTAATTCAGTTGCTCTCTCAGCTGCGGTGGGAGCAGAATGACCACAACACTTTCAATCACTTTCTCTCTTTTTCTTCTCTTCTTATTTGATAGCCACACACATACATGGTGTTTAATATTTGTTTTTTCGCCATCACATGCGTATTAACATTTAATCAGTTTTTATGATATGAAATCTTAATATTATTGTAGATATATAATTTTTTACAATGGAATATTTATTTTTTAATGTAAAAAATTGAGTTGTGTGTTGAGTGTTATCGTTTTTGCAACGCTTTATATTAAAATCATGTCTTCACACGTGCTCGCTGCTCTTTCCCACTGAATAGTCGACGGTTCGTTTTTCTAATAACCACACATATCGAATCGTTCGTTTTATATACTTTCTTCTTTTCTTTTTATCTTTCTTTCTTTCCTTAGTGGTTCTTTTCCTTTTCATTTCTTCGCCGCGGCGTGCTCGCCACACAACGCCGCGATCGAAGCGATCGGAGACTCCGGATGCGACTTCCAACTTCACCATTTACCATTCAGTGCTTCATTGTTGCTTCGCTTTCGTGCTTTAATGGTTTGACTTGGTGTTGTGCGGCCTGAAACTCGTGCCGAAAAAAAGACCACCCCCGCAGTTAAACAATTACAACGTGAATTTAATTAATAATAAATTTCATTTGTTTATGTGTAGAAGTGCATCGTTAGTGTAACGGTAAAGGAACTTTTTGTTTCCTGTTGAGTGTTTTTAATTTTTTTGGTTTAATTTTTTGGAAAATTAATCAAATTAATTAATTTGTGATGTTCGGTGAACTTGGACATGTACTCTTCTGATGTGTCGTTGGGCTGCTGCTGCCATGGACTTCGGGCAGCACGCGCTCATGCTGATACTCTTCGTGTCGTTTTCATTCTCTGGGTCAATGTCAGGTCTTCAAGGTAACCGAAACAAAAACTAAACTTTAATTTCTGTGAAATTACTTTATAACAAAAAGTTTTTTTTTAGTTATTTCTATTTCTAAATTAATTTTTTAATGAGAAATAAATAATTTCAGATTGTGGCACAAGTCTGAGGCGATCTCGTCAGCCGCGCGCCGGCTCCTTGGGTAGAATAATCAATGGAAAGCAGAGTGCACGAGGTGCATGGCCATGGCAGGTAAATATAGTAATCGTGGGTAATAAATATTGAAACGAATGACATTCGATTTTCGTATGCACAATGTGCAAAAGAGACGTTTTAGCGCTTACAAACCACGAAAGTAAATAAACCACTCGATGTTTGCGATCGTCTGGCGCCCAACTCATGTATAGTTTCAATTTCAATTTAATATTTTTAAACCTTTACAATTTCTTGTATTTCACTAACAAACTTGGAAATGTCTTTATTAGTTTTAAAACAGAATACAGCGTGGCCAACATTTTTATACATATTTTATAAATTTATAGGTTATATAATCGCGCATGCGCAACAAAATAACTTTAATTTTTAAATAATTTTTTTTTAAACTTTTTATTTCTTGAAACACTCAGTATATCAATATATCATGAACATTCTTGTTCAACTTTCAATATTGAAGCCATACTATTACATATTGTCACCAGGTAAATTTGAGATGAAAGTTAATCATACGCTTTGGGAAATACGAGCCGAACAATATCGAACTGATGCATATTGTCGGTACGTGCAATTGTTAATACTATGTTAATTCAAAAACAAAAGACTTTCTCTGCTTTTATGGACACCGAATGACTCGCGCACTTAATTAGGCATTTATTAATAGTTTTAACAATTAAGTGTCAATTAATTACGCACATAATAAAATCTTATTTATTTGTTTAGGCAACAATTGTTAACGATTAATAGGTTTTTAAAATGTTAATTTAGTGGCAAATATTTTTTGCAGATGTGTGGATTTTGTATTTAGAAATTTGGATGGTGCTCTAATTTAAACGAGCGTTTAACTTTGCAAACTTTCCCTTGATTATATATTTATTGTATCTATAAAATGTGTGAATCTATTCAATTTTCTATGCATGTTTTAATAATACCTTTAAAGTGTGCATAATTATTTTGCATGATGGAACTTTTTTTTATAAATCTAATCGATACTAGAGCAAAATGACAGATGGTTTTCATTTGTATTTTATTCTAGAGTGAAATTTAGTAATTTATGTTTCCAAAGTGCATTTTAACCTCAAAATTAGTACAAATTTAACGCAATTAAGTTTAGTTCAGTTTTGGACCGTTATGTGGCGCTACCAATTACGTCAAGTAAACCTGACAACAAAAATTGTATTTTAACCTATAAAAAGTAACAAAAAAATTTGTAGAAATTTCAATTAATTAAAAAAGAGTCTACACGTGTTGATTTAATTATAATGTTTCAATTTCTGACATTGATTGAACCTGCAAAGGAAAATACTCGTAAAATGCATGTTTTTTTCCATTATAAATTTAATTACAACCCTGGAAAAAATATGTGGATCATTAAATTATTACAACTCGAATATGTAAAATGTGCGCACATGTTATGAATTTAAACTCTCTATTTACACATCGATCAATTTCCACCACGTGTTGTTCAATCGAGCACATTCGAAACTTTTTAGCCGTGTTTGTTATTTTTGCAAAAATAATCGGTTACATGTGGAAATACGCAGCTGGTTTTTTATGCTCTCACAATTTTGTTAATTTGCTAATTAGATTGTTAACATGACATGTTACAAACGATTATCACGTGCCTTAATTAAAATTACAATGGTTTTTTAACCTTTTGAACAATTAGTCTGTTTACAAGCGCTGTGTGCTTGTCTGATAAGACAAAAAGTTCACTCAGACGTAAAGTGTTTGTTGGTTAGTTAATTTAACCTAAAAAAATAGTGCGACATGCTTGATCTAAACAAATCAATCGTGATATCTATAATTATGCACACATAAAACTTGTAATATAACCGTAAACATTATTGAAACATAATTATAGATGCATGTAATTTAGACGCAATTATATTTTCCTTGGCGCATAAATTCAAACATTAGGGAAACTATTATGTAACTCAAACAATATTTAATTAAAGTTGTTAAACGTGCTTAATTGTAGGTTATTATTGGTACATCTTTATATTCGTGTTAAGAGTGCAAGTGTGAAGTAATAATAAGGAAGGATTACAGCAATAATTATATGTTTATTTAGTATTCTCGTTACACGCCAAGTTTAAGGTTATTGGTGCGACGTGTAATTAATTTAATTTGATTTATGCAACTTATTAAAAAAACAAGAAAAACATTTAACTCTGAATAATATTTTTTTTTGTTATGCTAATGAAGAATAGCAAGTCATTTTCACGCATGCGCGAAATTATGTAGCGTTATTTATCTATAATATAAAAATGAATCGCAAAATCTGTTGGTAAGCGCATAACTCAACAACGTCTGGACCATTTTGGTCAATTCTTTTTTAAATGTTCGTTATAGTCCACTGAGGTTTTTACGGCGAGAAAATTTTGAATAATTGTCGGGAAAACTCTAAAGACTGCTTTTTCTTATAGGATAGGCGCGCTGAAGTGCATTATTAGTAATTCTTTTAATATTTTTTTTTTGAAAATAATATTTGCGAATTATTATTGATTGAATTGACACATACTATGTCTAAAACAAGAGAGTACAAACGAATTACATTTTCATTAAACACTACTGGGACGAAGTCGCGGGCGAAAGAAGCTAGAATTGCTAAAATTAACTATATCCTAAGATTATATTATACGGAGGCAAATTTGAGCAACGCGTGGGTCGATGATAGGTTTTGCATTACAAATTTAACTTAGTAAATAATAAATGCTTACATTCGACATTACTCGATCAATATAGCATTAATATTGCCCAAACAATAGTCTAATGATTAAATTACATGGTTTAGTTGGTTTGGTTTAAATGTGTAATAGTGTAACTACATCTTTACGATATTTTATAGTTTTAATTATAGGTTATGCAAATTATATCTTAAAATTAATTAAAACTGTTTAAAATAAGTGAAGTTAAACATAAGCACATTATGAAAACATTCAGCAGTAGCCTAGCGGATATGTAAATTTATTTAAATTAGTAATTAACAAACGTGTAGACTAATTTTTTATCTCTAGTGACAGTAACGCCTAGATTTAAAGCAACCAAAGTAGTTTTAAATAAGATACATAACCTAGAACTTGTTGACGCAAAGCATATTTGTTTCTTCTTGTAAATTATAAGATAATTAAAAATTACTACCGCGTATCATGAATGATTTACTTTAATTTTGACCTTTAAAATAAATTTACTTATTTCCAATTAATGAAAACTAAAATAAAAACAAAAAAACAAAGATAACCTTCTATTTTAAAATTTGACATTTGCTTTGAAGTTAGATGAGTTTCCGTGAATTTTTAAGTTATATTAAACTAATATAATACAAACATTAATTACGCTTTTTTCGTTTAGGTATCGTTGCAACTATTGCATCCACAGTTTGGATTTTTAGGCCATTGGTGCGGCGGAGTGCTGATTTCCCCTGAATGGTTATTGACTGCTGCGCACTGCATCAACAAGTAAATTAATTTTTATTTCCCTTGCGACAATCATTTTTTATATAATTTGCTGCAAACTGTCATCATTTGACAATCAATGCACAATTTGCATATTAAATAAATATTTTATGTCTTCTTCAAGGCGTTTGCAAAATAATTACACGACAACTATCTTCAAATGTCCCATTTTTATTTAATAACAATTTTACGATTCATTCTGGTCAAATGGAATTAAATTAAATGTAATGATGTGTATTGATGTGCATTGACCTTGAAAGATTTATTACACGATATAAAACTAACACTAACTGATGATAAAACTTTCCGATAATAATTTTTAATGGTATTTAACGCTAATTGATGAAAATTCAATGTGCATGCACTAGTGACTTGTTCAATCTACCACTGCCGGCATTATGGACGGCTGTCCTTGGCGATTGGGACCAGAGCCTGGACGAGGAAACCGAAGAACGCATTCCCATCGAGGAGGTCATCCTGCACGAACGCTTCCACAATTTTCAACATGACATAGGTAAAGAAAATCACATTAATATGGACATCACACAACAAAAACATAATTTCCGTTTAATATACCCACATGTATATCATACAGCTCTCATGAAACTCTCGCGACCAGTAAAAATCGCACGTAACAGTCGCCTGCGTGCGGTTTGCCTACCTACCAAACGACTAGCACACAACGAAACAGATCTCTGTATTGCCACCGGTTGGGGTAGAGACGCCGAAGATGGACAACTAGCAGGACGACTTCTGGAAGCAAAAGTACCTGTACATGACAATGCATTATGTCGGAAAAAGTACGGACATTCTGTATCAATCAGATCAGGACACTTATGCGCTGGGCATTTAGATGGATCAACAGGAACATGCGTTGTAAGTACATATAAACATAAAAATAACCTCAATAAAATATTTGTATTTTAGGGTGATTCAGGTGGACCACTGCAATGTGCACAACGTGATGGTCGATGGTTCCTCGCAGGTATAACATCCTTTGGTTCAGGATGTGCGAAACCAGGTTTTCCCGATGTTTACACACGGATGTCATATTACTTGCCATGGATTCGTGCGAAAATACGTACAAATCAAGTTTTAGACGTCACATAACACACAGTTAAAAACAAAGGTTAAAGTTGAGGTTAAGTTAAGTAATTTAAACAAGTTTTACATAATATTATCATTTATTCAATCGCATTATACAACTATTTAAGCGTCATTCACTAACTAGTTTAGACTACAATATCACTACACCCCGTATAAAATTTCATATATAAATTGTACAATTGTATATAATTAGAACTACGTTGTAACATAACCTAACTAATATGGATATGAAATAATGACTAAATCACAAGTATTTGCATCATTTATATCAAAAAAACGATGCGAGAATTATTTCTCTCGATGTCAATAATTTAACTATACATTTGCACATTACATTTTGATTCTCGTTTATTCATTAGTAATAATTAATAAAACTTTGTTGCATTTTGGGCCAAACAAACATTTTGTGTTAAATTTTACTCAGTCTCAATGTATTCACGATATTAGTTGAGCAATTGTCAATTTATTCAAAAACGTCTATGAAATTAACTTATACGAATCGTCGGATTTGTATAAACAGGAATCACTCGAATCGGCGTGTATCCTACCTTATTATCGTAGAGATCTTCAAACCCTGGATGCGGTTGACTGTAGAATGTTAACAACGCCGCCGAGGCTGCTATCGCCGCTCCGAAGATAATCAACAACCAGGATAACAACCCGGAGAAGATGGGTACCACATATTTGATACCATAATCAGCCGCGTAGAATATCCAACTCAATTGGTACGTGCCCAATTCAATCCAGAACAATGGTAACATAATACCATTGAATGGTTTACACCTGGATGACATACGCGTGTCAACATCCAAGTTGATTTGGATCCTCATTCGGGCATGGACAGGCACACCAATTGTTTCGGAGATGGCCAGATGTGTGTCATGCTTCGTGCGGTCGGGATGCATACCTTCAACTTGTTCCAACAGCGCAGCATCGGCGTTGTAGAAGTGAGGTTGGGATATCGTGATGGGTATACCATAGTAACACGGAGCTAAATATCCAACGCCATTGTATCGGCAGTTGACACCAGGTTGTTTACAATAACATTCGTTTTGTGGATTTTGTTCCGGGAGTGATAAGAAGTTGGATCGTATGCGTGCGTTGACAGTGTCGAAGTTCTCGTACCTACCACGACCGGAATATTGAATTGGTACAGCTCTACAGAACGCACGTCGATAGAACCAAATGTCTGTTGATTCGTTAATGAATCGTGCGTCGAATACGCCTGATTCATAAGCACCTTCAATACTGTTACATCTCGAATTGTATTCAGAGGTTTCGTTACGCGGTTGGTCATGGTATCCCCAATGATGGAGACCTGGTGATCCGTTGAAGTTGACAATCGAATACGGCGCACGTGATTCCAAATCACTTAAAAGACTACTTTCGATTGGATCGTCGGTTATTTTGATTGTTACCGTATTACTTGCGTTGTCTAAGGCTAACAACTGTGGATTTTAAAAATAATTGCATTGTTAGATTACATAACCTCAAATTTAGTGTTTTTGGGGATGTTTTACTTACTCTATCAAAAATACCGAATCGGGGAAAGTTGATCCAATTTGGAAGTGCATTATGTGCTAACGTGACAAGGTTATCATCATAACCCCAAAGATACTGATCAATGGTGAGATTGAGAAACTGCTGAGAGTTCATGATGTTAGCAATTTGAGCAACGATCAAATTTGTCATCATGGATTTGTCTTTTAAAAACGATGAAATACCCTTTAATTTAATATGAAAATTAGGTTAATAAACATGGTTATGTTTTAGGTTATGTAACTTACCAATAAAGGAATATTCGGAGATATTATTGTGTCTTTTAAGGGATCTCCAACAGATAGATCTCTACGAAATTCTAAGAATCGCTTGGTAGTGAATGATAAAGTGCCATTATCATGGAAGATTGGATTTGTGTTTTTAATATCCTCACTGTAAAACACACATTGTACATAACCTCATCGCGCAACCAAATTTTTACTACTTACATATAAACATAAGGTCCTACTTCTTCCAATTTGAGTTTTTCTTTACCTGCTAGGAACTGTTCAGCGTTTGTGACATTAAACACATAAATTCCTAGTGTTACCTCAATCGGAGGATGTTGAAACAGTTTAAATAACAGTGAATTGGGTGACATTTTCATTTGCTGTAAATTTTTATATAATTTAGTCAAATATTTTGTTTAATATGATTTGTTTCACTTACAGATGTCACAAATGCTTTAATTGGTTGATAATGCATGATCATAACACCTGATATGATCATAAGGGCTCCTACTATGCACACAACAAGACATCCTTAAAAGAAAGAAGAAAATAATTGATGTGAGTGAAATCAAGGTGTAATTAAATGATGTGTATATGTGGACAATCGTTTGAATGCTGCAATACGGATAACAAGCATCATATGTCTCTTCTCAACAGAGTACAACATAATTGGAGCCTTGGCACAATATTTTTTAAGCTACAGTTACAACTTGTACGGCCGTCAACCGTGCGACGGGTTATGCAAAGTTGAAAAAAAGGGGAAATTGACTGCACGCGTGTGCATTTTCAATGTCAATCTTATTTATACACATTCGCGCGTGCATTTCCAGATAAATATATGATTGTTGTATGTTTCAGCGATGACATTATCGAAGGTCAATCCTTTCCGTGCTGATATGCTAATGTACAAAGAGATATTAAGGCGATTAGAGATAATTTACGGTCAAATGTAATTTGGATTGTTTTTGACCGTTGTGTACGCATTGCTGGTTGCATCACCGTCTCGCGGTGAAAGAAAGTGAATCATATATAACTCACGGACGCTGCACGGTAGAGATAAACATCGTGTGCAATGATCCATACTTGTTGCATGTAACATTGACCCTCTCTCTACCTGTTTGCATTCAATTTATAATTCAAGATAACAAGAATGCAACAATGATTATTCAGTTTTTGGTATTGTGTTAAGCGCATTGCATCCGCAGTTTCCGGTTTGTTATTGACCTTACCATCTTGGGTAGTCGACATGTGGATTTTGACACATCAATGCGAAATAACCGTATACATGTTTTCCAATCGAGTAATGGTGGCCTCAACTTTCAGCGGGATTTCAATTATGTAAAAACTGCTTAATTAACTTAAACGTACGCAGTAACAGTAACATGGAAATTGTTAATATTTTAATTTTATTCGACAACATTGACGTCAAAGCTCTATTAAGCAACTTATTTGCATTATTTGGAGACTAATATGACGAGTATAATTAACTATCTACTCGTATCAATAACATCAACAATGATAAATCAAAAAATTGTCGTGGGTATAATGAAAAGTTACAGTTTTATAACGATTACCTTTGAATCATGTATGTTGTATTGTCTAATTTGGTATTAATCGATTAAGGATTCAATTTTGAATGTAAATATTTTTGAATTTAATTGATAACAAGGTTTTATTGAATTTTACGTTGTATTTTGTTTTACTAGTCTAAAATTTACATAAATTACGTTTAATTGTATATAACTTGTAAACGAGACATTTTATCAACGTTATATTTTTACAATTCAATGTTAATTTTAATGTAAAATAAGTTTTTGCAAAAATTATAACGATAACTTTAATAGTTTACAAAGAAATAATTAAAATTTAAAAAAATGTAAAAATAGTCGCCGCGTTAAACTTAATTTGCAATCATTTTTAGTTTTTCGTAATTTTCGCAAAAACCAATCAATATATTTGAAAAATTTCTTCTGAACAAAAATAAGTAAAGTATTTTGAACTTAATACTGTAAAATTTTGGTTAAAAAATGTTTTTGCTATTAGTTAAATGCTAATTTCGGTTTTATTTATTAATTTTTATAAATTGTTACTTTATTTGTTAATAAAGTATAAAGTACTATGAGTCCAAAATTATTTTTAACAATTTTTTATTGTAGTTTAACGCAGAATTTAATTCTTAATCGATCTTTAAAAGAATTATGCTTTTACTCCTCATACTTTTCAATTTATTACAAAAAAACTGTTGGTATTTTATTCAAATTGTTCCACGTAAGGACAGTGCGTAATTCGTCGTAATTTTAAATATTTCAAACTTTGTGATGTATAACCAAACAGACAATTTATTAGTCCGCTAAATAATTGCATTAAACTGTGTTTTACGATTATACCAAATAGCATCAAAGACTTAATGAAGTCTTATATAACTCATTTAGAACATACTTGAGGTTATTACAAATGCAGTGCAATTATGTACTACCATTTGATATTGGGCAAGTGATTTTGACATAATTTTGGAACTAAAATTGCGTGAAGATATTATATCATAAGTTGGGCAATTGAGGAAAAAAAGAAGCATACTGGAGAACTAGAACTAGAACAAATTGCCACAGTAAATTTATTGAATGGAAGTGAATTATTTGATTTAAACGAATCAAACATAATACACGAGTATTATCAGCACTGCTTCTTTATGTAAACATTTTTGACTGCAGTGTGAATGAACCGACGGGTAATGTGCACCGAACTGTGTATTACGGATAGTATAACTATAACTTTAAGTGTAACACTTATGTAAATTATGAATGAATAACGTATTTTTTTATAATTAATATCTACTACAACATGACCCTCTTCCTTAAGACATATATTTTTATATTCATGTAACTTGACCTTTAAATTAAAATGAAAGAAAATATATCTTAAAATTAAATTTTCTTAGCAATTTTGACAGAAATAAGATTATGACATTTAGATATTTCTAAAATTTGTGTTTTATGCAGTTTTTGTAAAAAAATGTTGTTTTTTTTTTTAAGAAAAATGCAAGTTTTAGTCAAAATTTTGGTCAAAATGCAAAGTTGTCATAATCTGTTATTAATTTTGACTGAAATAAAGTTATGATGCTTAGATATTTCCAAAAAACTAATGTTTTATCAATTTTGGTTGAAAAAAAAACCAAAAATTCAAATTTTTGAAAAATTTTTGTTGGAAAAATTTTACAAACTAACTATATATCATATATATCATTTTTTTTTTGGTTGTTTCACAATTAAAAAAGAATAATTTGCAGTGTTGTCATATTTTCTTAACAATTTTGAGAGGAATACGGTAATTAAGTGATATTTTAATTAGAATATTGGTAAAAGTGCGTTGGTTTTACCTTTTCTTAACAATTTTGACAAATTCAGGATTTTTTTTTTAAATATTTTATTAATAATTAATTACTACTTCCACATGTTTCACTTCCTCAAGACACACATTCATCAAACCTGACCTCTAAATTAAAATCCAAGAAAAATATTGATCAGTGGAAGTTGAAGGTAATCATTCTGACTTAAAGTAACCTTTAAATAACTTCATAAATTTCATTTGTGACATGTTTGTCGCAACCAGAAAATAAAAAATAAAACAAAATTTGTCTCTAAACGATTGAATCTTACATAACTAGCGGGTCAATATGATAGACAACAATAACTTCTTACAAACACATTATTTAGAGTATTTTTTCGATTACAAGTTCAAATGTCAACTGTTAAATTGAGAAAAAAAACGTTGTGACATAGATTTTTAGAATAATATTCGATATTTTTTTAATTTATCTACCAGGAAGAAGCAGAGAAAAAAACGATGTTTTAATTTAATATTAATGATAAGATAAATATTTGTTTGCGTCTGAATTGCTTAATTAAGTCTTTTGCACAATCAGATTCAATTAATACGACTAAGATCGGGAAATTTCGATGTCGACTTGTTGTCGGAACATTTGCCACTGCTTGCGAAATGAGCGACATGAGACTTTAAGCGTCATTAAAAAGTACAAAAAATAATATTTTTGTCTTTGGAATCGTCATTAGTTGCTATGATATTATGAACTTTTAATTACCCACCAAAATAATTAGATAAAACATCTCGACTTGCACTTAGACTAAACTCGATAAATTGACTCAATTTATGCATTGCACAAATAAAATTATCAATTTAATTGCACGAAAGTGTTGGCTATTTAGCTAATTTTGGCAAATGGTGTGAATTTTGCCAAAACAATCAGATTTTATTGCTTTATTTCCTTTTTATTGCTAACGAGCTTTCTGTTTACGACTTTTTTTCTATTTAAATTTTAAAAAGCAAAAAATACATAAAATAAGTTCTACTTACTTTTGTTATCACGATATTTTAACCCAAGCAAATTCATGAGATGCTCAGTCCGACTCGTAATTGACTTCTGCTTCATTTTGCAACTGTTTCAAATAAATTTCTGATTTAAACGCGTTAAGAGTTAGTTCCTCACTGAACTGCCCATCCGAAACACTAACACACAATGTACAACCGATGAAAAATTTCTTAACGATCGGGCTATTATCATTGACACTGAACTTTGATTTAAAAATACGCTTATAGTTTTACAACAAAAGAACAAATAATGCGCTATCTCGTTATCTGCGTTGTGTTATTAATCGTAGAATAACACCACTTCTACCACGCTCGTATTATACTCGGACACTAAGTCGAAAATTCGTTTGCGGACGCTCGCCGTTTATTTATTCTTGATAATTCACGAATGGTAGATATTTCGAATGGTGGTGCGGTATATATTAATTCATCGGGGCGTCCAGAGAGTGGTTCGCATTGACGTAGCACGCGCCGCGCTAGGTTTGTTGTTTTTTCCACGAAGTGGGAGTTCGGATGTTGGGTGCGCTTTTAATGCGAAACTCTTTTCGAAAGACGCACGCACGAACACGACACACACACGACATGCGACCAACCGGCGCGAGTCAATCAAATTGTTTTAGTTTTTATCATTTGACGTGTAAACTCGTTGTTTGCCGCGGAGTGTCGTCGCGAATGAAATTCATTAATTAATCACGCGTTTTATTTATGTCTTGTGCATCTCAGGTCATGCATCATAGGATATTTATGTGTTGACACTTGCAGCTTCGTTTTTTTTGGCATTTTGATGTGATTACTGCTTTCAATTAACGAAACATTGTCAGATAAGTTGTGATTGATGAAGAGGAAATGTTTTTATGGATAGTTATAAACAATTTTGACAGAAATAAGGTTATGACACTTAGATTACACCAAAAAATTGTTTTTAAACAGTTTTTTTAAGAAAATGACGATATTTTGCACAATATTCATATTTTAAAAGAAATTTGGTTAAAAATGCAGAGATGTCATATTCTGTCAGAAATTTTGACAGAAATAGGGTTATGACACTTAGATAGCATTAAAAAAACTGAATTTTTCGTATTTTTGTTGATTTCTTTTGTTTTTTTTAACAAAAAATGTTTATTTTATAACAAACATTATTACAAATGCGGTGTTGCCATATTCTGTCTACACTTTGAGCAAAAATTAGGTTATGATACTTTAATAACCTCGAAAATGTGTATTTTACGTATTTTCGTAGGAAAACCCTGTATTTTATAACAAAATATATAAAAATCTGTCAATTTATAAATTTTTCTATCATTTCAACATATTAATGTGTTATTTGTGAAAATCACACCTATTTTGCATAAAACAAAGTTAACATTTAAAATTTTCAAAAAAAAAATCCATCTTTGTAATTACAACGAGCCATCCTCAAATATTTGTCACTATAATTGTGCATCGTGACCGTGAAAATTTAAGCTCGTCATCTTACACCACTGCAAATAAAACGCTGTCACATTCATCTCGGCATTTTGTCCAGTTTCTCCAGATTGTATGTAAATTGACAATGTATTACACCATTACATCGTCTGAAACATTGTAATAAACTTAAATTTATGTCCTGCGCGTAGCAAATAAAAATAATATGCAATAAATCGAATTAATTACTCGTTTGTGTCACCACTGGCGACATTGCGCAAATCTAGCATTCAGAAACATGGCCGAACAATGCAAATCCCGTCAAAGGAGTTTCTGGCCATTCTGTACCTTGTGCAATTTGTTGCTATACTAAAAACGATTTAATTAATTTCATTATGTAAGTGCACAATTTGAAGTCGTCGATAGTGGTGCAATTATACGATTCGTGTTACAACGAGATTAAATGTTTCAACAAAACGAAATTATTGAAGAGTCAGAAAGGCGCGCCATTTGGAGCGGATGGATTGAAGCAATTCGTAATTAGTTATAAGAAAAATTATATTGTAGAATAAATAATAGTGATTTGAAATTGAAAGAAAGATAGATAGTTATTAATTTATCTAAACATGTTTTGTCGTTCACTGCTTTTAATTAGAAAAATTGACAAGGAATTCAGTTGATTTATTGTGAACACAATTTTTTTACTTGGCGTTGATTAAGTAACATGTTCTATGATTTAATGATAGCAATCATCGAAATCTTCCATTTGTCTTGTGACAAAATTATTATTGTCTTCTGGCACAAAAAAAAGCAAAACAAAGAGTTATTACATAATTCTTACTAATATGTAATAACTTATTGAAGTGTATCTAGTAATATGAGCTCATCTTTGCATTTTTATCGTTTTAAAACGTAAAAAATGAAAAAATAGGTCAAAAACAAAATTGTAACCTAAATTATTAGTGTATGCAACCAGTTATGCAGTCAAATGTTGAAATTTAATGTTTTCATATATATTTGCACTTTCAACTTGTTATTCCTAACTAAATATTAACAAAGCAAAGAAGAAGATGCCATAATCTTAAATATGTACATTGTTGCCATTTTATCAAGTGCATGTAGCAATGGCGGAAGAGTACCACATATGCCAATATGTCAAGTATGCCTGAATTGTTACTTGACATTTACACAAGATGAATTCACTCCTGCGTAGGTAAGTTGTTGTTATTTACGAAAAACAAAAATTAAAAATACGTAAACCCATCCGCTTCACGCCCAAATGACGTCTATTTTGATATAGTTTAAATTTGACGTCATTTATTGTCGTTTATTTGAATTAAAACTCTTCCAATACTAAAACTAGAATTAGCACGTTTGATAAACCAGTATAATTAATTTATTCGGCAATATATTAGTATGCTATTGATCAATTTTCACCGATTTACGTCATGAAACAGCTTTGACGTATTTCCCCGAAATCCACTAATGTCTTCTGCGCAGAAGACATCCCGCTGGTAAGTGACTTTGGGCAACAACATGGACCGGCATCCATGGGACCATGACGTCAACGATGACCTAGAATGATGTCTTGGGCAGCTTGGATAAAAGCACAAGCAAGATCACCAAGAGCAAGGACACCTGCAATCCGATATTCAGCGTGATATAACCCAAAACATATTCATATCCGCGATATTACCCAAACTCAAAGGTTTCCTTAATTATTAAGTATTAATAAACTTCCAGTTCCGGATCCAGTTCCTCTCACGATTAAACAGAGTTAATCATTGGCATTGATTCAAGGTGTCAATGTCAAATCTGTTAATAGACGCATTAATATTTAAAATATTTATTCTATCAATAAGAATCACACATTTATTTTAGAGAAATTAATTATATAAAGAATTGCTAATAATGCCTTTCAGCGCACCATCTCGGATTCAACTATTTAACTATAACTATGATTGAATCTCAATGCCAACATTTATCTTATAGAAAAGGTCCGCCTTTAGGGTTTTTCCGGCAATTATTCGAATCTTTCTTGCCATTTAAACCATCCTTGGACTTTAACGTACATTTTAAAAAAAGAATTGGCCAAATTGGCTTAGGCGTTGTTGAGTTCTGCGCTTATCAACAGATTTTGCAATTTATTTTTATATTACAGATATTTCTCCAAAAACTAATGTTAATTAAAATTCATTTAAAAAAATATTTATTGTAATTATATATTATAGTCTTCTTTCGTATTAATCAAATTCACATTTGTGGCCGTAAATTATCAAATCATAGCGTTGTTTCAATTATGTACAATTATCATCAATAAATCAACAAATATATGAACGCAAAAAGATGTAAATTCATATAAGTGCGACGATGATTTTTTTACGGCGACAAATATATTTTCGAATGATAACAGTCGCTATCAAGATCAATGTTAATTTATTACACAAATTTATTCTGATTTTGCGTCAAACGTCATTTTCTATTATAAGTAATTATTTATACTTAATTTAATTTAAACATGTCTACTGCAACATTTAACTACTCAAATATTTTAATTGAATTTCGAGATTGCCCGGTTATTAATACTTATAAATAGCGCAATTTTGTGTTACAATTTAGGTTGCGTTCCAAGTATAACGTACCAAGTATTAAATTGTTATTACTGTTGATTTGTTTTGTGATTTTTTCAACGTCAATATACAATAAAACATTATTTTTGCAAATCTGTATGCATCTACTTAATTGTAGTCGATTAAACCATAATAATTATCACTGTTCGTGCAATTACCTAATAAGCTAATACCTGATATTAATGGCGGATCTAATACTACCTTGAACCAACATTCAGCCATGCACTTGTACTGTCTTACGCGCGAAACGGTTAAACGCTTCGACTGTTAGAGAATACATGTCGCTTTTACGAAAACGGCGAGGTTATTTCCTATTTTCCTTGAAACTGTACATTTATTTCCGATATTTCTTGAACTTTGATTTTAATGTGGTTATTAAGTGCCATTTAACATTTATAAATTGTGAAATTTGTTTCTAAGACAAATATTTTGAAGAAGAAAAAACAATTTGGTGAATTATAACCTTGTTTTATAAAATGTAATTACATATATGTTTATAGGTTATTGACTTATTTTTAATAACTTCCAAAAAAGGTCTTGTATAAATTACCAATTCTTAATAATTTTATCGAATTAACGATGACACTGAAATTAGAAATGCTTGTTTTTAAAGATAAACTGAGGTATTTGCGCATCCCGCTGCTTTTTAGGTTATAATCAATTTAAAAGTATGTATAATTTTTATTTAACTCCCTATTAAAGGTTCCTTGATAAAAAAAAACAATAAAATATTCTCGGATGTCAACGATGATTGGATTCATAAACATACTGAACTTCAAACTTCATCATTTAAAAAAAATCCTAATTCAAAGAAAAAAAACTTTAACTAAACAATAACAATACATATTTTATTTATCACTAACCGTTAAAATTCAAAAATTCAAATACAAAAATCTCAACGTGGAAATAGGGAGAAAGTAGATAATATAGCCTGAACATCACATGGCAAAACGTTGTTTAACACTCGATTGTTTAAATGGTTGCTACGCTCGCTTTTAATCAATCTCGTGACAAATTTATAGTTTGCTTAACACTGAATGAAAAGTAAATGTAAACTACGATTTAAAATGATTTATTACTAATGTGAATTGCGTTACATTATATAAAATATGTAAAAATGTACGTAAAGCGCAGTTTTTGAAGAGCTGTGTAATAAGTTTTAGTAATTATAATGTCGTTTAGATATGCTAGCAACACCTACCTTTATATCAAAGTACTATTATAATATTACAAACGTTATTTAAAGAGAATATTGCAATTGTTTTTAATATATTTTATAATACATTTATTTATTCATGAATTATCAAATATATAGGTAATTTATCATTAAATTTCAAAGTGTTACTTTGTGCCGATAGTGCGAGATCTATTCGACAAGTTAAAGTTACACTCTACTGTCCCTAGATGGCGCAACAATGCATTTTAGAACTAAAAATAATCGACCTTGCAATTTCTTTGCTGCAACATGCTACGTAAATAGTTCAGCTCGGTTGTGAACAAGTTTCGTTATTTACATTCACGCGCATTCATACACATAAGTTTACAGCTGGTAAACGGAATATACTCTACATTCTCTACCAAGTGCAACTCCAAGCAAAACTGGTAAACAATTATACGTAAAACCTAAACCTAAAACAGGTATAAAATAATTTTATAATAACGTATAAAATTTAATTAAAAGCAAAACTCTATTTTTTCTAGTTCATTCATCTATTGTGAAAATATGACGAAAGACTTTGGTAAAAACTCACATTGTAGAGCAACATTCTGCTTGCAGTTTATTTTATGTTATTTAAAAATGTTTTATTAGTTAAAACATTTGTATGATAGTTTTTACGGAATTAATATTTATTTTATTTCTGTCAGGTATTTTTGGATTAAGCGCCGGAAGTACATAAATCTAGTGTGCTGTGAGAAAACTTCCGCTTTTTGTTTAGTTACTATTGAAATGCGAAAGTTGGCAGCAGTGTTCTGTAGCTGAGAGCCGTGCGTGTGGCGAGTCTTCGCGTAAAATGGCTACAAATAATTATTTCGGATTTACACACGGTGGGACGCAGTACAGGTAAGTGCTGGCCGTTATATAATTACATTAAAACGCATTTACGTAGTAGGCAAATCGTGAATAAACAAATTCGGTGATTTCCGCGTACATTTCCAAATCGTCTCACGCCGACTTTAATTTGGTTAGGCCGGTGTCCTTGATGCAATGGCGCCGGCAAAAACCTGCATTATCCGATCGATATTCAGCCAGGTGCTGCTGAAACGTGCCGCCGGCCATACGCATTTGCCGCATAACACGTGTGTACTGTTCAATAAATGTTAACCGTGTTCGTGTGCGCATCATGCGAGAAGCAAGTAATCATTAAAATGCGGCGCGATTACGACGAGTTTTATCTCTCGTTCTAGTGCTGCCGCAGCCACTGGAACTGCGTACCAAACCGCACAGACCGGCTACGCAGTAGCAGCGCCGGCGACAGCGGCAGCAGCCGCCTCCTACAACACACAGAGGCCTGGATATGAGACTGCATACCAGGCAGCAGCCACACCGGCCACCTACGCTGCTGTAGGCACGGGAACAACGCCGGCGTACGAATACGGATACGGTAGGGCGGCTGCCGCCACCACCGGCTATGAGGCTGGGAAAAACTACTATCAGCAAGCTGCCACTGGACAGGCCGCCACCGGTTATGCAACTGCCTATGATCAGGCTCAGGGTGCAGCCAAGCAAGCCACATATGCGACTCAGTTTGCTGCTCAACGGAATCCCGGACAGCCTCAAGCTCAGGGCGCAGTATGTTCCATCATAAATCTCATATTTCGAACTTTTTGTTACACTTCTGCATATCTTATTTACAGACTGTGAGTGCCAAACCTGCCCAATATACAGGTACCTACCAAGCGAATCCCAGCGGTTACCAGGCTGCCTATGCACAAGCGGCCGCACAGACTACAATTGCAGCACAACCTACAACACAAACCAAACGTGAGTGTTCACATCCTAACATTCATTCTTAGCTCATCCTCATTGTACTGTGGTAGTTACTAGCTAATTATTAACACTCCCTTTGGTCAATATACACCTAACACTTTCATTTCTAAGTGATGAAATTTGCTAACTTTGTGTAGAAACCAATTCGACTTATTCTGGTTACGACGCTGCTTTATATTCAGCAGCTACAATGTATGTGGCGCAGCAGTCCACGAATCAGCAGAAGGCCGGCTGGCAGGGTTACAAGAAGGGTGGAGCGGCGGGCGGCGGCGCCAAGAACATGCGCTCGAAGGCACCTCCAAAACCACAACAGTTGCACTACTGTGAGGTGTGCAAGATCAGCTGTGCCGGCCCGCAAACGTATCGAGAGCATTTGGAGGGTCAGAAACACAAGAAGCGTGAAGCTGCGACGAAGATGACTGCCTCGCCGGCGGTCACCAGTCAAAATCGTGCCGGCAACTCGCTAAGGTGTCAATTATGTGATGTAACGTGTACAGGTAAAGAAAATTTGATTTGTTGTAATGTCTTGTGCAAGGAGAATAACATCTTGTTTTTTTTTATACATAAGATGTTCAGACACCATGCTAAATTAATTCCAATATCTTTCTATTTTGTCTTGATTATTACATGGTATAATCAAGACTTTAAAAGAAATTGTACATTTATAATTGTGTCTATACTTTAAGTACAGTATCTGGAGAGTGTTTTTTGTTTGTTTTGACAGGTAATGATGCATACGCTGCACATATTCGTGGTTCGAAGCATTCGAAAGTAGTGATGCTTCACACAAAGCTAGGCAAACCGATCCCTCCAGTAGAGCCCGAAGTGATTGGCGGGACTCGCAAATCGATCACGTCCACACCAAAAATAAATTTCGTACAATCAGGCGGCCTGGGTGTGCCTGCTCCCAACAACGGCGATGTCAAAGAGGAAGAGATTGAAGACACACCCGAGCCGGACATTCAACCAGTCGGGCAAGATTACATCGAAGAGATTAAAAGCGAGGATGGCAAAGTTATCAGTTTCAATTGTAAACTATGCGAATGCCGATTCAATGATCCGAACGCAAAAGAAATGCACATGAAGGGTCGCCGACATAGGCTGCAATACAAAAAGAAGGTGAACCCCGATTTGGTCGTAGATCTCAAACCGTCCCTAAGGCAGCGAAAGATTCAAGAGGAGAAAATGCGACGTGCTGTAAGTGACACTTTTATTATACATCTAACGACACTCGTTCCTTTTCTTATATAGAGATGAATTATAAGGAAATATTAGGGTAGTCGGATATTAAACTCATGAGTTGCTTCACACTGATAAACATAATATCGCTTTTAGCAATATTTTATTGTTTAACCAGTTTTTCTTACTCATACAGTTAAAAACTTAGATATTGATAGGATTGTGGATTTGTTTAGTAGTTTTGTTCTTTTATTTCTCTGACAGGCTTTGCGGGAAGAATATTGGCAGAGACGTCACATTGCCCCAGACGACGATGATGAACGAATGTACTGGGAGGAGCGTCGTCGCTACGAGGAAGATTACATGGAGTGGTGTCGCCGTGGAAACATGGGACCATTCCCGCGAGGACGTCCGCCATTCCCAGGAAATGGCCCACCGCCGGTAAATACAAAACTTTTCTTTTATCCAATTTAATGCTGCAAGGAGAAATACCAGATAACATATCGAGTGTGATATCTGTCCAGACACCATGCTAGAGAAAAGTAAACGTGACATTATTCAAGTAGTATTGTTTTTTTTTTTTTGCGTATTACTTTATTGTCGTGTTTATACATTTTTATTATTTGTTAGTTTTCTTTCATTATCGTAGGATCGTATAAATTAAAATGTATTGTTTAGTTCTTCCCTGGACCGCAGATGACTCGCCGCATCGAATCAAATGACGACCGGCACGTGATGGCCCATCACGCCGAGATTTATCCCAAGGAGGAGGAGTTGCAGAATATCCAAAGAATCGTTTCCCACACCGAGCGCGCACTGAAAATTGTGTCAGATCAAATGAGCGAAGCGTCTACTGTGAAAGAGGAAACGCCAGCTGCGCCAACCACTGATGCAGAAAAGACACCGGAGACTACCACCCCAACTGAGGCCAATGATAAGCCTGAAGAACAAACTGAACTCAAAGAGGATGGACGTGACAATCAGCTGTAAGGCTATTAGCAAAAACTTGTGATTATTTTTAACGCATCTGTTTGTTCTTTGCTGTAAAGGTTTTCTTTCCAAAGAGAAGAGCGTGACAGTAATCGCACTCTAAAGGGAGTGATGCGGGTGGGTCATTTAGCTAAGGGACTTCTACTACAGGGCGACACCAACGTAGAGTTGGTGGTTTTATGCTCGGACAAGCCAACGTTGACGCTTCTACGAACCGTGGTGGATATGCTACCAGCCGCGCTCAAGCAGGTTCTGCCGGACAACAGTTATACGGTGACCATCAATGCCGCCGAGGCGGGTTTCACGGTCACCGAAGCCGACTTGACAGTGCTTGTGCAACTTACCAGTCCTGTGATGCGGGAGCAAGGTTAGATTATTGATAAAGAATGAATGGCGCGGAATGAACGCGGGTTAACAATCGTTCAAACAGTACTTGATATTTGGCAGGGTTTAAGCTCTCTTGGTAGTGATTTATGATGAAAATTCCAAAATTGTTCGTTTGTAGTGACTAGTTTTCGTTTATAATACTTTTCTTTGATTGCATATTGTTGTGCGGACGATGGTGACAGTGGAGTTTAAGTTATGAATGAACTGCTGAAGAGTGACGGAAATTGTTATCAATTTCTGAGCGAGCAGCTTAAACCTTGATCGTTAAATGATAAATATTGGACACTATCCTACCTACAATCTATTCGATATATATATCTACTAGAAACGGCACTCATGGCAAAGTAAAATTGAATGTTTGTATCATTCGCAAACAAGTGCGTACGTAACGTAATGTTTTCTTTCAGAGAGCTAGCTTGACAAATTAACGAGTAGGTCCAATACTTATGTAACTGTACTGTGCTGTTTAGAAGTGATTTTAGGTGGTGTGGGATAAGGATTTTTGACCAGCCGGCACACGACTGACTGCACTCGTGCACCGTGCCATACAAGCATGTTTGCATGTTTGTGCGCGCGCTGGCAGCTGTGGTGTGCACGATGGTCAAACACCCTTTCTTGATGTCTAGAAGCTGCGAGCGGCGGGTTGGACCGGGATGTTCTCGCACGCGGCAAGTGTCTCCAGGCGCTGGCAGCCCTCAGACATACCAAATGGTTCCAGGTTTGTGTCTCTTCTCACACCGCGCTCTCCATCGCGTCAATTTATGTTTCTTATTATTATAAACGTTACCGAGCAATGCGCGGCTAAAATTCATGCAAACTACTATAATTCATTTAATTTGACTGAAGTATGTGGTTTATTGAGTGTGTGAGTTCTTAAAATCATAACGTTGGGAATCGGAGCTCACTCGAAATTGTACGTTGATTTTATTTTTGTTTTCTTGGAATTCAATTTACTAAATTCACACCTAGGCGTCATTTTGTTTATTTTTAATTTTGAGCTTTCGCTTCTATTCCCTTTTGTGCATTCAAGACATCGGCATTTTTGTTTCCGAAAAAGCATATAACTTAGACCAATATATTGAAAACTGAAAAAGAAATTTCACAACTCAATTCTAATGATTAATTAATTATTCTAACGTAGTACGTGAAATCGACAAGTAGGCCATCGGATCGTAACGCAAGATTCGTTGACATGTTTATTTCGTCGGCTTTTGAAACGAGTTTACTAACAATAATGGATCTTTTAGGCTAGGGCATTGGGGCTGCATTCCTGCGTGGTGATTATTCGAATCCTTCGTGATTTATGTCAACGAGTTCCTACTTGGGCGCCACTTAGCCCATGGGTAATAATGTGATTCCTGTTATTGATTGTTGCCTAATATCTCCCATTTTTAAGGCAATGGAATTGCTTGTTGAAAAGGTAATTTCGTCCACACCCGGTGGCGTTCAATTGTCGCCTGGCGATGCTTTGCGACGTGTGATGGAGGCCGTGGCCGGCGGTTTGCTGCTGCCTGGTGGGCCTGGTCTGGGTGATCCTTGTGAAAAGGACAGTCCAGATGCGGCGACTGCACTAACAGCTCAACAAAGAGAAGATCTGACTTGTTCCGCACAGTTTGCACTACGTTTAATAGCATATAGACAAATCTACAAGGTATGTTATTTTATTGATTTTGTCTTTGCCCAATTTGCTTGACGATATTTTGTTTATCATACAAATTATACGTTTTCTCTTGGGCGTAAATCAAAGGTTGCGTGTTTATAAAACTCGCGTAAAATAATACGAGATGATTTCAAACATGCAACTACATAACTCTTATTTTAATCAATATATGAATTATTAATATGATTGTGGTCAATAAAGGTACTAGGCATGGAACAACTACCCATGCAACAAAAGAACTTTAGACGTGACCGTTCCGCCCGCAAAAGACGTCGCTCAGGTGGTGAACAAGCTGATTTTGAGAGTAAGTTGTTTATAAATTACCCATTTGCATGGCTTATAAAATTATTCAATCATTCCTGTAGGCGATACTGGCAAAATGGTCAAGACGGAGAATGACACCAATAATACCACTCCGACCGAAACTCCTTTACCGTCGAAGTAATTTTTCACTAGTTTACAATCACCCTCTTTTGGTTATTTTATTATTAACATCGACGAGTGTATTTATTTGTTTCTGAATACCACCTTCTAAGGTGACTATTAATTCTTGGAAATCATCGGTTATAAGTTTTATAGCCGATTTTCTTACGTGTTGACGGATTACTTCAAACTAAACAATTGTATTAACGAATGAAAATTGATTGATTGATAAATATATGTATCTTAGTAGTATTTTCTAGATGTATGATGTATGTACTCAAATAAATGCAACCTGCGTTTAGAAAAGCCAAGAGCAATCAAACATGCATATTGTGCGTCGTTTTCTTTACAATATAAGAACAAATTCTATTCCTGTTTTGTTTGACTAATGTCAAACATAAATTCTTTCTTTCATTTCTTAATGCGACTGTTTATTAAAACAGTCGCATGAATGATGTGAATCACGAAGTATCTATACTGAATAATCAATTTTGGTTTTAAAATATGAATCGTGATGGAGCAATGTGAACTTTGTGAAATTCAAAATTCGTCTCAACTATTTACAACTAAAAATTAAGCAGGCAATTCAGGTAGTGTTTCAATCGTGTTCGGCACGACAAGCTTTTTTCAGTTTTTATAAATATACAAGCGCGTGCGCTATATAGGTGACCAAGGCACCTTGCTGCCTCAGCATAGATGCATACTTCTCAGTATTTCGTTCGGTCCGTTCGGTGATGTTGGTTTACGCGTCGTTTACAAGATATTCGCTATTGAAATATGTCATAAAAAAATTTAAATTTCATTTTTTAACACTTTCAGTCGCGTTTTATACCTCTTACCCCATTAAATTAAATTATTTTAAATTTCTACCTGATAGAAAATTTTCCAATCTTCCATAATATGTGATTGTGTGGTTGCTATCTATTTTAGTTTGGAAGATATTCGCTATTTAAAATCGGACAAACATGACACCCCACTTTGCACATTTTGTTTTCAGAATTATCTTTTGATTTCCTAGATTTCTTTGTAATGGAGCTTAGAATTGTGTTTGTTTTGAACACAATTTACCGTCATATTAGAGCATTTTTGGAAGTGCCCTGAAATGTCTTTCAAAAATAAACAATTTTAGGAAAATTTAAAAACATGGTGAGTATAACCTCCTGTATTTTGTGAACTAATGACTTTCTTAGAGTTTCTCTACGCCAGAAATGAGCTAAAGAGTTCCTCTACACGATGCAACCTTCCACCCCTTCCAGAAGTGCCCTAAAATGCCCTTCAAAAATGAGCAATTTCAGGAACAATTGAAAACATGATGTGGAAAACGCCCTGCATCTAGTGAACTAATTGACTTTCTTAGAGTTTCTTTACACCAGAATAGAGTCAGAGAGTTCCCCTACAAGATGTATATCTTCCAACCTCTCAGCGTTTCTATAAGTGCCCTAAAATGCCCATCAAAAGTGGGCAATTTAATAAAAATTTGAAAACTTGATGTGGAAAACGCTCTGAATCTCGTAAATGATTTGATTTTCTTGCAGTTTCCTAACGTTATCTTAGGAAGTGCCTTAAAATACCCTTCAAATATCGCTAATTTTGTCCAATAAATTTCATTTTTGGTCGAAGAACAGGGACGAACTTTTCTTGATCATTTTTTTTTGGTCAAAGAACAGGGTCGAAACTTTCTTGTTAAATTTTTTTTGGTCGAAAAACAGGGTCGAACATTTTTACTTAATTTTTCGGTCCAATTTTTTGTTAATTTTTTTTTTTCGGTCGATTTTTTTGGAAACTTTTTCGGCCAAATTTTTTTGGTAAAATTTTTTCGGTCGAATTTTCTGTAAACTTTTTTCGGTCAATTTTTTTTTGTAAACTTTTTTTCGGTCGAATTTTTTTGTAAAAATTTTTTCGGTCGAATAACAGGGTCGAACTTTTTTATTGAAACTTTTTTGTTCGAAAATTTCTGTTAAAATTATGTCGGTCAAAAAACAGGGTCGAACTTTTTTACTTTAAATATTTTGGTCGACTTTTTTTGTAAAATTTTTTTCGGTCGAATTGTCTTGTGCAATTTTTGTGCGATTGCCACGCGGTTGGCTTGTGTACCAAGTTAGTCTCATTTTTGTCGTTAGGTGATCTGCACACACATTTTCTTCATTATTCTTGAGTTGCTAAATGCTTCTTCGACATACTCAGAGGTAATGCGTTTAGACACTCTCAGTATTCACAATCATGTATTTGGTTTTTCTTCCGGCAGAAAAATGTATGAATGTTAACAACTTAGCACTACTTGATATGTTTATTGTATATTGTAAAGCGAAATTAAATCATTTCGTTGTTTTCAATTTCATTGCAATATCAACCTTGTTGATAAATATTTTCAAAGGTTATATGGCGCTACTATGTACGGTTTTGCATTAAATATTGCTTGTTGGTGGTAGTGAGTGCACCCTGTGTCCGTGTGCGATCACGTGATTTCACGCAAGAGATAAGTTTGTTTACCTGCTGGTATCGAATTCTTATTTCGTGGAATCAAAACACACCGTTGCGGTTTATTATTGTAGGATCGTAAATTTAAGCAAATATTCTTCAATTCTTTCATGAATATAACTAACAATTTTATATTAATTCAAATACATTTTTATTATCAGCAGATGATTACGGACTAATGTGTTACCTGGTAAACGAGAAAGGATGCATGTTCAAATATAAATATCACTTAGGTATTTGATTTAAAATCTGGCAATCTGTCAGCATAAGAAATCAGAATTACTCAAATCGAATTTTAATTTTTTATTACCTTTACTAATGTAAATATCGAAACTACTGTATCATTTATAGATAGAAATAGCATGGACTAAAAATTGTAAAATAAACTTGTATTGTTTATGTCTATATTTATCGGCAAGCGTGAGAATTCGACACGAGAATAGTGTTTGTTTTGAACACAATTCACACTTTCTTATCGCATTGCCGTGTGTCGTCGTTACCATCCCCTCACGCCGCATGCTGCTGCATCATATTTTTGTTTTGATTGCAGGTATCGTGACAAATGCAATTCGCGCTCAAGGTGCCATCGACGCGCCGGCTTCGCGCATCTCTTGATTTCTTATCTTAACTGTCGCGTCGTTGCTTGCGCAGTTGGGGGCCAGTTTTGTGCCGGTCACAGGTTGATCAAGACGTATTCTACGCGACTCGTATTGTTTGTATTATATTTAATCATTACTAAACTATTTAATTGTAATCACTATAGTTATGTTATTTACCATTTGCGCGTTTATCGGCGTCCGGCGGGTTTGTGATTGTGCGGAAAGTGTATATTGGAACTCACAATAGTTGCTAGGTGAATCAATTAAATATCGTCTCCATATTGCTCCCATCGTGCTGGTGTAAGTAACTTTTAATCATACAGCACATATGTTTTTTTTCTCCCCTTTGTGAATATAATATTACTAAATAATATGAAATAGTTTTGTTTTAACTTATGTTTTCTTTCTTATTTACAGTATTTGCTGTGCCTTGGAGTCCGATGAGTTCTGCATTGGTAAGTTTCTAATTCAATTAGGGGAGAGTAGGGTAATGGGAGTCAGCGGGTAATGGGAGTCACCCATGTATCCACGAAACAATAGTTACGAGTACCGCGTAAACGGCGTTCCTACCTCCGTTCTGGCCCCCCAGTGCCACCCCCAAAAAATCATGCAAATCGGTGCGTGTATCATTGAGATACGCCAATATTTTATTTTTGAGCTCCGCTGATCTAATTTTACGTCCACGCAAATTAGAATATAAGTGTCGAATATCTTGCAATATTCGAATGAAACTTTTATATAGTCTTAGTTAAACATTCAAAATCGTGATGTGCAGTTCAGATTACATTAATGTTTTAAAGAAATATTTTTTTTGTTTTTTTTTCACAATAGTGCAATTGTGGGCAATGGGAGTCATGCGACTCCCAATGGACGTTTTTGTCTTTAGTCCGCTCTAAATGGGCTATAAAAAGCAATGTGACTTATTTTTCATTAGCCATCATGCAGAAACGATACTGCAGGAAAGTAACAAAACTTATGATTCCTATATTGGCACTGATGACTTATGCCAGGGCGATGGATGAAGATTTGGAAAACTGATGTCTAATGTGCAACGATTAAAAAAAAAAAACAATTAAATGTGGTTCATAGCACTTCATTTGGGCTATGGGCTCATGTGAAATGCACTGGGTGGGACTTTGCGGAATATTATGTTTGCGATATCTGCTAGATTTCGTTTAATTCCGATTGTCCCCAGGGTGACCACCATTACCCGCATGTCGGTGTAATGGGAGTCAAATCTGTTTTTTTTTAAACTTTAATAATATCCAAAATTGATTGTCAAAGTGACTGAAAATTATTTCAAATAATAGGTATTTAAGTAAACAATGCTTATAAGCGATTGCAATAAGTATTTTGTTTATAATTTAAATTATATTTGAGTTCTCCCTTAAGTGACCCCCATTACCCTCTTGTACCCTATACTTTTTGTTTTAATTTCTGCGTCGCACATTAGTAGTTTTTAAGTAGTTTTTTTTTTTCATGTACCACCGCGTGTTGCACAGACACAAGATAGTCGCGTTTCAATCTGCCTATTTTAGTTTACCAGATATTCACAACCGAAATATATTCTCAACAAATGACTATGTTTATTATAAAAATCATCAAGAATACAAAACATTTTTATTATCAGCAGATGATTACCGACTAATGTGTTACCTAGTAAACGAAAAACGATGAATGTTTAATTTAAATATCACTTAAATATTTAATGTAAAATCTGGCAATCTGTCAGCATAAGAAATCAGAATTACGCAAATCAAATTTTAATTGATGGCAATAGCATGGACTAAAAATTGTAAAATAAACTTGTATTGTTTATTTCTATATTTATCAGCAAGCGTGAACCTTCAACACAAGAATTGTGTTTGTTTGAACACAATATACACTTTCTTATCGCATTGCCGTGTGTCGTCGTTCCCAGCACCTCACGCTGCATGTTGCTGCATCTTAGTGTAGTTTTGATGCCAGGTAAAAATGCCAATTGCAATTCGCGCACAAACTGCCTCGTCTAGAGATCCGGAATTAAATTCTCCGTCGGGTGGTATTTGTTTGTTGTAGAAATTCGACCTGCAACTCGCAATAATTAGCATAAAGGGGTGATATTTGTCACCCTTTCTCGGCAAATGTTTAGATTTTTGTGAGTTTGCGTGCGATCTAGGCGACTCACTAATTTCAGCGCGGCGTCTACAGATGCGGAATTAAATTCTCCGTCGGGTGGTATTTGTGTGTTGCAGGAATTCGACCTGCAACCCGCAATAATTAGCATAAAGCTGTGATTTTTGTCACTCTTTGCCCTGAATCGAGTCACTTTTACCGCTAGCGTCGTAAGGTGCTCTGAATCGAGTCACTTCTACCGCTGGCCTCGTACGGTCCCTTGAATTCAAGACGCTTCTACCGCTATCCTCATACGGAGCCCTGAATGGGAGTCACTTTTACAGTCACCCTCGTCACGTTATTGAAGATTATAAAACTTCCAAAAATTCTTTATAGAACAGGATAATGAAATATATTAATTACGTGAAGTAAAAGTTAAAAAATAGTCGTTAAACGTGCTAAGATAAGCGATTTTTTGTGTTGTTCCCAGATTATTCAATTGCGTTTATCTCTGAAACTGCCTTTTCATATAGACTGTATTCAATTCTTGATTTTAGGATACATTGTTTATGTGAATAAGAGGGTACGTTTATAATATAAAATCTTCCCATTGCATTGGACTGTATCCACAACATGAATTGATTATACTCGTAGTTCGCACTCTTGGCTCTTATCGGTGTTAGTGCACAAACAACTTGTTTTTATTGCGTTGCAGCACATCCGATGCGCTCAGCAGTGTTTGTCACTTTTCTTACTTAGTCGATCGTGCGCTGCGGTGTGATGTGCACGCGTTTACTTGCGCGGCGGTCTTCATGGCGACTTACCGCGTTTCTTGTGATTTTCAGTCGGTAGTTGAATTATAATCAGTCACCAAAAATAAGATTTAGAATTAACAGACAAGTACGGCCTATAGTTAATGAGTTATCGCGCGTGGAACCAAGTATATCGTGGTTTTACAACGTACGCATCACGTGTTTTCCGTCGGCTGTCGGATATCTTCCGTCGGCTAAAAAATACTCAGGCTTGTTTCGTGTATCCATTTAATTATTAATTTGAATAAACATCATTTGTGCATCGTATGGAATATTTCATCTGCGAAAACGTAAGAAAGTATGTAACATAAAAACTATACTCTATTACAATTACCAACCTTATAAGGAAAAACGATCAGAACAATTAGTTAACACTTTAATACATAGCATAGCGTCACATGGTTGCATATAATAACCTTTGTAATAGAAGTATTGGAATATTGTCGCGTCCCGTCGGCTGCGCCTTCTCTCTCATTCGGGACAATGAGTGGTCAAGCCATCACATGAAAACGGCTAGACCGATTTGTGTGAGATTTCAGAACGCATATATAAACTTCGCATGACTTATTTAGTAATCTGTGGTAATTTGTGACATACCCGCCGCGCCAACAATATTGACCGGTTGATGTTTTTGTTTGGAGAAGGAAAGTCGCTTTCTCTGTCTGTCCCTTTGTATGCTTAAATCTTTGAAAATACGCAACGGATTTTGATGCGGTTTTTTACTTCCGTGCGAAGCCGGGGCGGGTCGCTAGCGATGTGACTGGCAGAGAATGCCTTTTGTACAATATTATTTTTTTGTGTAATAAAGTTTAAATAAATAAGGCGGTACGAAGTTCGCCAGGTCAGCTAGTATTAAATAATTATTAATTAATTATATTAATTTAAAAATATTAATATTATGTAATTAACAAGCTACTAAACTATAATGCAGAGGTTATGATTCATACATTTCAAAAGTAAATCAAGCGCGCGAGATATTGAACGCATGCGCATTGAGCGTGAGCAAATCTCTCATCACGAAACTAAAGATTACCCGAAAGTTCACAAGAGTGCTGACGGGTTAAGAGATCTGAATTTAGTATTTCTTTAAAATGTGTTTAATAAATTTATAATTATTAGCGATTGTATTATTTATTATGTTTCTATTCACTTACTTATCACTTCCCCTAGATAAACAGTAGAAAACAGGTAATAAAACATTCACTTTTGATTTTGATTTTGTATCACCCTGTATATACATTTTTCTTAAGACTCTGCAAAAATGAGCATAATTATATTTCTTGGGGCGATTTTCCTTTTTAATTGAAGATTTTCTTTTGATAACGCCCTGTATATAATTTTCCACTGATGTCATGCGAAAACAGGGCGCTATTTGCTATTTTCTAGTGTTATATTTTGAAATTTGATAGCCATTTGCATATGGCCGCTATGCAGATGATAAACATATTTTAAAATGACGTCATGTGTTTTGTACGTATTGAAATTGCAAAATTCTAAAGTTATATTGTATTTAGTTTGTTAATAAAGAAATGTTAAAAGCAATGGATGTGTCTTATGACTTGTGCACCCCTTCCTTCCATCATTTCAGGTACAGGTCACAACTTGTAAAGTATTTCCCGGTGTTGTGGTCGGTCCTGAGAGCGTCGACATTTAGACATATCTCCCTAATAAGGAGCTTTCCCACTCGGGGGATGATCCCCACTATAAAAATTGTTAAGGTATCCTATATGATTTGTGTACTCCATCTTTCATTTCAGCCACAGGTAAGAACTTGTAAGAATATTTTTAAGTGTCCCCTCTCGTGAGGCGACTTAAAAATTAGAAATATTATTACAAGTTCTTAAAAGGATGTCCTTATAAGGAGTTCCCTCTCTCTGGGGATGATCCCCCACCATAAAAATTGTTGATATGCCTGATAATTCTGGGGATGAAGCGCAGAGACATCGTAGCTGTAGGATGGGCCGGGAGCAATGGACGCATCGAAGTAGTGGGCTCTGGGAGATCGACCGTAGACTGTCTTATAACGACACGTGCCAAAAAATTTAAAAATCCTGTCATCACTATTCTCTTTTCTTCTCTTCTATTCTCTTCATTTCTTACTTCTCATATTCTCTCCTGCTGCTGCTCTCTCACTTACCTCTTTTTCCTTACTCCTCCGCCATCTCTTCTATTTATTCTTACTGTTGCTACGTCGTGTATGGCTGTTCAAGTTATTTCTAACATATGAATCTTGAATTTTTGTGGTATGCAACCCACATTTCGTAAATTTCTTATTATTTAATAAAATTGCCTCCTACAACTAAGATTCGATCCACGAACCTCTAGCATGCTAGCATATGCACATGCCACCTGAGCCACAACGCTCACTTATCAAACTCTATTCGTTTCAGTTATAAATGTTGTTGTTTTTGTCACCTTTTTAAAAACAACAATGATCTTTAAACCTAATTCTGAAAACGACAATAGGAACACAGAGAGATAACTGATTCAAAATATACTATTAAATTATATTTTATCCAAATTCATATAATCAAGGCAGTACATATACAAATTTAATTCTGTTACATGAAATTTAAAGTGGGCCCCTAAAATTTTGTATATAAGATGAAGTTGCAAGAACATGTACTGAACAAGGATGTAAAAAATAGTGTAACGAGTAAAAAAAAGTAAACAAATTCCCTTTTTTCGCTTTTAGGGCCCACTTTGCCCCACCCTCCCCTACATGTGTTCAACGTTACTTGCAAAAGTGACATAAGTTACAAGTTACACTTACTTGAATGTTTAATCTTCACAAACTAGTACGGAATAGATTTTACGGACACTCGGAAAACAAACGAGGTATATTTCCACGTTTGAATTATTTAATAAATGCACAAAATATATAAATCCAGTAAGAATTCTTCGTGTCGACGAGAGATATCCGACGGGCGACTGAAAACACGTGCGCACATTGAAAAAAACAACTTAATTCATACTTCCACGCGCGATAACTTATTATTTCCACATCGTATAATCTCAAAATGCTAAATTTTATTCGTATCGCGTGTTTAGTTTCATAAATTAATATCACTACGCAAATAAATCCACTGGGACGGACTTCTTAGCCGACGAAAGATATCCGACGGCCGACGGCAAAAACGTGCGCACATTGTAAAACTACACAATTCTGGATTCCACGCGCGATAATTCATTAACTGCACGCCGTACTAGTCCGTTAATTCTAAATGTTATCTTTGCTGATCGGTTCTAATTCAACTACCGACTTAAAATCACAAGAAACGCTAGTTACAAAGATCGACTTGTGAACAAAACACGTGTGTACCGAACAACATCGCACGATCAACTAAACAAAGAAAAGATATTGCAGGATACGTGAACGAAGCAGCTATGAAAATGATAAGAATTTAAATACTCACAATTGAATGCGGGCACGATTGTACACCGAGGTCACGTTCAACTCCTTGACATCTAAAAACAGAAATCAGATGCGCTGTGATTTGAAACTTAAATTCACATTTAATTCGCTAAATTGACTAAAACTTTATAACACCAAAATATAAAAATAACAAAAGTAAGATCTAGTATAGTAATACTATATTACTTGCTATGTATATTTTCTCATCACAATAGTCTTCAACAAATGTTGCATCTACAAAGGTGGTGTGCACATTAGTTTAAAAGAAACTAGAAAAAATACAAACATTTCACGAGAAAGAGTAACAAAAATCACACATTTATGCTACTTATTGCGGGTTGCAGGTCGAATTCCTGCAAGAAACTAATACCACCCGATGGAAAATTTAATTCCGCATCTCTTGACGCCGCGCTGAAGTTAATGAGCCGAGAAGGTCGCGTGCAATCCTAAAAAATTAGAAACATTTCACCAGAAAAGGTGACAAAAATCACAGGTTTATGCTAATTATTTTGGGTTGCAGATCGAATTCCTGCAACAAGGAAATACCACCCGACGGAGAATTTAATACTGCATCTCTGGACGCCGTGCTGAAGTTAATGAGCCGACAAGGTCGCGTGCAATCCTGAAAAATTACAAACATTTCACGAGAAAGGGTGACAAAACTCACACCTTTATGCTAAGTATTGCGGGTTGTAGGTCGAATTCCTGCAACAAACAAACACTACCCGACGGAGAATTTAATTCCGCATCTCTAGACGGCAAGCTGAAGTCAATGAGTCGACAAGGTCGCGTGCAATTCTGAAAATTTACAAACACCTCACGAGAAAGGGTGACAAAAATCACAGCTTTATGCTAATTATTTCGGGTTGCAGATCGAATTCCTGCCACAAAGAAATACCACCCGACGGAGAATTTAATCCCGCATCTCTAGACGACGTGCTGAAATTAATGAGCCGACAAGGTCGAGTGCAATCCTGAAAAATTACAAACAGTTCACCAGAAAGGGTGACAAATCACACCTTTATGATAATAATTGCGGGATGCAAGTCGAATTCCTGCAACAAACAAATACCACCCGACGGAGAATTTAATTCCGCATCTCTAGACGCCGTGATGAAGTTAATGCAAGTTAATGATGAAGCAGACAAAAATGTTACTCACAGTATTACGTTTGCGCTGATAACCTTTCCACATGGTACCACATACGTGGTTTATTTCCACATCTGAACATTTTTTACCAATAACTCCAATTGGAATTCTTAGACCCTGGAAATGATCCGACGATTGGTGGTCTGCGACACACGCGCGCCGGTGAAAAAACCACTTAATTTTTCATTTTTAACGCGGTATTAACCGTTAGCATTTCGCCTACTAGAATTAAATGCCGTAGATTTAAAAACTCCACAAAATGCCAGAATTTCATGCCAAGAGCATGACGTGTGACCTCTACCTAACCACGGCGCAGCACATACTGCGCCGAAAGAGTTTGAATTGCACAAATGAGTTTTCTTTCGATCCTTGCGCCATCTAGTTGCAGCAACAACTAGTTGGGTTATGGTGAGCGCGCACTACAACAGTCCAACTAAACAGTTGGGTTTGTAGTACAATATTGTCCAGAGTGCAACGGAGGAGAAAAATCAAGACCGAGAGTATTGGGTGCATCCCATCCACAGTGATAGATTATTAAAGGCATGTAATTAAACAAACTTTATTTTTTCGATTTTAACTTGTCAATTCATTAAATGCACTTATAATTAATGTTTGCACTTAAAAATACAGAACTGAACTTAAAATAAATATTTGCACTTTGAAAAATGAATTCCACTTGAATAAAATGCTTTGCACTATGAAATTAATACTTTGCACTTATAAAACTTGCAGGGTAGTATTAAGTACGTGCCGTACTCTTAACCGGCCCCTTCTATCAATACCACCGCCCTCAAATAGTACCAAACAAGGTAGCCTACCTAACCACCACCCCAACCCCATCCACCCCTCCCCAAACCCCCAACCACCCGACAAATAATACCAAACAAGGGAGCTACCTAACCACCACCCCCGACCGCCCCACAAATAATACCAAACAAGGTAGCCTACCTAACCACCACCCCAACCCCCGACCGCCCCACAAATAATACCAAACAAGGTAGCCTACCTAACCACCACCCCCAACCCCCAACCACCCCACAAATAATACCAAACAAGGTACCCTACCTAACCACCACAAATTATAAAGTTTCAATTTAAAAAGTTGATTCAAAGCAAATTTAAGCTTAAACCTGAATATATAAGTGCATTGTATTAAAATATAAGTTATACAATCTATAGTGCATAATATGAATTTCTTAGTGCAAAGTATGAAAACTTAAGTGCGGCTGTTCAAGTGGATTGTATTTTAACTAAAGTGCATTTAATATATCCCCATTATTAAATCGAAAATTTTACGCGATGCATTCAAAAGTACTAGATTACCCGAAAAAGTTTTTCGCATTTTATCGGATGACCATAACTAGCGCCAAAACTCGGAGCGAACTGGTCGAGTCGGCCGACTAAACAATCGGTCGGTGTGCGCGCTTGCGAGGAGCTCCATACTGATATCGCAGTCGGCTGATAGTTTGCCGATAGTTTAGTTTGAACGCAGTTGAGTAGCCTATCAGCCTATCAAACTTATTTATCGGCCGATACAAAATCGTTGTAGTATGCGGACTTGCATACATCTTCACACTGATTATAAGCCCGACCAAACTATCCCAGGCCGATAAAAAGTTTGTGGTCTGCGGAGGCTCTTACAATGTGGTACCAATTAAACTACGCTAAGATGTCGGGTTCAGCTGCTAGACCCCTACAAACAATAAATATCAGTACGCACAAAATATCAAAATGGGAATTTTGTTGCTTTCCTGAGGGTCCTAAATTCCAAGATGAGAAAAAAAATCAAATCCATGTATTAGTAATAAGACGTAGGCTGCATTAAGTTTTAGAAATTTGAAAATACCCACGTGATAGTGTTTTTAAGACATACTTAAGTACTTGGAAGATAATGAGAAACGGAATTGGCGAAATGAAGCAGGAAACACAAAAAGTTGTGCATACCCAGATCTGGATATTTGTGAAAAATAGCTATGACCATTGATTGGCAATAAGATGATACCAATATCCGACGGCTAACAAACGCTTGCAAAAACATTGAACATCACACACTAAATTTGTTATTACAAAAAATCCACACGCGATTAACCATTGGCAAACCATTAATTACGTTGATTACCACAAACTGACAAAGATGACCAATAAAATATATTGCGATTTGCCTATTTTCTGAAAGAACGTGACTAGTGGACATGTGATCGCAGCGATGGAACAAAACAAACTGCTTTCAAGTGTTGCTCCTACTGTTTGTTTTTATGTAAAATGCGCACCTGTGCGCCATCTAAGAATACTTCAGAATTGTTTCAAAACTATATAAACGTATGTGCAATATTCAAAACAGAATTTTTAAAATTTAAATAAGGCTTATTAAATTATGCTTCATATTAACTAGTTTCTGAGTAAACCGAGGGGCATTTTATTCTACAAGAATCCAATAATACAAAAAAACATGCACTATTTAAATATTAAATACCATAATGCTAAATGCACTAGGAAATGAACCCGTTTCCTGCAATTTATTAAATATACGAGATAAGAACACAGAAAAACAAATGTATTTAACTCTAACTAAATTAAATCAATGTATCATTGCATCAAAATGACTTCTTTTGCAACGTGCGTAATATTTATATGTATTGCAATTCATTTGGCAATACTACAAATAGTAGATTTTGAAATGAAGCGGAACAAGGTAAAATATCATATAACAACTTTTCGTATTTTTAAAAACGGAATGTTTTAGACATTTAGATTCTACACATTTATGGCGCCCTGTGATGAACAAATTAAAGAAGCCTATGTTGAAAATGTTGTGGTACATCGAGTTGATGGAGCTTACACTCTTGATTACGATTTTCATTTGAGTGCAGATGTGAGCGATTTTAGAACGGAAGTTTCATTTTCACGTTGTTCATCACGAGAAGCTCTAGATTCATGTGAAACAATGCCGTCATTCTCTACGAATCATGGGTGTAAATTTGTTACTGCACAGAATGCTGCTTGGACACCGCTGGTTAATTGTTCGACACCTAAACTGCGCTGTCCAACAAAAAAAGTAACAATATTAATAATAACAATGGCGATTTCATAATGTACTTTCAGGGATTTTATAAATATCGTAATTGCAAGCTTGATCTAACGTTATACAGCTTTATGCCACTGGGACGCTCATATTGGAGAGTGCAAATTGTAATGTCCGTTAAAGAAAAAAGGTTGTGCTTCAAAGTCGAAGGTAATATAATTAATTAAACCGGAATTATATAGCACACGTAGTACCTCTTTGCTAAATATCTTGGTCATATTAGATTTAATTGTTGTCAAATTTTATAAAAACAATACATAGTCAACTAGTTATTCTAACAAATATCATCTAGCAACAAAATACATTCAACTTTTTCCTATGTCTATTGCTCTAACAATCATAGAGTAATACATTGTAACTATTTTGAATGTTTCTCAACACGCACTACTTTACTGTTCGAATATTTCCATCGTATATATAAATATAGAATATGTATAACAAAGAAAACACAATTTGACAGTTTTCACTGGTAAATTTCATAAAATCTATCATTTAGCGCGTCATGATAATCCGCAAAGAACCAAAAAAAAACAGCCCATAACCGTTTGTGCAGTAGAGATCATGAAACAGAATATACAACGCAATGTCATAAGCTTAAATGATTTGGTAACACGTAAATTGAACTTAAACTTAATTGATTACACACATAATAAATACAAATATTAAAGCTGTGAATCTAGTTGGAAGCACTGGATCGTGTCGGATCACAAATGCTGCTGCAATCTTCTAATTTGATCTTCCAACTCTTTAACGCGAATTTCACTATTCGCCAGTTGCTTTTTCACCAACCGCAGTTCCTCGCCCTGCGCCTTGTACGCTCTCTTTAACTGAAATGTAAATTTACTTTGAAGCATTTCCGTACGTCTACAATATATAGACTACAGTTCAGAATATACTTACGTCGTTTTCAGTGTTTATATTATCGCCAATTGTGTTTATTTGCTTTATCAACGGCATGTCATCGTTGAGATTTTCCCTGTTATTGTGAATATTACCAAACATCTGTTGCAATTGATGAAATTTGGTACTTTGGTTGGTGGAAGTCTTATTGTTCTTTTCGTTGATAGTGTCTTTAGATCTATAATCTGGAATGGTTTCCATGGAAAGAAAAGCGAACTTTTTCTTGTTGTTTTCTAACGAAACCGGTATGACCACCGGCGGCGTTTCGATGGTCGGCGTCAACGGTTTGAACACTCGTGGTTTACATGTTGTGACACTTTCCCCAGTACGCAAGGACATTAGTAATGGCATTGCGTCTCGCCCACCAATCCATTCCTGTGCGGATAATGCGGGTTTCGCCGCAGCCGTGTCAGGATAAAGATCCTCATGAAACTGATCGCTTTTCCGCGGGACAATCATGCAGATCGGTTCGCAAACACCTTTCGTCGCATGTAACTTATAGAAACGAAACACTTCGCATTGACTGGTCTTCATGCCGCGTTTTGGCATAAAGCCTAAACCACGCTGCGGATTGCCTGATAAAAACTGATTTAAAAAGAAAATATAGGGCGCTTCGTTGACAATTTCATAATAACGAATGTTTCCGTCCCCTTTTCCGGCGAGATACACAATGTTGGTGTCATGATCGTAGTATGGGAAGACAACCCCTGATGAGCTGTCTATGGTGTCTACAGTAAGGGGTTGCGACAAGTTGGTTTGGTCCCACACCGAATACTGTCGGTCGGAATGTCGCGAAAAGCCTGTTGTGAGCAGTCTACCAGATGTGCCGAGGAATGTTACTTTACTTGCTTTGGAACCAGCGTGACAGATGCCCTCCTATAATTCAAACCAAATATAATTGCAAACAACAATTTCTCTCATCTGCTTAATCGCTTTTAACACTTACAGCTTTCACTTGACCGCTGCGCGGTTCGATAATTCGCAGCTTCTTATCCTTACAGGTCGTTGCTAACAAACTTCCATCGCGATTCAGCGCCATACAATAGATAACATCTGGATGGCAGTTGATCATGTTAACGGCGTTGCCTTTCTCTATGTCCCAAACAATCACCTGCGTAATTAAAAGTTTTATAAACCAGGCAACAACAATTTCATTAAATAATTGCTGATTGTAGTATTTTTAATATAATAATTTCTAATACGCGCGGTAATTATGATAATATTGGCGGAATTTTTCACTGCACACCGGAACAATTTCGCTTTCGGTTGTTTCTCTAATAATTAATTCGCCATGCTCGAGGAGGCATGCAGAAGACTTCGCATAATTGTCAGTTGGGTAACATCAAGAGCCGCCGCGGCGCGAAACAAAGAATATCAGCGTGTTAAACGCGATCAAAACGCATCACGACGGGGAAGTACATAAAGCCAAACGCGCGCATTGTTGGAAAGTGAAAAACATTGTAAAGCGGCGACGGCGCCGATGATCAAAGATGTATAACATGAATGTAAGTGAAATCGACGTTTTTCCATACCAAGTGATCGAAACCAGCGCTGAACAAGATGTTTTCAGCTGTCGGATGCCATTCGATGTATGAAACGCGTCGTTTATGTCCAACCAACTCAACCAGCCAGTCGGTAAGATGTGTTGAAAGGCCGGCGTCAGGAATGTGCCATAATTTGATCTGAAACCGTGTCGAACATGTTAACACTAACTTTCCATTCGCACAATCGCACAATTTGTACGCACGAACAAATCGAGAAGATAATGAAAATGTACGTACGGTGCAGTCGTCCGAGCACGACGCAATTACGTTGTCGTTGAAAGGATTCCATTTTATGTCTAAGACGGCACCACGATGTCCGGTTACTCGACTGGCGTTAAAATCCAATCGACCAGTCTACAAACAACAGAAATAAATTGTATTGCCATCAATTAATATTAATTAAAGTTGTATTTCCATACACAATCTAGGGGCAGTACAACGAATGCTCCGCCACCGGCAACTTCGGTGACGATAGCGATGAACTTCGGATTGACTGCACAGAATTGCGAATCGTGCGCATTCTTCGTTATTTGAATATTCTCGTAGCATTTCTCGCGCTTCGCAGGCTCTCCGTAGACGTGCCGAAACTTGGAGCTGCGAACGCCGCGAAACCATAACTGCAACATCAAATTAAGCACAATTCACAAACGTTCACATTCATTAGCTCATCAGCAGATTATCACATCGTTGTTATGATATAATAACGCAAGCTAGGCTATAATACTAATTATATGTGATGTTTCAATTAACACGATGAGAAAACAATGGAAAATAACGATAATACTAAATCAATCCGTTCTCGGCGACCTTTTTGGGCTGATCCGATGACATTTCTCCACAATAGACCTCACTGGTTGACTTCAAAATGTTATAACACGCACAAAATGAGTGTTGTACAACTAGCGCGCATTAAATGCTTATAAAATGTTTAATATTCAAACACACTAAACATTCCGGCACGGCTAAAGCGCGACCTCCAAACTAGTATTCCGAATGACATCAACGTGCACTTTGTTTCAATTCACTTTACACTTGAAGCTGTAGGTAATGATTTTCCTTTAAAATGCGCGCAATGCAAGCGACAGCGTCAAGTAGATATGTTTGCGGTTCAGGGAATGATAAGAATCGTGGCTTATCTTTATATACGCGAGTGTGGGGCGTAGCAAAAGCTGAATCGTTTGGTGTACGTTAAATAATACGTTAAATAAACAAACCATGTGATGACGCTATAATTTTTATGCATTTATGTAATGGAATAATTGATTAATTATGTCCGAGGCACTTGTTGCGTTGCGTGCCATGTGTTCGTATTGTATTTTTTATTTCTTCATTTCACTTTCGATTAGAAAAAATAAAATAAAATGCATTTTCATTCGGAATGTTGGTTCGTGCACGCGATTCAACATGCAAGCTGTTTGTATATTGGATTATTCGAGTTTATGCTATATTTCCGTACGTCGTTTGGTGCACCGAATGCATCGAAACAATTAAAGAATAAAGTTTTAAACGCACGATTGGAATAAGTGAAACTGTATACGTAATCAATAGAATATAATTGAATTTGTAAATTAAATCATTAAATATAAATGTAATCAGTTCAACATACTCACATTAGATAACAACGTTTTGTATTAAGGTAATACATATAATCAATTGTTTATTTTTAGTCTAGGTATTTTTTCACAACTTTATCAATCGTTTAAAACGACAAAAAACGGTAAAAAAACTACTTTTCTAGAGGCACTTTACAGGTTTTAATAAAACAACCAAATTTTTGGTTTCCACAATTATATACATTAAAAATGTATAATTTATCTACTACCAATTACCCAAAATACTTTTACCCAATAATTTCCCCATGCAAAATGAAAATAAAGGCTTTCAGTCAAAAATATCTACAATTATAGGTTTTTCAGGACAATATAGACGTTAAAATTGTATTTTACAGGCAATAAATTTAAAGTATTATAAAGGGTGAATGGGGTGGTTGTAACCTTGCAATATAAATAATGATTTTTTATTTAAAAAATCGTGAAATAATCGCGAAATAAAGACATTTTAGTATTGTTAGTGTTACAAAATTAGTAAATAATAAATTTAAAAAATAAATTAAAAACTCACCTGAGAATTTGTCATTCTGCCTGTACAATCTCAAAAATGCACACCAATAAAATCGAAGAACAAGAGTTGCTCCCGGCACATAGGCTTCACATGCAAAACCAAAATAACGCAATTCACAAAAACTGAAACACGAAATAAAGTCAACAATAAAATAAACTCCAATATGATGTAACTAAATAAAAATTATATATAACCGATGTACACTAACGTTAACTGCGTTTGGATAGTAAATGCCCGGCACTCCAGTCGGTAATTAAACAGCAGCGCGCGAAATTGTAATGATTTGGAAAAAAGTTGTTCGATTTTACAACACGACCAACCCCACTATTGTTGCGTTTTCTCCTCAAATAAGTTTTGCACTCATTGATCTAACTTGGTTGCTAAAAAACAAAACAACAAAGCAACAGTAGTGGTGGCGAGCGCGTTTGCTTTCAAAAAAGACGACGGCGTTTATGTTCTGCATGGGAGCAATAAACACGGCGAGTGAGTTAAGCTGTGCTAAGCATGTGTAGAAGAGTAGCGTCTGGTGTTTGCATTGATATGATAAATTGCCATTCAAAGGCGGGCAGATAATAGTGGCGTGATTACAAAGCGAGTGCGAAAATAAATTATGGTGTGCGCTGAAGATTACATGTTTACATGGCACTGTGGAAAGTGACAAACAATTTCATTCATTCAACGATTTGTGCAATGTGAACACAAAAAAAACTTACACGCGGGATTTTAATTAATTTTTATGGTTTAGAATACAACAATGAAGATTAATAATCATTATTTTTGCAAATAATGAAATTTTGAAATTCTATTTTGTGTGTAATATAATAAAATAAAAATCAATTTTTGCCCCTCATTTAATTAAATTTACTTCTTGTTCGTGGGAAAAATCATTTTTTTTTGTTAATTTTCGTCGATAACATATTCTATATCCATAAAATTCGGTAAATTCTATTTTGTGAGTAAAAATTAAATAAAAGTATTTTTTATTTTATTAAATGTACATCCTGCATGTGAAAAATATGAAATTTTTGTTAATTTACGTCACAAAACAATTTCATATCCATTAAAACCTACAAAAACTAACGTAAATAATCTATAGGATTAATCTTTACTCAATAAAACCAACATGTGCCGAATATTTAATCAAAATAAGCCTGAAACTTTAAATATTTGCATTAAGTACAAAGATGTTAACGAGATATCATTCGCAACATCAGCACAACCGTTACTTATATCGCAGCGCCACACAAAGGAACACAAAATAAAATATAAAGCACAAGCACACAAGAGTTCATGAATAAAATTAATTTGCGATTCGGTGGTTTCTAAATTCATCAAGGCATGAAAACTCGCGACTAACGGTCGCGCGTACACTCGGCCATTATAAAGACTTTTAAACTGAGTGAACATATAAAGCACATAAACTACAAAAACATATAAAATAAATTTGATCCATTTGTCGGATGGAAGTGCAAAGACCTATCATTAGAGCGAATCACAACTTGGCAAATACGGAGCTTTCAACTTGAAGAAATAAATTTAAGAACTTAATAAATAAACAAGTCAAGAATTCAAGTCCATCCGGCATGCGGCGTATGTAATATTGAATACAATTAATAAAATATATTGTATATGAATAATATAAAACACCCTGAATAATGTAAAGGCTAAAAATACACGGAAACACGACACAGTTGAGCATGTACTCGTAAAACTTACCCTTGACGTAGGCCTAGTGCATGATCGATTGTCGATGGTCGCGGCGCTGTTTTTGTCAGCTAGTTTCCTCGACGGCGACGAAGATTTCGCCTCAATATCAGCAAACATAATCGTAATCTCACTGTGATGAATGCAACAGCACGATACGTAAAGACTACACGATTCTATGCAGCACGCACCGCACGGAAGCGGGAATATCGGCACTGGTTGGGACCGCACTGCTGGATTATTGTGTAGATTTGTCGATGCGCTTATTACGCGCACTGCACACCCGTTGACACCCGCACACGAGATACATAGACCAGCAACAAGCGGCAACACAATGCGCGGCGTCCGTCCAGCAACGAACTCGCGTACGCACAACGCGCAGAACCGGCACGGACGAAGCGTTTCAAGGTTACGAGCTTTATGATTTGTGTGCGCCGTTCGTGTGAACGTACGAGGGCGCCGCAATGCGCGACGCGCAGTGCCCAACGTGCATTGTGCTATCCGCGGGACGCACGGGCGAAGGGGACAGAGCACAAGGGGCACTCGCGGCGTTAGTGTAGCACTCTAGTGTGATGAAGAAGGGATTCAAGTATGCAGAGCATGCAGAGTCTAGAGATGAAGCAAATACAACAACAACTGAGAATAGAATTTACCCTGTTTGTCATGTACGCCTAGTCCTTAAAATGTTACAATATTCCTACAAAAATAAACAAATTTATTATTATTGTACAAAACAATACTATTTATCAGTGGAATAATAATTATCATATCTTGAATGTTCAAAATATGTAAAATGTGCTATTCTAAGCCTTAATTTAGTTAAAAAAAATGATTTTATGGTAACCCAATCAAACATAACCTAATTCTCGTGCTCAGTTGGCTTCTGCTAGCCGTTGAGTGAGGTTAATCGCTTCCAGTTCACTAATAGCGCTGAAAACCTTTTGTTTTGCGATTATTTTATTACTCTCGCTGAATTTCCGCACGGTTGCTTTCATTGTATCAAAAAATAGATCCAACTCGTCCTTTATATTCTCACCATCATGATCATCTCTCAAATAAAGCCTAGTGTTATCTGATAGTTTCCTCTTTTTCGTTTCTACCACATACTCGACAATACAGGCTTTATCAGAATCTGCTTTTTCGGTTGCAGGATGTACTTCATCTTTAAAATCCTCAGTGTGTTCAGCATTCTCGTACATGCTATCATCTTCTGATTGATTCAGTATTATCTCTTCGGATAATACTGTTGCGCATGCACGTTTGGCCTGATAGTTTGTATGCGGGAGTAAAAATGATAAATCGTCGTAATATTTCCATTTGGGTAATTGTTCTTCGGCTGTTGTTCGTTTCTTTCGCATGTACCTTCGAAATTGATTGCGTAAAGATTCCCATCTAGTTTTTACTCTTGTAAGTGCTGAAAATGATAAAATTTGGAATTAACGACAGTCCAGCGCGCAGTCAGATAACATACTGTCAAATTTTGTGGTGCGAATTTGCGCCACACTCACACCTAATTTGGTATTTTAAAAATGTTGTAAAATATCTCAAAACTTACTGTATTCTAGGACATCGGCTATTTCCTTCCACACTTTCTGCTTGTAAGCATAGTCGTTGTAGTGAGTGTTTTCAATGTCGTATAAACATTTGTGATTCTTCACAAATTCGATAAGGACGAGGTCGTCGCTTGATAGATCCATCAAAGAAATTTTTAAAAAGGTTTAAAACAGTGATACAACAATAATACAATACAAAATAGTCGAATTGCTGTTTCAATTTGCAAAACTTTAGCCACTGTTTAAATAAAACTTGACTGTGACTGTATCTTGGCTTCCAGTCAAGCTGTACGTTTCAGGTGAATGAAGATATTGCTCATATTACATTAGAATATATATGGAAAATTAACCAAATTTAATAATGAGTAGGTACTATTTAGTTTTCCTACATTAATTCCCTGGCACTGAAATAAACTGAAATCACTGCAAATTATGTACTAAACTCGGTGACTGGCTGTCAGCTGACTGTGACCGTAGACTGTGCCGTCGACTTGACCGTGACTGCCGTTCTCGCTTAGAGCTTACAGGTTAAGTGAAATTACAAAACAAACTTGCGAAAATTTGAAAAATGGGTGAAATAACAACGGAACAAAACCAAAGACACTGCGGTCACTTAAGAAAAGTCCTCGAACGTCCCGGTCCATTTTGCCATCCAGATTTTGAACCTTCACCGGATATATTGGACTTTATTTCCAACAACTGCAAAATTATCGTCATCGGTGCCGGCGGTTTAGGATGCGAACTCCTCAAGGATTTAGCCCTGATGGGTTTTAAACACATTCATGTCATCGATATGGACACCATCGAGTTATCCAACTTAAACCGACAGTTTCTCTTCCGCACCAAAGACATAGGCAAGTCCAAGGCAGAAGTTGCAGCGAAATTTATAAACACCAGAGTGGCTGGCTGTCAAGTGGTGCCACATTTTTGCAAGATTCAAGACTATGATGAAACATTCTATAAACAATTCCACATTGTTGTATGTGGATTGGATTCAATTGTCGCCCGGCGCTGGATGAACGGCATGTTAATTTCTATGCTGAATTATGAAGATGGTGTTCTGGATCAGTCCAGTGTGATACCAATGGTTGATGGTGGCACAGAAGGATTCAAAGGAAATTTAAAAGTTGTTCTGCCTGGCATGAGTGCATGCATTGAATGCACATTAGATTTATATCCACCTCAAGTTAATTATCCACTCTGTACTATTGCTAATACACCAAGATTACCAGAACATTGTATTGAATATGTCAAAGTGATACAATGGCCTAAAGAGAATCCTTTTAATGCTTCAATTGATGGTGATGATCCTCAGCATATTACATGGATCTATGAGAAGTCTACAGAAAGAGCTAATCAGTTTAATATTACTGGATTAACATATAGACTTGTGCAGGGAGTTGTGAAAAATATTATTCCTGCTGTTGCTTCCACCAATGCTGTTATTGCAGCTGTTTGTACAACAGAGGTAAAATATTTTTATTTTAAATTTAAATGTTTAAACTTTTAATGCAATTGTAGGTTTTTAAAATTGCAACCAGTTGTTGTGTGCCAATGAATAACTACATGGTTTTCAATGATGTAGATGGAATTTATACTTATACTTACGAAGCAGAAAAGAAAGATAATTGCCTGGCATGTTCAAATATACCTCAGCAGCTTGAAATTCCCGATCCATATAAGATGAAACTAAAAGATCTCATTCAAGTCCTATGCGAAAGTGCATCGTATCAAATGAAGAATCCCGCCTTAACAACTAGTGTCAACGGCAAGAATCGTACTTTATACATGAGCGGCATCAAAAGTATTGAGGAACACACGAAAGAAAATTTGAACAAATCGTTGGTTGATTTAGGTTTGGAAGATGGCGCCGAAATAATGGTGGCGGATGTGACATCTCCGAATACAGTGGCGTTGATTCTGAAATATTTAAACAAAGATGCACCTATGGATAATTAGAATATGTTATAATACGAACCTGTGTTAGTTTTAAATTTGTATTTTGGTATTTAATCACAAGACACTTATTTAATTATTGTTTGTATGTATTTTTTGCGAGCTTTTATTTTGGCGCCCATTCTAGTGATTATCTGGGGATATTTGCGTGCGTTTCCGTTTCGGCGGCAAATGTCAGCTTGAACGTAGGTCACGACGGTCACGTGACCGCTGTACAACACACGTTCAGTCTCTGTTCACCATGGCGGACGATAAAGATGTGGCCGAAAAGACCATCGCCGAAGATTTGGTTGTTACCAAATATAAAATGGCTGGGGAGATAGTAAATCGTGAGTCTTTCGCTTTCGTTTCCATTTTGAATTCTATGCCGTCCATGTTTGCGGCGAATAGATGATTGCACCATATGGCTGTTGTGCCGGCATGCTTCCACGTTAGACCACGCGGTTTTGCGCTTTTTGTTTGAATGTTGGTTTTAGGCGCGACTTCACAATTAGCACATAATATTCCGTCATGGTAAATTGTTACTGTTATTTTATCGCCAATATGCACTTTGCTTGATGATAATTCTAATCAAAAACATGTTTTTATTGTGTTCCAGGTGTACTCAAGCAGGTATTGGACAAATGCGTGGCCGGTGCATCCGTTCGCGAAATCTGCGAATTTGGCGACAGTCTGCTTCTTGAAGAAACCGGCAAGGTGTTCAAAAAGGAGAAAGACTTGAAGAAGGGCATTGCATTCCCAACTTGTGTCTCAGTAAACAACTGTATTTGTCATTATTCTCCTGTGCCTAGTGAAGCTGACTATACTCTTAAGGATGAAGATGTGGCTAAAGTGTAAGCACAAATTTAACTTTCAATCAATGATTTCCTTGTTAATGACAACTAATTTCAGTGATTTAGGTGCCCATGTTGATGGGTTTATAGCTGTTGTGGCACATACTGTGGTTGTGGGTGGTTCAAGTGACAACAAGGTGACTGGAAGGAAAGCTGATGTTATCCTTGCTGCTCACTATGCATCACAAGCAGCACTGAGGCTGTTGAAGGCTGGAAATGAAACATATGCAGTAACTGATGCTGTGCAGAAAGTTGCTGAAGCATACAAATGCAAACCAGTTGAGGGCATGCTCAGCCATCAGCTGAAGCAATTCAAAATCGACGGGGAGAAAACCATTATCCAGAATCCGAGCGACGCGCAAAAGAAGGAGCACGAGAAGTTCGAATTTGACAAGTACGAAGTGTACGCGATGGATGTACTTATTAGCACCGGTGAGGGTGTTGGCAAAGAAGCCGACACCAGAGTGTCGATTTACAAGAAAACCGACGAAATCTACCAACTAAAATTGAAGGCGTCGCGAATGTTTTACAGCGAGGTGCGCACCAAGCATGGCGTGATGCCCTTCAACCTACGTGGCTTCTCGGCGGAATCAAAAGCGAAATTGGGCGTCGTAGAATGTGTGAATCACAAATTAATAGAGCCATTCCAAGTTCTCTATGAGAAACCGGGTAAGTTTTCTGAAAATTATACATTTTAAACATAATATCTGCAATGATGAATATAAATATCCAATTGATCCTACTGAATTAATCAGCTGAAGACAAACTCGGAAACTGAAGCATATTTACCAATATTTGTGTTTGTTTTGTTTAAGTTTAGAAAAAATGTTCATGTACCGCTTTTTGTTTCAGCCGAAATTGTGGCACACTTCAAATTTACGGTTTTGTTAATGCCCAATGGACCTCATAAAATTACCGGCCTGCCACTGGAAACGGATGTGTATCAGTCTGCTCACTCGGTCACCGATCCGGAGTTGAAGTCCTTATTGAACAGCTCTGCTAACCCTAAGGCGGGGAAGAAGAAGAAAAAGAAGTCCGAGAGCGGCGAGCCCATGGAAACTGAAGCGGCGGCAGCTTTCTGAGAAACAGTATTTTGTAACAATGTTGCAAAACGGTTGAGTGGTTAAGCCATCCTTTCGAAATCAGAAAAATACAATTTTTTATATATAATGATAAATTAGTATATAAAAGTGTGGAAAATTAATGTTCCTCGCGCCCGGCGAATTACTCTTTCTCCCAGTTTTAAACATGACAATTTGACGGTTAACAACAAATAGCATTATAAAAGACAGCCTTGTACTAATTTGAATACGTTTGATATGCACTTTAATTTGGATGAATGCCAAATTTTATTTAATTATTACATGCATTGGCTATGAGCCAAGAGTTCTCAATAAAACTTAAATTTATTAGAATAAATTTACAATTGATTAAATAAATATTTGGCTCATCTAAATTATCACCCCCTTACCCAAAAATTTTAGCATTCTTACTAACTTTAATATGCGTTAAAAAATTCATCATTACAACATTATATTAAATTTTTAACATGTTCAACAACACAAAGATTATACATCAGTTTCTCCTGCAGACGATTCCACGAAACTTGCGCACAACTCTGAATATTAGGCAAATAATCCCTCAATTCACTTTCCTGTGAAATGAGTACACCATGCGTTTTAAGAAACACCGCAAGATACGCCTGTGCTAATTCAAAATTACAATTCGATTTTAGCATGTACTCAATACATTTAAGGAACTGGAGCATTGTCAAAATAGAACCGCCTTCATCAGGACACAAAGATTTGATCTCGTGGTCGATCATTGATGGACCAAACAATTTTAACTGTGTCACAATAGCATCAAAATCATCTGAACTTTTTGCTTTGTTTAACGCTTTACCAAACTCTGTAAAATTCGTTAATGAATTTGTCGAAAACAATTTTGAAACGCTTCCATTAGTTGTGTCAGGTTTATTAGTAGCGAATTGTAAATTCGTCGTTGGTAAGAAAAACGGCGCAGACTTTGGAACCTTCTGTAACATTCTCGGTTTATTTTTGCGTTTGATAATATCAATATCAAGCAGGTTCTGCCATCTTGAATTCGATAAACCAGAGAGTGTAATAAGTTCATGACTAATTTGCTCAGGCGATTTAAATGCGTCAATATCATCATCAATTTCATCTTTTTCTTCAATCTCACTGACTGTTACTTCAGGAAGACTTACAAGTTCAGGTTCTTCGTTTAAATTCTGTGCCTTGAGCGTAATACGCTGATATAACGCGCGATTCGTCCATAAAAACATACCTAGATACCCGATGTGTGCAGTGACGAGTGCTTCGCTCGTCGGCGAGAAGTCCAAAGATATACATGCCATTTCCGTGCGGAATTGATCAACCAATTGGGCGGATAACATGTCCCACGTGCGAATAATACAATCCATAGCGGATGTGACCAACCATCGTGCGTCTGGGCTGAATGTTGCGTCGGTTAATTGTGCGCTGTGACCAGGAAACTTTCTAACCACGCTTCGCGTATCTATATCAATAACCTGGATAGTATAGTTGTCCAGAGCTACTGCTATCATTGAAGATTCATGATGTGCGCGCATGAATAACACGGATTCATCAAGTTGAATCGTTGTCAACGCATTTTCACCGGTTTTATTCTTAAATTTCCAGAATTTAATCGTCGCATCACTTCCGCCGGTGATTGCGACTTGATTAAGACCGTCTGTTGCGATTCCACGCACAGATTGATCATGTGCCTTTGGATTTCCGTATGTCGTACGCCACAAACCAGATTGAACGTTAAATCTAAAGAAATTATAATCTTGAAATAAGAAAATGGTTATTTTATGTTTATAAATTACCTATCAACATGACCTGAGCTGTAACCAACTAAAACAAAGTTTCCACAATGTGTTAAACACAGCGAGGTGGCATTTACGTCTTCATCTAAATTTTTAGTCTTCTTGTGTAGTCTTTCTGGTAGTAGTTTAAGTTCGCCCATTTTTAATTTATCATAGGACCATGTAGTGACCATTGGCAACCCTTGATGCACACATGCAATGTTATCCCATTCCTTTTCGCGTGTTGTTTCCGAAGTAAATTGAATAATTGGAGGCATAGTTAATGGATCGTCAATTAAACGGCCGCGTTTTTTACTAGATTTGCGATTGTACGATGCTCTACCTAAACTTTTATTAAACTGTTCTGTTTGTGTATTGAATATTCTCAGTGTGCTATCACCACCGGCTGAGATGATATTGTGTCCGTTAGAGCCGTGAAAACGAATACTAGTCGGAGACATTGCATGACCTTCCCTTATACGCAAAAGTCGTGCACCTCCATCGGTCATATCAAATATCCATAGTTTCAGAGAATTGTCTGCTGATGAAGTGATTACTAACGGTTCGCTTGGAAGGCAAACCATGCCGTTAACAGCGTCTTTATGAGCGGAAAGTAGTTGAGACGCAACTCGTTTCTGCTCTAAATCCCAAAAAACAATATGACCTAAAGGACTACCAGTGGCCATTATTGGATGGCCGTCGGTACGGAATGATATCGACGTGATTGCGCCCCAATCTTGTTGAAATTCCATCACAGTCTCATCAAACTTTAAATTGTGCAGTAAAATTTTACCATTATCTAAGCCTATCGCAGCGACATCTAGTGCTGGTGCTTGCTCTAGGCAACTTACAGCACAACCCCAACCAGGGAATGTGAAAATTAACTTTGCTGTACTCAAATTCCATAATTGCATGGAACCTTGTTCACTGCCCAGCAGTATTTTGTTCACATAAGTACTAGGATGTAAGATTGTTGTAATCTTGAATACTTTTAAATCAAAATTCAACTGTAACTGCACTGCTTCTGATTTGATATCCCATACCCTAAGTTCATTTCCATTATCAATGCTTAGGAGATGAGCTCCAAATGGTAACATTAAATGAATGTTGTCCTTGTGTCCTTGATAGGTGTGCTTTAATTCAGTACCTCTTCTCCATGCATAAATTGTTTTTCCACATGATGTGTAGACATGATAAGCATCAGCTGTCATTGCTTCTATGTCAGAGGGATGTAAGCTACTGACACTCAGTAAGCCAAAATGACTGATTCCATATGTGTGAAAAGATTTGCCAACACATGTTATAATTAAGTTCTCTTTTCTGCTCTTGATGTATCTTACTTGTAGGGGTATGTGGTTGCTTACATAGCCCAAGCCTCTGTTGGGCACAAAGATTTTGCTGCCTTTTGTCATGTCTGCCTGAAGATGGAGATGAATGTTCTTGTTTTCTGTCTACAAGGAATTATGTTATTGAAGATAGTTTAATAGTTCGATGAATGTCTTACCGATTGGAGTAAGATCCACGTGCGTAACGTGTGTTTACGAGTATAACCTCACAAAACATACAACCGCTTACAACTTGTAGTGTATATGAGCGTAGCTAGAGAGCGCGAGGCATTCTGGTGAGTTTGAACGTTTGAAGTTGAAACTGACGCGCAGAAACGTACGAATAGTTTAATTAGTGCATTAACTAATATGCACTCTAAATTTTTTTATAGTTACTCGAAGAATCATTCATTTGTAAGTGTATGCTGGGTTGCGTACTGCATAACCAAGAATACTAACTTCAAAAAATTGTAACCAGCACTAAAAATCTTTAAAAATGACAACTCTGCTTATTTTTAACTGATTTATAACTTTGCTAATTTTATTAAAGTAATTATTACTTTACAACAAACATATTTCAAGCGTGTGTATTCTAAAATATATCTATTTCTTGTAATATATTAATCTGTTTTAGTCTTCTTTTGCTAATAACGTTTGCTGCACCAGTGCAATGAAGGAATACGCATTTTTCATGACCTAAAAGTGCAACAATTAATTCCCTTCATTTAACTATAACTCCAATTCAAATGCAAGGATTAAATTAGTTAGTATTTACTGACTCCTGTAAAAGTGGCCATTGTGACAACAAAAAGCCTGCAGCTTCCAATTTTAGAGGAGCATTTCCTCGCATGATAAAAAAGATACAATCCTTTTGCACTCCAATATCATTTTCAAACCATTCAGTGTCATACACAGCAAAAGGAATATCCGTGGACTACAACGGAAAAACAATCACGAATGAATAAAATTAAATGTTCAGCGTTCATGTTTAGAAAAATTACTTCGTCCATTAAGCGTTGCCCAGTATGACACAAAATATACATCCCAAAAACCCATCCCAAGCCATGAATAAACGTATAAACTTCCGGTTTAAGCAAGAATAAAGCTGCACACATGCCAATTATCATCGAGATCAGACCAGAAGCGATAAAAACCAAAACTCCAATACATTCATTAATTTGATCCGCTAAACTAAATAAAAATAATTAACTAAAATTAATTTTCCTTGCAATATTTTACATCTCACTTTATTATTTCAATGTGATATCGTATGCATTTATTCATATGCGCTCGTTTCTTTCCATTGTCAGTCAAATCATTGATTTGCAACAACATCGCTTTCAGATTAGCCACCTTGGTCAAAAACATTTCGACGATTGCCCAAATCCATCCCATAATTGTAGTGCCAGCGCTGGATACAACCACGCTGGATGTAACTTGTATAATATAAAATAATACCTTGGTTATTACTGGATCCATCGAAAATGGCACCCAGAAAGAAGTGATGAATCCGCATAAACGATTTATGTCGTACTTTACGTTTCTAGCTTCACACTTTTGAAAATCAAGAAAAGAAAATATAACGTACAACATAACAGCCCCGAATGCATATAAGTAGGATATAAGGATAAATCTGTTCATTTTGGCGTTGGTCTCATCAAAATTGCTTGGTTTGCCAAATTCTCCAAAGGTATTTATGTCTTTCAACAGCTGCATGATTACTTTTGATTGGCCTATTAGAGTGATCATGATTGTATAGATGCCAATTGTGGTTAGGGATATGACTACAGCTTCCAAAATGTCGTCAATAACATAATTATCCCCAGCTATAAAATATTTATCAAGTTTTGAGTCACAGTAGAAGTGGTTAAATTAATACTTACACCAAAAAGTGTGAACAAGAAAAGTAAAGTTTGTGAAGCCAGTGGTAGAGCACAAAAGCAAAGTAATTACTATTTGAATGCGAAATGAAAAAGCACTTTGATTTGCTCTGGGCCACAGACAGTTCATGCGAAGAAGCATAATGCCATAATGTATAATTCCATCTTTATATTCTTGTGCTTCTTCTTCATTTTCGTTAAAAATTTCTACTTTTGAAGAAGATTTAGCGCGAAACATTGAAATGTTCTTTAACCCAACCATTTTTATAGGGAGAAAGTTTTATAAAATGTATCAGAAATTGCTTTTATAGAAAATATCAACTGATTATTTATTTATAATCATTATTCTCGTGTAACTTTGCATGTGTTGAACACATGTTGAACTTTGATTTTGTATCCTATTATTTAACATGTGATTTTAGTCAATATTGAATCATAGTTGTCTTTAATTTGGAAAAATACTCTAAAATTCTTGTTTTTATATAATTTGTAGATTACAACAGATTTAAAGTGAATAATTATTAACATTGCCATAATTTTTTTCCAAACTTTGTATAAAACTCAGAAAATATCAAAGTAATCAAGTAAACAATTGCCTATCATTTGTTATTGACAGATAATTACCAAAAACCTTGAATTAGCATTGTTTATGCCCAGAGAATTTTTTCTGTAATATTAGCCATGGATGCTTTATGGGCACGTAGAAAAGTAGAAGCATCAACTTACGTAAGTTATTAATTCATAATTATAACAATAATCGTACCTTATATCATTTCATATACAGTTTGAGAATTTAATGACCAAATTAGAAGAACTAGAAGCAGTTTTTCGACAAACAGTGAAAGAAGAAAAGAAACTTAACAATGATCTTTACTTTAACGATGGCATACGCCGGATTGATTATGTTTTTGTTTATAAACGCAGCAACAAACCGGCAGTTAAACAAATTGTTAATCAATACATCAAAAATTTAGAACACGAAGGAGTGCAGTTTGAAGTTGGAGAATCTGAGGTTTGAATTATCAATTACTTTAAATATTCCTGTTAATATTTTTTTGTTTTTATTTTATGATATAGCTGCATCCTGAATTATTGTTTATCAATGTTCACACTGCACGTATTCCATTGTTGATGTGCAGTGTGTTATTAAACTATGAACCTGTGTTTATGCGTGTACCAGATGCACCAATTCGTTATACAAGAATTATAAATTTGCCATTTATGTATACTGAATTAACAAGAGGTGAATTGTTGTCTGAAGTTGTTCAACGCGCAAGGTAATCAACAAATTTAAGCGGATTTTTCTTTATTGAGTAATATTTATATAATTTTTAGTGAATCTTCTCTTGGTGCACGTCCTAAAGACCTTCTAAGTTCTGAACGTATAATGATCACACGTGAAATACTAAAAAATGTAAGTTTTGGTTCGGAACATTATGAAACTGGTTTAAAATTTCTTCTTGATAATAAATATCTGGAAGCGGCTTATCCTTTACATGAACATCCTTCAAGGTGGACACTAAGTGGTACTTTAAATGATAGACAAGTAAGTTTTTTGCTATTTTTATTTTTTAATAATTTTGAAATGGTAATTTGCGCAGAAGTCACTCAAATGGCAGTCATAAAACATACAATATAAAGTTATTACAATAAAACGATATTTATAACTATCTATTGAATGGTTTTGGATTACCATTTCAAAATTATATAAATCTTGCATCAAAATTTTATTTTTTATTACTTTTTGTACTTTGTACGACAATTTTAGTTGTTGATGAAATATTGGGCGCGTTATTCAATGCTCTTTAAGTACCAACCGTTAGATTTAATTAATAAGTACTACGGCCCGGAAGTTGCGTTTTATTTTGCTTTCTTGGGTTTTTACAACCGCATGTTGATTCCGGTGGCCATTTTAGGAGCATTTGCGTTTGCCTACGGTGCGATTACTTACGATAGTGCAAAAAATTCATTAAGGTATTTATAATTTCATATTTTTAAATACAAAATATAAAATAATCATTTTATTAGTGCAAATATATGTTCATCTGAAGATGTTTTCTGTCCGCCTTGTAAGGATGCAAGTTTTTGCTCGTTTATAAATGTTGCTGATGATTGCGACCATTCTAAAGTACAATATGCTCTTGATAATGTTTGTACAATTATCTATGCTATTCTTATGTGTTTCTGGGGTAAGTTTACGCTATTTCATTTAATAAAATAACCAAAAATTATTGGCATAACATTGTAGCTACAATTGTAACGGAATTATGGAAAAGAGAAGAAAACATCCTCAAGTATAAATGGAATTTGCTCACGGTTGAAAACGATACTCGCCCTAGACAACAATATACCAAGTATGCAACGCATAAAAGGCTTAATAAATATACAAAGAAATACGAATATTATATACCACAGAAGATACACAAATTAAAAGTGATTATTTCATGGATTTGCTGTGGTTTTCTTGTAAGTTAAAAGAGTATAATGTGTTGCATAACATAAAAAAATGTCAAATATATTTTTTTTGGTTTTTAGGCACTTATTGTAATATTTATGGTGATTGCAACAATTGTTTTTCGCCTTGTTATTATCTATCTAATTAAAGAAGATCACACTATCCCGACGAGAAATATAGAGAGAATTTCTCACTTAATAAGCACGGCAGCTTTGTTCATTTTCATGATGCTTTTTGACAACGTAAATATAATTTATTTATTTATTTTAAATCATAATAATACTGATTTACAGTTTTACAAGTACGTTGCAAAGAAATTAACGGATTTTGAAAGACCGCGGACTCAAGCACAATATGATCAATCTTTCATTATTAAACTTCATGTTTTGTCGATTTTAAACGCTTACGCTTATTTATATTACACGGCATTCTTTAAAGGATCATTTAAGACCTACCCAGGAGATATGGCACAATATCAATCCATCGGGATATTAAATAATGACGTAGACGAAGCAATGGCAAGCATGTTACCGCTTACATTTCAGTTGGTTTTTATTCTAACGGCAAAAACTGTTTTGAAAATGTTGTATGAATTTCTTATGCCGTATGTATATCTTCGTTTTGTAATTACATTAACAATAATTTACATTATTTTTTAGATTAATTGTGACTAAATACAAAATCCGTAAAATTAAGAAAAAATTAAAGAGTGGTCAATATAAATATCACAGCTGGGAAAAAGGTTATCATCGAAATAAGATTGAATATTACGATATTGCCGTGAATGAATTTAAAACAATTAGTAAGAATAACATCAAAATGGTTGTAGATGAAATGATAAAATAGGTTATGTTTGTTTTAGTCACTCAATATGGATATTTGATATTATTTCCGGCGGCGTTTCCCTTAGGTCCACTGTTTGCGTTTATTGCAAATGTGATTGAAATACGAATTGATGCGTATAAATTAACCAGATGGTCACGACGTCCTGTTCCGGCGAGAGTTCCTGGCATTGGAGCTTGGAATTCAATTTTAAGCACTCTCTCCTACATCGGAATAATAACTAACGTATGCTTTTTATTTTTCATCAATGTTTAATGAATTATTGATTGAATTTTTTATTTTAGTGCTTTTTTATTGCTTTCGCTACAAATTCAATTCATTATTGGCATGAATTTATCTTTGATAAAGAAGTGAATATTTTAAACTCGACGTTTTCAAGTAAATATACAATTTTAATACAAAAATCTGTACTGTATGATTAATATTTTGAATATTTTAGTCTTTGACGTTCGAGACTATGATGAAACAAGTGATTTTTATGGATCAACAAATGTGCAGACTTGTTTGTATCAAGGTCGTCGGTATCCACCGAATCATCCGCGTAAATATCAGCATAGTAAAGAATATTGGCATACATTATGCAATCAGTTGATTTCTGTCATTGTGTTAGAAGTAAGTAGTTGAGATTTAATGTTTCTTTGATTTTTATTTAATAAATTTGTGTTTTTAGGGATTGGTACTTGGTTTTAATAAGCTTCTGTCTTTTGCTATTCCTGATATGCCTGCGCATATAAAAGAGCGCATTCGTATGAAACGCCAACGTGAAAATGCTGCACGTGAAAAACGTTTGAATGAAAAGTTTCAGAACAGGCAACATACGAGAGGGTCGATTACAAGAGAACAAATTGCCACACGGTTAATGCAAATGCAAGCAAATATGTAATTTGTTGGTGTTATTCGATTGAATATAGTTGTATTTTCGTTTGAGAACTAGCGTTTTTTTTCTCAAGTTTCTCCTCGAAGTGTGGAGGGCGAGAGGGAACCCCTGTGAAAGATACTCTCATGCAACTGAGCAGGTTTGGGCTCATCAGGGAACTGAAATACCCCCACCCCTGTTACTTGTATTCTCCGGTGCCTGCTACCCACAGTACGCAGCACAGCTTCCCCCACTCCTTTTTGCGGGTAGGATGTAGAAACAAAGAGGTAACACGCAGGGCGTCTCGTGCGTCAGATGTCTAAGAGTTCAGTCACGAGTCACTTGGTTTCTCTCGCCTCCCTCGTTTGGTGTTCTGTACTTGGATCAGGTATACGGTACAGAGCTATGTATCTATCAAGTGATGCTCCGGTACAAAGTTTTTAAAGTGGGTATGTATTACAAATGAACTGCAAATAAAACAATTTCTTGTGGTCTTGCAACGGTTGCATAAGACATGAATTTTTAATTACTAGCAGGGCCTTTAATAATAACGTTGAAACTTATAATTACATAAATAACAACTTACACACAAAAGAGGCTAGTAATGTTTACCCTATCATATTATATACTCTTTGTTCCTATTCACGCAACAATATTTTCAATGCCTTTTGAATTTTTAATAAAATCATGGACTCTCATTGATTACTACAATTAAATAGCAAACCTTTCAATCAATTCTGATAAAATAATGCTTAAATGAAACGCAGTTATAAATTATTTTATACGATTTTTAAAAACAACGTTTCTGTTCTTATAAAACAACTGGCAAATCATAAAATATTTCAGAACTTATGGAATAAACAACAATACCAAATAATTTACACACCGTTTCCTACAAAATGTTAATTAAAGTCCTACTCACCGCGTTCTCTATTACATTTTGTGCCTCACAGCAAGTTGATAGTAAAAACAATGTTGAAGATTACAAAATTATATCAAAATTCATCTCACAACTTGATAATATTTATAAAGTCGACTTGCACACTTGCTGGAATTCACAATGTATTTGATTCAATTTTTAATTGTTCTACAATATAATATTTTACTTGTAGCAATTGTTACTATTCAAAAATTGCTTAAAAGTGCTAATAAACATCAAAACCTTGTGCATAAAACACCCAATGATATCTTGGACAATCAACTGATACATATTCTTGATTTGGGTTGCAATAACACAATGGAAAGATTGCAATATGCTAACCAAACAGACATGTTTAAATGGCCGTCCAATTGGCTCATAATAGTTGACGACATTTCTAATTTCCCTCTGGGTTTGAATATATTTTTGGATAGTCGCGTTTATATTTATCAAAAGGACGATAATGTCGTTCATTCTTTGTATCGACTTCCAACTCAGCGTGATTACATGTCTCAGATTGTTTGTGTCGTCAAAAATAATGAACTACAAGCGTTTAAATCAGTTTTAGAATTTTCCGATCGCAAAAATTTGAATAAAAATATTCTTGGCGTTGGATACGTTACAACGTACAATCAGTCATATGAAGAAATAATTGGGTTTAGGTGAGTGCACTAAAAGTTATGTTATTACATAAAAATTGTTAATTTAAGCTTTTACTCTTAAGAAACCTCGAGAGAGATCACTATGGTAAATTCCATGTGCATTTGATATCAGCACTTATAGAAATGTTCAATGCAACAGAGATATCATACTTTGAACCAAGATGGGGCCGACCCCAAGGCAACACATCAAACTACGACGGTTTATTCGGTCTGTTCCAAAAGGGTATCATCGAAGTAGGTTCAACATGTGTTTATCTTTCACGACAGGTAACTACTATTCATATAATAAAATAAATCAGAATTAGAATAAAATCAAATTCTTACAGCGGCACTTGGTTGTTGGTTTTGCCAACAAGTACATTGGTGAGGGAAAATTAATTTTCCGCTCACCTCCACTGAGCATAGTAAAAAATATCCTACGTATGCCATTACAAGATGATGTTTGGGGCTCAATCGCCCTTTTGTTAGTCATACAATTTATTATTGTGCTTACGATTGTCAAGTGGGAGTGGACAAAAGAAGCTGAATTACAATTGTCTACGAAGAACAATGTACTACGTCCTCGTTTGTTGGACGTAGCACATATGCAAGTTGGTGCACTGTTTCAACAAGGTTCTGAAGCTGAGCCAAAGAGTGCATCCGGCCAAGTTGCTACTCTATTCCTGTTTGTTTCATTCCTTTTCTTTTACACTGCTTATTCCGCTTGTATTGTTGCGTTGTTACAATCCACAGCAAATAATATAAACACACTGGATGATATGAGATTATCTGATATTAAAGTCAAAGTGGAGAATATATCTTACATGCCTTTCTATATCAAAAATGCGTTGAGTACAGACATGACTGTTTCTTTCTACAATGCTAAGATTGCTCCTAATGGAGCACCTGAAGATGTGAATTACGTTTCTTTGCAAGAAGGCATTATTAATTGCATTCGTGATGATTTCTGTGCGTTACTCGCTGATGAAGATCGCATTTACAAAGAGATAAATAAAAAGTACACTGAGGCAGAGAAGTGTGGTTTGAAAACAATGTTGTTCGCTCCGGCAATTAATCCGTATGTTCCTTACCGGAAAGGGTCCGTGTACAAAGAAATAATTCGTGTGGGGCAAGTGTTTTTAATACTGTGTGTGAAATTATTGTTTTAAGTGACTGAACATTTTTAGATTGGCGCTTTTAAATGAAATTGGTATTCGTAGACGTACCTTTTTGCGGATTCTGACTACGTCTCCGAAGTGCGAGAGTGCTGGAGGAATTTTCCGCAGCGTCAGTTTAACAGATTGTTATTTTGCACTACTAACTTTCAGTATCGGGACCAGCATCGCTGTTTTAATCTTTGTTCTAGAATTAGTTTATGATCGATATAAGCATATTCGTGAATAACGGGTAAGAACTAAACCACGCACTTACACCACGTTTTGTATACTGAATAAAACAAGTTAAAACATGTAAACTGCACCTTTTCGCTTTGGATCAGCACGAATTCAAAATAAACAATCGCATCTCACTGATTAGTTATCGTAGCGGTCAAAACGGTTGGATTTTATTTAACAGAGTAAATCCTAGCGACAGCTAGGAAAGAATAATAGAGCTACATTTAAAAATAAACCCAAATTACTTCGATGGCATACGTGTGTATGGTGGGTAGTTGCATTTGGACGAACAATAGAATTATTTTTATTTTTAGCTAAAAATAGTTTCGAAATATCAAAATATTGTTTCACGGATATCTTGTATATCCAGTATTGATTTTCACTCAATTGAGTTATTTACTCTTGTAATTCATATAAAGTCTAATTTATTATTATAATTCTTTATGTCTGTTACAAAAAACATTCATATTTGTTCAACCGCTTTTAAATACTTGATTTGTCCTGCCCAAGCAATAAGTACTCCTTAATCTTGTGCAGATTTTTGTTTTCCTTCAATTTTTCCTAACACTATTTTCCCTGGGGACATGATGCCAGAACTCCCCATGACAATCAATCACAGAAATCCTGTGTTTATAAATTAATTTTATCGATATTCAAATTAATAATTACAAGCTAAAGATCATGCAAACATAATGTTATGGCAATTCGCGTTTCACAAATTGCACATAATTACACTAGAGATCATAATGAGCGCTGTAAATATTGTACACAAATTTCCTCATCGCACGCAAAAATTGTTTAAATATACATAAAATGAATTGATATGAAATTATCCCTAAAATATACGTAAATTATTGAATACATGAAAAATTATCGCGTACAACATTATAATTGTAATCCAGTAGACGAAATAACATTTCAAGTAGATTACAATTGTAATGCAAGTTACTTAAATCAAAGAAATTAACATAATTGTCATGAAAATTCTAATTTACAATTGATGGAAGTCTCCTTTTAAAAGTATCTTCAAGAGAAACATTTCATTTACAAATCATGAAATGAATTTGTAAAAGAAACATGTACTAATGAAGTGTACAGAAAAACATCATCAATATAATACAGAAACCATTCAAAACATGGCACTGCATGCATGATTACACATACTATATACAATTGAACAACCCGCAAGTTGCAATTTGAACATTCCGATGGCGCAAAACACTGTCGTGTGTCTTTAATAATTACTTTGCTTAAGTTTGTCCTAGATCATAGATTAATTCACACCTAATGTAATCGTTAAAATTTAAAATCATTTCTGATGTTGTTGCTTGATTAAAGTAAAACTATATTAAACGAAACTTAAAATACTTTCGGTATGAGTAGATATGGTACCCGCTGGCAATACCGGTCCCACGCCACACCATAACGCTGCCTGCACTTCTTATTGTCGACATAGGCGCGCACCGCCAAGTGGCCGATAATAAAGACAAAGATTAGCAGTAGGGGTGTGGGCCATACAAAACGTATGAGTGCAGCGTTCAGCATAATATCGCCGAGGTAGTTGGGATGACGAACAAAGCCCCAATATCCGGAACAGAGGATTTTTTTGCCAATCGTCGACGGAATCGAATCATATCCTTAAAATTTAAATAAAAATGATATTATTATGAGTTAAATTGTACGATTTAATGATATAAACTTACTTGACACCAAAGGTGCGTACGGATTTTCCCTGAATGCATGTTTCTGACTATTTGCACCGCGGTACATAATGTAACCAGCCAAAAACATAATCGTACACAACAATAATTCCCAATTCTCCAGCTCCACATGATAATCATAAACATATTTCGGCACAGCACCGTAAACGAAAAGCCCAGCCAAGTATTCATTGCATTTCAGGAATCCCCACGAGATAGTCTTAAACTCCATATAAGACAATAAGCCACTTTCAAAGACAAACTGATCAGCAAAATAAATAATAATCAAAGTGGACAAAACAAACAACGTTGGTCGAATTCGAAGGCTTTGAAGTAAATTCCAAGTCACATTTGTTGATTTTGCGTCTAGTGGAGGCGTAGAAATCATTTCCATTGATTGATACACGTAGGAAAGCACCAAAAGAATCTATAAACACAAATTGATAAAAAAATTATCGAATAAGTAATTAAAAAAAACATTAAAAACCTACCAATCCAACAGTGCAGACACGAGTAACAACGAATTTAACATCCATAGGACCAAAACGTGGGTTCACCTCGGCGCCGAGGATAAAGTTAGTCAAATGACCTTGTTCCTCAGAAACAAGATTATCTTTACTGGTGTATAACGATTTTATGAACAGAATGACGCCTAATGTAAACGACAACACCACAGCTGAAGTAATCAGACTGAAATAGTTATTTATGATGTGTGCCGTCACCGGAATATGGTACACTTCAAGAGTGACCAGAATAAGGACTTGAACAATCAGCGCAAAAAGCGCATTCAAGACATACTCGAACTTTCCATCGCGCGATACCATAGACGCGTATTTTTTACCTCCCAGTGGGATAACAGAAAAGATACCGTTGAAGAGCACAAATGAAGTGAAGCCGAAAAACACCGACAAATCAAAACTATTGATGATGGTGTTCAAATCTTTTCGCGTCGGTAAACGATATTCACATCGTGTATCGTCGCACAACAGCGGAATCAAATAGGTGATGGCAAGTTCACCTAAACAATACAATAATGCGCCAATTATAGCGCCGATGTGAAGTTTGGATCTTGTTTGTGCCCTCGGCGCTTGTTCAGTTTCATCTTCATCGGAGAATTCCGTCAGTTTTTTCACTGGTTCATAGTTTGAGCGCGACTTGAAGAGATCTGCATTGTCGCGTCGAACTCTTGATCGTAAATTGTTGACGAGTTCAACGCTTGCTTCTTTGCTCATCGTGCGTCTCGATCGCGTTTGAACGCTGGATGTTGTCGGGGTATCCGAGTCTGATTCGGATTCGTCCACTTGGATGATTTGCAGACGCTTTGCGACTGCTTTAATCAATAATATAAATATTACTATTTTGTGACGTTCAAAAATAATATAATTTACCTGGTTCCTTGGGTTTAGGTGCTGTTACTGACCGAATTGGACGTCTGCCTGGAGATGATGGTGGTTTTGGTGGTGCAGATTTACTGGATGCAGTGGTTTTCACTGTTGCTTTTGGTGAAGTCTTCTGTTTGGGTGATTTAGGTGAAGTTTTCTTGGTTGGTGATTGAGGCGTTTCTACAGGTGAATCTGGTATACGCCGTGGTCTACCTGGACTCCTAGTTCCTGGGGCCTTAACCGGTCGGGATGGAGATTTAACGCGAGATCGTGCCGGACTCGACCGTTTTTCAGTGGACTTGGCCGGTTTCTCCGCCTTGAGTCCGCCGGACCTTCCCTTTCTAACATTCGCATCTTGATCTTTACCTACCATCTTAAAATAAAATACAAATTTATACTTTGATTACTAGTATTATCAATACGTATTTAATATAGAATCATTGCGTAAAATGATTTGGAAATTCTTTGTAACGGTCTTGATAATCAAGATACTTCAAGGTTAACACGTTGAGGTTAAACCGAGCCCGCCAAATCAATTTCGGTGATTATTTTATGATGAAAATTAGATGATTGTTATAATGCAAACGTGTGCAGTCTTTACCTTTCGTTTTATTTTATTGCCGACACATAAAACACGCTATAAACAAGAGAAGGGCTCGCGAACGCGTAACGACGCCACCAATACCTGAAATAAACAACGCGGCGGCGTTGATTCTATGACGCCGTCGGAGCGTCGCTTTGAAAAGACGCGATGTGATTGGTCGGTTTGAATTCTTTTGTTTGCGGACGTACACGAGCAGATCACGAATGTGAACGAAGTTTTAATTGGAAAGCTTGCATTTTTGTAGTAGAGCGAATCTGTGCAAATTACGAATATCGCTTGAATATAGTAGTCGCATACCAGTGCAAGTTTTTTATGGTTGAGGATAGCCAAGTTGCTATAATATGCAAATTAATTCAATGTTTTTACATTACAACACTTCAAGAAGTAAATTAGGAATGTTAATAATCCACCTAAAAAATAATCTAGAAGTTCGTGAAGTTTGTTATAACACTTGTCAAAATAGACAGAAATTTAATTGAAATACATGTATTTATTGTTCATAGTCCCTCCATCACTATACGAATCTGAGAAAGTTATTCACTGTCATTGCTTTGGTTAAAAACTACTTGAGTATACGTATTAGCAAAGAACTTACAACATTTTTTGGTCTGAACAACTATTAATTACAAATTTTTTAGCATCTCAGCACATAACTCGTGCAATTCACAATACTCTAAGAAATAGAAAAATATCAATGCAGTCTAAAACAATAATCACACAAACTTTTAAGAGAAATTAAGCGGCTTCAGCGAACCCAACACGATTATTGCCGAAATCAAACTCAGTATAATAACGCCCGATGAAAACATCTCCCAGAATCCATAGAGGGCCGTTTGGAGGGGGAATATCCATACCCATGAATCCAGAAATACAGAGATTCTTACCCATTGCAGAAACCTACATAAATTTTAAATTATTAATCGATTTAATTTTAAAAAATTATTTAAAAAGGACTTACGCGCAAAACATAATCAGTTCCTTCCAAAGAGAAAGTTTTACCACCAAGATTGAAGTCAATCTTTGGCAGTTTAGGAATAAGTGAACAATCCACCAAATATTCACCACCGGCAACAGCAGTTCCACCGATTAATTGATTGATTTTGTTGACTTCTTCAACTGGACCGGCGATTAGACTGGTGCCAGTATCAGCGATAGCCTCACAACCATTAGCACAGAATGTCTGTCCGTTTACATTCACGCTATCCATACGGAATTGCCAGTATGCTTGACGATCCACCGTCAAGTAAGTGAAGTCACCTTTGTAGTGATCGGGATCGGAACCACCGAAAATGATTTCTCCACCGGCAGCTGCATTAGGATCCCTAAATACACAAAATTATATTAAATAAATATTTAAATAAAATAGTTTTTTTTTTACCTGTTAAGGTAGAAGGAAAACACGGGTTGATTGATTAAACCTTGTGCAAGCATATTGTCAATCACAGTGGGGACACCATCAACGGAAATGCGACTGTAGGCCATTCCCAAAATTCCGTCAAATTTAGCAGCGACAAAAGCCATTCCGGGTTCATTGGTGGCTTCCGCGAATGTTTGATCTTGTATATTCATACCACCCATCTAAAAACAACAATAAAAACCTTAATAATCAAGTTTACACTTTAAAAAATTGAAAAGCAATAAATGTCACTTTATACTTTCAAGGCTTAAATTCCTTCAAACTATTTATGGAAAAACACACATAGCAACAATTATAGCATGAAAATCAGGTTGATAGTTAAAAAGAAACTCACAGAAACCATATCTGTTGACAAGAATCCACTCAAGCTACCAGATCCATATTGGATGGCAAATGCTGTGCCATTCTTCTTGTAAGAGCTTGATTTGGTTGCATCATATTTATTGTGAAGCAGACAAGCAACATTTGTCCAGCTGCACTTTTTGGATGGTACCCACAGATTAGAGGAACCAGTGTCAAAGACTACTTTGAAAGATTGAGGTGGGGTACCAATACTGATGGGTCCATAGTATTGAGCCTATTAAACAGTTATGAAATATTGTGTAAAACATAAAAAAATGTACTTATAACAGATTATAATTAAACTTACATCCATGTAGTTTGACAATGGTTCTGGCTCGGGTCCACCAGTACCGAATCTCATCCGCATCTGATTGAGATTAGTTCCAACCTCTTGCAATGTGCGTTTTGCAGACTTGCATTTATACACAGGCACCCTAAACAAGAAATAACATAATTAGATTGCGATTTATGTGTGAATATCATTCGCACCTCTGTAATCCATTGTTTGCGGCGAATGTAATCGCGCACAGCGACAATATTAGAGCGATTTTCAACATGTTGAACGACGGCCAACTGCGCTCTGCGTGTAGCGAGCGCGTTTGCGAGACTACCGAGGTTCGGATCAATGCGAGCACAATGCGAACAACTGAATCATTTGACCTCTACCGATAATTATCACCGACCGACTACTATTTTCGGAATGGTCTTTGATAAGTCCGTCGTATAATGTTTACGGTCGAGACGCTCTGTAGCGTTGTTTATGATATACTTCGCCGGCCACCGGCGACTCGCACAACAAAATACAACGCAACGACGAACAGAATATGAACAGAATGCTACTGCGCACTGCGCGTTTCTCAGCTGATTAAATGTTTGACCAATGGCCGTCCTGTCGGCATTTTTGTGGTTTCACAACTTTAATCTGTTTATGTGATTTTGGACGTAAACAGAGATAAAAGTCTCGCTTTCATACACAAAACATTTCACACACGTTATTCATACATACTTTCTTTCGTAATAATTGCTTTGATGAGTTTTGTTTAAAAGTTTTGAATGAGACACCATTTTAAACCGGAAGTTGAACATTTACAGGGATGCAATATAAAAATACGAAGAAATATACAGATGCAATACTTTATTCTCATAGATTTTCTTATGCTGTAATGTACATTTTTCTCTTGCCCTCAATTTGTGACATAGTCACATAATCTTGCATGATTTCTATTCCTGTATTGGTGCATGATTAATTTTTAATATGCTTAAAGTCACACACAATTCTCAATCGTTATTATATCTTAAATTGTTTCATCTTGCAGTGCTTAAAATGCATTTGGATGTTTACAGTTGTTGCATTATTGTATTTTCCACACAGTTATCTGATTAATTACACACAGAGAAAGACAATGTTGATATTTAGTGAACAATCATCATGTTAGTTGTTAGTTACACTGATTTATATATAATGTATGTTAGAACAATATCGGGTACATGTTTCTGATATATATATCTGTATGAGGGAAGTAACAGTAACAGGTTCTTTCGAAATTTTCTTTGATAGAAGTTTTGTTTGCTTGGTTGAGTATATGTTCTGTATAGATTCTAACAAATTTCTGTGTAACACGCCATATTGTAAATGGTAATATGCATATATCATAACACGTCAATATGTATTTTATTTTAATCTATGTAATATTTATATTTATAGAGATTCTTTGTTTGTGTTTTTGTAGTTGTAGCAGTTATGACCCGTATCAATCCGAAATTGTTACCGAACGACCTTATGTAATTTATTTCTAATAAATAAAATATATATTGATACACATATAATATAAAAATGTATGTTATGTTGAAAAGCTCTGTACATGTCAGTGAAATCAGTGATCGAAGAGAATGAATGAAGATTGCTTGCATTTTTCATCATAGAAAACACTAGATTCTAATTTTGACATTCATTAAATCGTGAAATTAATTGATAACAGAATATGTGTGCATCTATCTACAATTAGTTTGAATTTTGCAGAGCACAATGAAATTTAGTTATGTTATATACATCAGTCAAATATATAGTTATTATTTTTAATCTTAATATTTAGCTTAATATCTTATTTTTATCTCTATTATACAAAACACGGTAATTAAATGTAATAGCTGCAAACAAAATAACTAAAATGTAATAAATTAGTTTTTTGTTCAAAAATTAAATTTTTTTTCTGTAATTAAGACAAAATTACAATTGTAGGCCACGTAAACATCTTGACCAAATCATGTTTCTTATTTGTTACTACAAATCTCCCTGTTGGGATGCAATAAATTATTTTTGCTTATCATTCCGTTCAATTGTCCACGTTAGCATCTATCAATTAATTTCTATACGTGTTATTGTATGATTAATAATTTATAGACTTTTATAGAATATATTTATCATATAGTCAATCGTCACTTCATAGAACAAGTTTCATAGTTGTAGATACAAAGAATTATGATGATTTAAATGCAAGTTAGATTACATTATAAAATTTGACAACGTATCAACCATTGGATTATATTCTCCAATATACTTTCTTTGTATATTACTGTATAGATATATTTTATTTTTACTCTGTAGAGATAATATGTTTTAACGTAAAAGTCTACGGTAGTTTTAAGTGACAGAATGGTTGTTGGCATGATGCAAGTTGGCAGCGGCGATATTTCTTAAATTCGAGATAAATCACAAATTCACAACCCGCAAATGTCAAATGTCAACCCACAGACAAATACTCCAAGAGAAATAATAGATGACTAGAATATAATTGATGAATTAATCATTTGAGCATCCATGCCTGCATTTCAAGCTCCAAAATATAGATTCTTATTAATATTACACACTTGCTTTATATTATGGTCGTTTTTTTAAATTTTATCACTAAGATTATTTTACTTTGATACATTGCATACTTGAATACGAAGATAGAAAATCTAAGGTGTTGTGTATTAAGTAAATTCAATGATTCATTTGACTTGCGCCGACATTTTGCCCTTATTGGGAATGGGCGAACTGGTGGCACTACGTGACACCCTTGGCTGTTCGGGGATGGTGAGACAGGTGGACTTTGATTTCCAGCCTGATGTTGGCGATTCGTTGACGCAGTGATGATGAGTTTGTGCCGCTTGATGCGGCTCATGGTTGGCGTTGCGGTTTAACGCGTGCAGCGGAATGCGATAAATACGCAATGGACGTGCTTCCGGTGATACTAAAATCCGTCAATGGTGTTAGTACTATGTATATAGAGCATAATCGTTAACTAATTACCGTTGGGACTTGATGGTGGCGAGGGTTTTTCGTTGACTTTCGTATCTAATAGCAAACGATCATTCCGCGTTGGGAAAAACTCCGGCGCTGTGGTCGCAAAATAAATGTCGTTTTTCGACGCAATCAGATGCAGCTTGGGCATTGTCATTGTATGCACCAAATTACCATTGACAATCAGACGGATCTCCATTAAATTATTGGTGAAACCAATAACGTACGGAAATGCACACACTAAATATAAATTTAACAAATTAATATTCAATAATTATAGTAAAATAAAGAATATTAACTACCAATATCAGAAGGAACAAAATTCCAATGAAAGTCATGTTCGTTGCTTCCGTTGGTACCATTGCTGCCATTTGCAGTGCCTTCGTCATGCAACTTTTGAAAATGACACGTGTCTGTAACAAAACATCCCATGTAACAATATCGAATTGTAAGCGTGCTTGTTACATACGATTGTGACACAGTAGTAATTGGACCTCTTGGTCCTCGTAGATGTCCAGCGCGGTGACCAAATGCGGTCGGTCGCCCTTCACCGTGTGCAAATACTGCACCTGTCCGGATCGTCCATTTACAATATCCCAATGATGCTTGTATCCAACACAGACTAATATATCTGAATGTGTTGGTGAGATGGGACTCCAACCGCTCTCCAATATCGTCATTATGCTTGGGTTCTCGTTGAGTGTTATCTCCTTCAAATATATAAGCATAGTATATATATATAATCATGTTTTTAAGGTTATAATTGTAAGTACCCATAAAAAGGTGAATCCCTCAACGGTGTCGGTATCACTCGAGGGACACCACGCCGTCCATGCAGCTGAATGCTTCCATTGAAACATGGTGAGTCTACGACCGATGGCAACACACATCCTTAATCTCGACCCGCCAGTTCTTGACAACGCGTAGAGATGAGTGCCACGTGTGCGTTCCAGCCGATGCTCTTTCAGGTCCATGCGGGTCTTTGGCTCGGTTATCAGCTCCAACTGCGAGAGGCGAAACACATAAATCTTGCCTTCACGATTAGACGCCCCCGCCCGCAGCAATAAAATCCCGTGCGGTTCGACGACGCTCACTTGTCGCACTTGTAAGGTTTTGTCGATGAGCAGCCGATGGGTATTACCATCTACAACAAGACATTTCAGACTATATTAAAAAAAAGAGATTTTACTATTGTTACCTTCTACAACATAGACGCCATCATCAGTAGCGATGACCAACCGGTTATCGCCCCAGGAGTCCGCTGCCAAAATGGTACTCGCTGGAAAAACAGGGTAAAAACAATTGGCTTCCCACGGAGAACGTTTGAACACTGTGCCTGCGGCACCAGCCGACGCCAGACTCGTTGGTGCATCACCACGCACGATCGCCTCTAACTTCAGAGCCTGCCCAATACGAACAAACTCGATCTGACGAGAATCCTCCTTGAGGCGGGAATGCCTTGGTGTTTCAGCCAAAACATCAGAAAACGCACGACGATTCAACATTGTCTAAAAACATAACAAAATAAAAATAATTATCCTCATTTCTAACCAGTTTATATTAATTTTAAGTTACCATGCGTTGATCGGTCATGTGTTCACTGTAAAGGTCCTTGATAAGCATATCAAGAGTGCGTTCACGCTTCCGAGCAAACGTTGGTGTTTCAAAAGTTGCCTTCTCTCCATTAATCAACTTCACAAGAAGAAAGTCCCTAAAGAGTTCGGCGTCTTCAAAAACAGGCGGGCAGGGCAGAGATGGTCCAAAAAGTGGTACTGCTTCATCAGAGAACACCGACAAGCGATAACGCCTCTGCGCATCCACACTCACAACAGCAAAGACATCTAATTGTTTACGCGTCAAGGAAAATGAAATTAACCCTGTCAATATTATTAAGTATTAAGTATCAACCTGTATAAAAAGGATACGAGTAAATTGTGATTTGATGCATGTTGGGTTGAATACTCCATGCGCGTCTACATCGTTGTCCTCCGAGCAGTCGACAAACACAATGTTTACAATGTCGTTGCCGATGTGTCGTTTACGCTCCACCTGCTGGCGATTGTCCCGCGAATAGGGCAGCAACGTCGAGACGTGGAACATGATCTCGTGCCCTTCGTATATCGTATACACTGAATACCTTCCTGTCATGTCACCTGAATAAATTTAATAATTGAAATATTTTCGTATAGGTATTGTTTTGGTATGCGTCACCTTTGATGTCCAACCCTCCGCGATACTTGTCCCAATTCTTCAGCCGAATGGTCTCGCCCAGAAGCGATAGGAACGTGCTGAATGACTCACTCCCGAACTCTGCGAACAAAGCGTGTCTTAATTGCGAGTTTAGTCCAAACAAGCGTTAATTTAATTTCGCAATCAAGCGTAAGGTAAGAAAATAAAATTATGAAAATTATGAATGGGCGTTTTACCATTGCTTAAAATTTCATCGTCTGTTGTCTGGCCGTGCTTCATGTAGATGACGCCGAATTTAAAATTGACGGAGCCCTCCTGCTCCTCGAGCAGTAATAAATCTTTCTGGATGTCCGGCGAGAAGATCTCCTTGGGGTTCTTTTCCAGCCGCTCCATGTTGGGGAAGTTCGATAGGATCTGCTTCACCGTGAGTAGTTTGTTTTGTACATAAGGCAACGAAATTTTTTGCGCTCCCTGCGAACAGTAAAAACGAAAGCGAACGCAAAATGAAAACGTTGCAGGTTTTTTTCTTCTTCTGGGTATGTTTCTGTCTCTAAACGTATAAATGTGCAACGTTCTAATCCGTCAGACACTCCAACACTTCAATCTTTTTTTATTGTTGCATAAAAAACATGAAGCGTTTGCTCAATAAATCTACAAGTTTTTTTTGTTTAGATTTCTAGATGGAAGTTGTTTTTGTTAACGAAAAACGATAAAATAAACAGTGTACATGGATTAGATTCAAGTTGAACCAAAAAACAATGGCAAAAAGTGTAAAAGGTAAAAGAAAAACACGTTTTACGCGTGGAAATACGGAAAAAGGCCAAGTGTAATATTCGTGGGAATCCAAAAACACTCCGGGAAGAGTTATCGGTGCGTATAAATCTATTTTCTCTTATTCTTTCTAGTTTATTACGCCGGATTCCCTTTGGGGCATCAAAAAATATGAGAAATGTGATAAAGTGAAGGGAATTTTGACATACAAATAAAATTTATAATAATTATAAGCTCAAGCTATAGATAAATTGAAAGATGCGAAGGTAATTACGGCGTAGAATGATTGAAAACTAATTTTGCGATTGCGATAGCATCTGGCGGTAACAGGCGGCGCCCACTCACCATTTTCCGGAACAAAATCGCTCGGTACAGAGGCACACACTGGTTACTGTTCTCATTCAGTACAACGCTCAGGAAGAACGCCGTTTTCTCGCCGTCCAAACCCACGTAATTTTGGTGGACTAAAACAAAAACAATTAAAAAATTAATTTATTTTCCAAAAAAAATTAAATACAGTCCTGTTAACACAAATATATCAAACCCAGAAATTTTCAAAGAGAGTTTGACAGGTGTAGTAAACATTTCTGTAGTTGACGAGTCGTGTCCTGTGAAGCCGTGCGAAAGTTCGCACAAAACCCTTGCAGCACTCGCAATACTTTGCGATGTGTGTGTAAGAATATGTAACCAAAAAAAGAGCGCAAAACTTTCAATAATAAAAGCGTTGTAAAAGTTTCCGTTCGACGATCGAACGTCAAACGATGTCTTGTCGGGTTTCGATTTGGTTTTGCAAAGAAACGCGACGTGCTGACACGTCGCCATTGTTTAGTTTACTGCATTTTAGTTTTTTGCTAGTTTACGTTGTACTTACGCTTGCCCAAGAAGTACTTAAAGTACCAGCGGGTTTGATATTCGGGATTTTCCAACACCGGAGTCGATGGTGACCCGAACATCTATAGAAAATAAAAGAGAACAGCTTAATTTATTTCTGTGTTTATTTGGTTGCCTATACAACCCTAATTTACCAATGGTTTGAATTGTTCTTGTTTGTTGAAGTTTTTCGCCCTCGATAAGAAACAACTAAACAATAATTAGATTTACTAATCTTGTATTATTGACATAAACACGCATTGAAACTTTTCTCGTATATTACGGTGTGTTTTTGCCATTTCTAACACTTAACCAAACTTGAGCACTTTCTTTTCCACCTGCGCGTTATTCCGAAAGTTTATCCAGATTGTTTTGCGTCATTGCATGTCCATTGCAAGACTTTTGTCGAGCCAGACAATTATTTACTTTTAATCACCGTTTTATTTTCGTCTCGCTACTTTAGTGCTTTGCCGCTTCTATTTTCTTTAATTTGTTTTAATCTGCGTTCTAATCTGCTCGAAACTCAAGGTGTATTGTTTTCTTTTTCAGGCTATTCTATTCTTGGATATCTGTATTTGTTTTTAATTTAGCTCAGTCTGATTTTTAAGGGGCATTAAACTGATCACACACAATTATAAAGTAATTTTAGAATTACCTAAATAAATACAATGCAATTCTGTAGGTTTAACATTTGACATTTTAACTTATGGGATAATTTATTTTTAGATCTTTACAGGTATTATTTTGCTGAGCTATGCAGACTGCAAATAAGTTTGCATTACAAAAACTCCGTAAACGTGATTTTCTACATCACAGAGCAAAAAAAATCCGAGGCACATTTGCATGACTAAAGGAACAAAGAAAACATTATTAATCTTTTTTACGCCGACTTGCAATCCAGTGACTTTTTACCATAAATTTTACTTAAAAATAAAGTTTTATTTTTTATTTTGAGATTAAAGCATTTTCTTATGCCATAATTGTTGATTAGCTGGTTAGTTGTCAAGTTTGCTAATTAATTTTCACACCTACCTCGTCCTTTTCACCCGGAGAGTCGCCATTCTCAATCCGGAAGCGTCGACAGTGCTCCTGTCCGTCGACTTCGGGCGGCTGTTGCAACTGCAATTAAAACAATTTAAACTCGAGCGTAAATCGGATTAAAAGGCTCGAATTTCATCTCCTGCGCGTCGATCGTAAAGACTAGTGATGACGACAGTCGCTGGAATTAATGCTAACTCTAACGAGACATGTTTGCATTCAGATGCAACCTTAGCGAGCAGACATGTGAGGAGTAAAGCGACACCGCGCGAAAGTTACGACGCAGTTGTAGTGTGTGTGAAGAAACGTCGAAATCCAATCCTGACTTGAGCCGTAAAGGAATGCAGCTGATGCAGATGATGCGGGAGGCAAGGAGCGTAAAACTTTGATTAAACGCTCATTCCGTGCGCGCGTTATATTTGTCAACAGAGTTAATTAGGATTAGCGGAACGTTGACGCCGTCGCCATCGGTGACGACAACTTGCTGGAGTTTGAGTTCAAGCCGGGTAGTTGAGTTGAAGAGAAATTAAGTTCTGAACTACTTTGATGTATTGAATTTTACTTCTGCGTTTGATTTGTGAAATATTCAATCAGAATAACAAAAAACGATCAGAAAACAACTAAAAACTCAACATAACCTATACTGTCAAAAACTGTAACTGTCAAAACTGTCAAAAATATAAATTATGCCCGCCGCTTTTTTTTTCTTGTTAAAAAAATCAATACAATTCGTAATTTTATATTAAAGAATTGAGAAAATCCACAAATAATCCATTTTAGCGCCTATAACGCAAAACCAACTTCCATCCCTTATTTAACACCCTTTAAATTACAATTTTCCATATTTTAATAGTTGTTCTGCTATTTTCGACCAACACAAATCCAACAAATCATTGATCCTCAAAATCTGCCCATGCATTCCTAAGTTATCAACGCTCTAACTAACCCGACTTGTTTTATTCACACCTACATGCATTTTAACGTCCCTGTATATAAGTTAAGCGGCGTAAAATAGACGCTTGTAAACAACATGAAAGCAACTCCTAACTACTTGTAGGATTAAGGATTAAAAAAGTGACTGTGCTGCGAAGACGCAGAGACGAAGATGCGGGCAATCACGCTGTTGCTAAAAAGTCACCGAGCGCGACTGGAAGCGGCCGGTAAGATGAAGTTTGCACTTACTTGCTCCACGGAGCCGTAATACCGTCTGGAGAAGACGCCACGTCTGGATATTAAGTCGCTGGCCGTTGAACTGCAACAGAGCGTGGAAAAAAGGATTATTATATAAACAGGCAGCGTGCGACGAAGGTGTGTTATTAAATTTTCATGTAGATGAGTTCTCCACTTGGTTTTCATTGAATAGGAAATTGATTTTTTGCTTTAAATTGAAGTTTCACGTGAATAAAATTTGATATTATTGCATTTTATGGTAATGCAGCATGTAGCAGTTTGTTAGGATACGGAATACAGGATGTTCATGTTGACAAAGCGTGGTATATTGCATTTCCTGTCTTAAAAGTGCAATTTAAAGTAGCTTTTGATTTAATATCTATCTGAATATCAAAAATTTATTGAACGGTCTTAAATTGCTTCTCAAAAACACTAAGTTTACCATTTTTGGCCAAAAAACAATTTAATTCCATGTTAAAACGTTGTATAATTATTGTATTATTAATAAACATATACTGAGTGTATAGCAAAAACTTATTTTTATAGAGTCACTAGCTTTTGTCCTCGATTTCGGCCCGGTAGTGTTTAATAAAAATGTATTTCGTTTTTAGTCTCTTGTTCTAGACATAATGTGTGTCAATTCTATCAATATGTTTTGCAATTTTATTTTAAATAAATTAATTATATAAAGCACGAAGTACAGATATAAGTCCTATACTTCGTGCTGTGTTTCTATAATTCGTGATTATTATTGTTTCCTGTTGAATTTTTTTCCAGCGGTTTCCATAGCAAAGTAAGGATTTAAACGAGTACACAAACGTATAGTGGCGCCATCTATTGGCGAATGTTCTGTTCCCTTGATCGAGACCATTAATTTAACATGACGTTCGGTCTCCTGTGTATCTATACTTCGTGATATAAAGAATTGCTAATAATGCACTTCAGCGCGCCATCTCGGATTCAACTATTTAACTATAACTATAATGATTGAATCTCAGTACTCAATACCAACTTATATCCTATAGAACAGGGTTGTATTTAGGGTTTTACCGACAATTATTCGAATTCTTCTCGCCGTAAAAATCATCCTTGACCTTTAACGAACATAAAAAAAAAGAATTGGCCAAATTGGTCTAAGCGTTGTTGAGTTATGCGCTTACAAACCAATTTTGCTATTCATTTTTATATTATAGAAGATTAATAAATATTGAGTGATTTGTTAGCTCAGTAAAAATCAAATAAAAACCATTTTTCAGCATAATTCCTCAAAAATTTGGGATTTCTTACTTATAAATAGCTAATAACAATATTACAGAGTATATTAATCACCTGTTAACGTTGTGTAAGCAATAAGCAATAACCAATAACCAAAACACATAAAATCACGAAAAAGATGTAGTGCTCCGTTTACGATTGTAGTGTTACAGAAATTGATCGTTTGCTAATTGCGAAAATTTATTGGAGTGTTTCTCGCGTGAGCGCAACGAATTTTGTACATCGCCGGCGATAACTACCTGCCGCTTATTAAGGTTACGTAATAATGGTCGATTAATAGTGATATACATCTGTAGGTTACCGCACAATTATGATCGCACGGCAAATTAGCGGAAGTAGTCTGAGGGTATTTCCCGGGAACATGAAAACTATCTATAGGTAATCAATACAAACACAATTGACTAAAAATAGAACCTAATATTACTACATTCCATGAATCACGAAATCAAATCAACGCGTAATTTAAATATTTACCAATAACAAAGAAATATTAATAGAAATATAAATATGTGCACAACAAACAAATTATTTTTGTAAATGTGTAATATAATTAATTTATCACAAAATCTCTTTGTGTTAACCTTTCACAAACGAGTTGGCTTACACTTCGTTACAATTTATTAGCGTGTTATAGGATTTGTACTAAAATTCGCCACCGCATCCATTCGCTAAGACGCAAGCGTTTGAATGGTGTCTAAACAAGCAAGTTCAAAGCGTGAAAAAACATTACCCCAAACCAGCATTGGACAGACGACACCAGGCCATCGGAGATTTTATGTTCGTTAAATAAATTTTGCCGTAAAATCGTTTTTAATGGTGTCGCCGGTATATTGTGCATTGTCTACTGGTACCATCGGCTTGTTTACTATGTTTAGGATTGGCGTCAACCATGTTATAATCACATAATATACCACGTGTACAAAATTTTATTCTTAAACAAAATTATTTATCAAATTATTTTAAGGTTATGTTTACTTTGATATACATGTGTACATAATGTTATGTTGGTTGCCTATTAATATTTTTATGTTTACATTCTTAGTACACACTGTATATTTTGACAGTAACCAGTTCGGATTCACTTTCGTGTTTCATTAGCATAACGAATATCACAATGTGAACGTAAACGTAACGCAACGCCGTAATGATTAATCAATTTTTATTATTTTTGGCATTTCAGACATTTCGGCTATATTTGGCGCAGATTCAATTACGCATGCAGTTCAGTGACATTTGCACAAACCGCAGGGATTTCAAACACATCGATTGCGGCCGTGAAGAAAAGAATATCCTTCGTTTCCATTCGTGAACTCGATTATATTATCCGCCTAATTTATTTGCATTCGCGCTGGCTATTATTCATATTTTAGCAAATTTGCGTTGAACTTCTGTCTGGCGCTGCTCCGCGGTGATTTATCACAGTACTTATAAATAATTGATGAAATTAAGTACCGCTATCATCACAATGAATAATTACTTTATACTTTAATCTCAATTTGTGCTTATTTACGTGGAATAAAAACTAATATGACAGTATATATGATAAACGGATTACTTAACTAAAAGTTAAATCGTGTATAGTGAAAAAGTTATGAAGAAAAGTTTCAGAGAGAATATTTGAATAAACTACAAAGATTTTTTGCAATTATCGGTAAAACACGGGAAAAAAATTGGAAGTTTATGACTTAAGTACGAGTGGAATTCTCAAGAGCGTGTGAAGAACCGGAAACGAACGCAAATGGTCAAACGTGCGGGTGGTAAATGTGTGGTTATGTATTTCAACATTTCATCTAGCTATCCTGCTAGAGCATCCCGTGGACATGAATGAATAGCGGTCGTTCCGCATCGTAATCTCGGCCTGCGGCATCCCTGCAATGTTCCTGCGCAAAATTGTTGCGGATAGCGCTGGGGCACGTCCGTATGCGACTTCTAATTGAGGTTAAGATAAAAAATATAATTTTTATCTTACGTTCTAATAATTCTATCAAAACTAGCATAAAAACTAAAATTATTTTATTTTTCGTTTATTAGCTTACGTTGATTATGTATTTCAACAACAAGCTTCCCGAATAAGTCAGCGTGAGCCGGAACGCACTCTCAAAGTGGGAAAACTGTAATTGACGTATTACGAGCCCATTCTCCAGCATTCTAAAGCAGCGGCGAGCGTCATTCAGTTGCATTACCGCCGACGCTGCCACCGCCCGGTCGGATGCGAATGGAAACAGGTACGAATGGCATTTAACGACGTTGTAATTAAGTTTAAGTTCATGCCGCTTACGTGTTGCCGCCACCGGCGCAGATTTATTGCGTTCGGCTGCTATTCGCACACGGATGCATTTGAGAGCAATTGCAAGTAGCGATTATCATGTTGACAGGCCAAATTAATCGTAGTTTATAATTGATTAAGTTATTGTTAGTTACAGCATGACAAATATTGCCCAGAAACTTTGTTTTGTTGTAATTTTCTAGATTGCGGTTATATGCGTCACAAACTACGTAAAATAGGTATGCAACTTTGTTTACTTTAAAATCAATACACTGACGTAAAGAAAAACTTAATTTATTGATCTTTATATTGACCTGCTGTAGATATTTGCTTAACAATTACAGCCAAATGTTTGTCAAATTTGTCTGAATTTCCGTTCTTTTGTGTTTCAACATCCGCTCAATTTTCAGCGTTCTACCCGGTATAAAACGACAAAAACATTATTTTCTTCTTCGTTTTCTGTCAGTCTTTCTCTTCTAGCCTTTTGTAGTATTCCTAATTGACATTCGGGTGATCGCCATGCTTTCACGTTGCCAATATCGACGACAATACGACGAGAGTGGGTTCGCCATCTTATTAAACCTTTCATTCAATATTTAAAGCTTCCTTTTAAAGAGTGGGTGGTAAAGGACGAGTGTCTCTTCAAAAGTTCTAAAGGTTCAAATCAATGTCGTGCATTTTATTGATTTTAAAATTTAAAATTTTAGGTTATCACCTAGGTTATGAAAAAAGTATATTTTTTGTTAATGTCTGATTTTGATAATTTTTACGATTCTATTAAATTTGTTGTGTTTTTTACTCAAAGTGCAAGGTAAACTTGTGGAAGCCCGAGCATTTAGACGCAAAAGTTACAACTGACGCTTTTAACTCTCGAATATATAAAAAAGCAACGCCTGAAAAAGTTTATTACCTTGCAGAGTTTAAGCGTCTATGAAGGTAATAAAATTTGCAGAATGTATAAAAATGCTGAATGCTAAATTAAGGCATAAAGCGCCATTGCAACGATTGTCGAGTAGCATTCAAAAAACAAATTAAGAAAAAGCACGAGTTATGATTCCAAAAATAAAAAATGAAAGCATAGAATATTCATAAAATGATAAAAAATAAGATCTCATCGTTCAACGAGTTAATTTATTGGAAGTAAAAGTCTCCGGAGGTTTTGACACCGGCTGAGAAACATTGGAAATGACAAAAAAATTCATTAAAAAGTAAATTTGGAAAGTTTTAAAAGTGTCTTACCATTGAAGATGCGAAAAGTGCAGAAAAGCGAAAGTTTAAATGGTATCACACCGAAAGTAAAAACTGAAGTGAAAAAAGTAAACAGAAAAAACTTGTGAACTTTATCGAAAGCTAAAATAAACTTAAAAAAAATATACAGCGCATGTATGACACTGCGGTTTAAACCAAATTGCACTGTTGTCACATCCATATGTTTCCGGCCTTTAATTTAAATCCATTTTCAATTGGAAAATAGAAATATGTTTATATGTTAACCTCCCACGTTGTGAATGGAATGGAAAAATCAATAAATCAATGTTCAATGCGCGTGGGTTAAAAGCAAATTAAAGAAATAACCTGATATTTTGCACCTACGGCGTTATTTCACAGTAATATGAACTTATTTATCACACCTTTTTGTTGCAATATGATATAGAATGCAATTTTACACTGTAACAACCAACAACGCATGCTGGCTTTATGTTGCTCGTTGTGCTGTAAGGACTCAGCCAGATGTCGCCACTGGTCAGGTGCGATAACGGCGCGTGTTCGACGTGGCGGAAAACGAAGCGAGTTGGTAATTGCTAATTTACAAACTCTCTAACGTGTGCAACCAGCGCATAAATTTGTCTACGTGTTGGGATAGTCATTAATCTGTACCTGAATGACTTTATATTGATAATATTCAATGAGTGTAATATAATTGGATTAGTTTGTATATAGTATTGCTTGGTATCGACCAAGTTGTCAATTTCATACTTTTTGTGTTGCATAACCAATGCACAAACTGCGCTTATAAAAATTTTTCTTGTCAAAACTTTATAACATGTTATTTGAAGCACAAAAATTACTTGATCTATGAAAAAATATTTATTATACTATTTGCAATGTGTGTTGCATAATTTGATTAGTTAATATATGTATTCACGGACTTGGTGTTGATCAAACTGTTAAAATGATGTTTCGTGTGTTGCATACCATTGCACAAACTGCGCATATAAATTTATCTTGTCAAAACTTTATAGAAGTGATTATTATTATTATTATTATTATTATTATTGAAGTGTGTATAAAACTTTTTTAACCTATAAAAATAATAATTATCCAGTTTAGCTAACGATGCAGTTACTAAAAGTGGCCTAAATGGCCTAGACGCGTGCCGTGATGTCGGTTAAACGTTTTCAATTTGCGAAAGCTTACATTGCGCTGCTGGCACGCCGATGAAAGAGCTTGAGCGCGCTTACGTCCCTCGGCGGTTTACTCCTGAAGCTGGTCACGCACACGCTCTTAGATCGATCCCTGGCGGCGGCGTCTTCGGTGCGCTCGCCTCTCAACCGCTGCACTAGCCTCATGTCCAAGCACAACATTTCTCTGAACTTCTCCGTGTTGTTGCTGTTCGGTTTGTATTATTTTCAACTTTTATTCAACTTATATCCGTCGAGCTAAACTATGAACGTGTATATATGTTTCCGTTGGTTTGTAGGTTAGATATGCAAACAATGCAAGTATAATAAATTCGTTGTGTGCGGCGCAAAAGTGCACAAAAAGTTGTTTTCAAAGTGTCACATGATTCTCAACGACAGTCTTGCGGTTTCTCATTGTCGGCAGCCAAATTATTCACTAGAAATAACAATGATGTAAGACAATGCGCGCATTATTAAGTTTTGTGCCATTGTAACGTACAAATGTTGAAATTTCCATGTGCATTTTCTATCTTTTGAATATATTTGTTTGTATTTGTTTGATTCAAAGAGTTGAATATTTTCGAAATGCGTAAGGCGCTTTATATAACTATAGTCGATTAATACTCTCTTTTAGATTGCGTGCGGCGTTATTACTTTCCTATTTCCTACTTTTCCGTTCAATTTCCTTTATTTCACGTGCGTTATTTTCGAAATTGTGTGTGCGATACACGAGGGGGCGTCTTTGTTAACTTCTGCGCAGATTCATTATACTCGTTTAATTTTCAATTTCCCGTTGAAAAGTTTCGTAGGGATATTTTCAGTGTTTTAATATGATTTGTAATCAGAAAGTTTGATTATAATGCTTGTAAGTAGTAAAATTCATAATTAAACTATTACTTCAAACATTGTAGGTTTGAAAGGACATTTTGTTTGTTTTGTTTTTGTGTAAAATTGTATTGTATTGGATGTAAATGATGTGGAAAATTGGCAATCTACGTTTTTCCTCAAAATGCTCTAAAGGAATGACAATGAGGTAACCTCGAATAACCCGGAAACATTGTCGACTCCTGTGAAACCGAAGCAATAAATGTGCGAAGAAAGAAAAACGAAATAAGCGAAAAAGTCGATACGTTTCAGAGTGGGATAATGGCATGCAGAAATTGTAGAATTGGCTAAGTGTATATTGAGAAGCGATGAAAACCTTTCTCGAGCACATTCTTTGTGAAAAAATTTAATGTAAAACCAAAAAAAGTTACAAAATTCTTTAAAAAATCATAAAAAAAAACTACTAATCTACAAAATTCGATTAAACAGAAAAATAAATTATGTAAAACTTTACTTTTTTTGTTTGTAGAGGAAGAGATGTTATTTGGGTTGCCGCGTTCCTATTTTATTATGATCACAGTTTGAAAAGACACATATTTCACAGCCGTTATTATTGCCGCCCTTATGTCACAGTCACAGAAGTTTAAAAAGAAAATCTCAAAATGAAGACGACAACTAACTAAAGCGGAACAAGGTGAAACGTGCCGAGATGTGAAAGTGTGTCGAAAAAAGTTGAACAAACGGAACAAATGGAATGAATACGAATAAAAGAAGCGCTTCTTTCGGAAGCGTAAAATTACTTTTAAGATGATTTTATATTTTGACAGCTGGCAATATATGACTTGCTAGTTTTAACTTTTTTTCTTTTGCAAAAAAATTCAAACGCGTACAATACTATTATATTCTTATATTTCCAGTTCGTGTGTCGTGTTATTATTTTATTTATGTTTCTTTATTCTAACCATTTATTTGTTAATGGAGGCAATTTGTAGATGGCAATGAATTACAGGAATAACAGTGGGGCATGCACGACTCACACGATAATATACACTTAAAGTGAATGAAATGAAAGAAAAAAGAAAGAAACAAGAGTCATAAGTCGTAATTCTATTTTTACACGCTTTGTAATAAATATACTAACAATTAAGTAATAAAAACTAAAGAAAAAAATTCTAACCTAAAATAATTACTTTATGTGAGATGTTATATGTTTTACTTTATATGAAACTGAATACGCGATGCCTAACACAAGTCAAACAAGAAAAAAACATCTTGCAAACCGCTATCTGTGGAATTTCCTACACAAAGAAGCGAAACCCGGAAGTAAAAGAAAACCCCTAAGTAGCGAAGCATGTCATAGAATTTCTTCCGCGTTTTGGTGTTGCCTGAATGGAAAAAAGCAACATGGATGCTGTATATCCTGCGAAATATGCGTGCTACAGATTTCAAATACATTTTGACATCTTCAAACCCAGTCAAAGGCTTTTAGGCTAGTCGTAAACATTTTATGAACTCAATTTAATATTCGAGTGCGTTGGAAATGTGGAAAGAAAACAAAACACAACAAATGCCGATTGCAAAACCCGAAATATATGACTTATACATATGTATAGAGTGAGTTGCCCAAAAAAGAAGAGAAAATAACCAGTCGGAAGCGTCAAACGATGCGGAAGTCGATGAAACCAGGTCACGAACATAAATTATAATCGCATGGTGGAGGCGCCGCGCAAAAACATAAATGACAAATAATACTTTTGGCCGAAATGACTCGGAAAAAATACATATTCATTACTTTTATCTATATATTTAGAAATAATACTCTTGTAGAATATGAAATGTATTTTGTAAAAATACTAAATGTGAGAATACTTATTACCGTTGGAGATCAAACGTAACTTGGTGCGTCACAAACGAGCACAAAGTGCAATGAACCACGACGTATGCTGTGTGAGACAAAAGAGATGCGCGCGGAACGCAACCCAATATGCTTGCATTCAGTCGTCCGATGTTGATTCGGTTGCGCTATAACTTTCAGTACGCTTCCCCGCATACGATGTGCATTCGCACACATATTCGCGTGTAAATAATAAACACAAGTTGATATCGTGCGCCTTTTCGACGCCGCCAGCAGCGATAAAACGCGCCTCGCAATATAAATTGATTGAGTTTCAATTAAATACCACTACAATAATCAATTTAAATAAAACACATTTTATCCAATTGCATTCGTTTTTAGTATTACTAGATTTTTTTGTCTTCATGTGTGTGAAATCATGTGTTAATATTATCTTTTGTCGGTTACATCACGAATCGTTTTCGTGATTGCGGTTTTGTGCATTTCATGCTCGAAAAAACAATTGGTTATCGCACTTGTGAAGGAGATTGACGCTGACGGATTGTATCGGGTTTGCAAAACGAAATGAAATATGAGGATAAAAAATGAGATTTGTTTCAAATTTCGAATTCCAGCCGGTTTTTCTTTTCTCGCAGGCGATTTTTTGCACGCACTTTACGAATAGTTAATGCATAATGCATTGAGTTATAGATTTTTGTGGATGATGTTGAATAATACATGTTGGGGATCACTTTTATCGAAAACTACCGCTGCCAAGGTGTAATATTTTCGATTTTTGCCATCGCCATATTAAAGAAATGTATTTTGAGGTTATAATTTGTAGATGGCGTTACTAGTCACGCTATAAACATTTTAAAATATAATTATACACTGTTTTCAAACAATTAATCATGGAAAACTGTTTCAACTATTAGCATTAAACCAACAGAAAAAGCTATACCTCTGACGTCATTAAAATAATGATTCATACGCGATGCCGTCACGCGATAGACTTTGCCACGTGCAAACGCCTCCTAACCTAAACCATTATGCATTAATCAAATTTACGCCACGCTCATATTTCCACCACAGTAATATATCCATGCGCAATTGAAATTGATCGTCAAACAGAAATTGATAAACATAAGCGCGTCCACTCATCAGCAATCTGCGTGCGAATGCACAAACGTACGTTTGACAGCCGAACAGTCGATACGCTTTGTGCAAACACGACAAAGGACGATATCCGAGGGTTGTTCGACTATGTCAACGCAAGATAACGGCCCCGAACCCGGGCATCTAATGTGTAATCAACGCGATTGTGATTACCGACTGAATTCGTTAGCAAACAGTGAAGAAACTATCAATTACACGCTCGTGACCGATGCGAGATTAGATAGGTGTCGCACGGACTGATTCATAAACTATTTTTAGCAGCAGTGTTGCCAATGTGACAATATGTGTCACCTGTGTGTGTATTTATAGGTTAGGTCACGTGTTGACAGAAATAATATTCTATGCGCAGGCATTATCGCATCAAGTTTCGAACAACTCTGTGTTGATTATAATTTCTTGTAATTAATTGTGATTGTATTGCGATTGTAATTATCTGCGGCGACACGAGGCGCGCCAACATGTCGGCCATTGTTGTCGACAGTGTTGCTGGCTGCTATCGTCGTTTCGCTGGTTTTCCGAGTGATGGCGGTGCGACGCCGCAATTGTTCGGTATAATTGCTCTGTCATTATAATTTAGTTAATTTCTCTTTCGCCCTGAATGCGAAAGAGTATTTTGGTTTGGATGGGATGAAAACAATTAATCATGGCGGTTGACTCAATTAACAATTTTCAATTGTTTGTCTCAAGATAATTTATTGTCTTATTTACTACTACGCATGCGCAGCATCAATTTATTTTAAATCAAGTGGAAAATACTGATGTGACATGATAAATGAAATCGAAAATCTGAATGCAACTGTGATTGTAATGAATTTGACGAATGTCGTGTTCGTCGCTCGTTTGGAGTGACTAATTGTTTGCTTTCAAACCGCCGCCGCTGCCGCCACGTGCCATGTGTGTTCAGTGATTGTTTATACAATTTGGAATGTTTCATATCGAATGTGTTTGGCTGATGCATATGGTACCACAATTATGTTTTATTGCAATTTGGTGTAATTTGTGCTTTGGTAATGCGTTGCAAGTTGCATACCACTGAAATTCAATACTGTCCCATGTGTGTTGATATGAAAGTTTGTAAATTGTTAATCATTCCCGGTGGATTAACGATCGGCCCCTGCAAATCGATTTCGCTTCTTGTGGGTAAATTAGGTACGATGTCCTGCACGTGACCACGACGCTTTGGAGTACGAACTCGCACATGACACACATTTAACCCTTCCTTCCGGTTGATGGCCGTCGTTTGTCGGAATTGTTTTGGCAATGGGCCATTGTTCTATTTTCTTTGCCATGGTTTAAGTTTTGTTGCCTTTTATGGCTTCAATCGTTCGAAATCAAGCAAAAGTTTACTTGCGGACGTTATTCCTATTAAAAAAAATCATTGCAAAACATTATTACCATTGCATTTCATGAATAAACATAATATTTTTACTTAGTAATATTTCTGTGATGTTTTATGGTAGATATACCTAACTAAAAAGCTGTTTTAAGTATTTATGACGCTGACCTTTTCGCCCCTGGTTCAATGAATGCGTGCGTACATTCCTCTTTTATTTATATACTCATATACTTACGCGTGAGTGGATGCGCCGGGCAGGCTTCAT